AGGCAAGAGGCACATAACGTTTCTCACCCTTTGCGCCAAGCTGTGGTCCGCGTCCGTTGATATAAATCTACCTTCCCCCCGGATGCAACTAAACGAGAACGTTCAGCCAAAAGACAAAAGATGACGTCGTCGAATATGACGCTATAATATTTAGCCTAGCCATATAAGCGATCGATATCTTTGTCGAATTTATGTATTTCTGTAAACTGCGTTTACGTGAAAGTACATTTAAAACCATAAATAACAAGCATATTTTTAATCTTTGCGCGAAGTATTCTCGGTCGAATGGTTATATAATAATAACCATTGCATTATTATAGGTTATTTTGTTTAAAATTTTTTTACCAACATGCTCATATACAAAAGCCTTTAAAATTTCAAATGGTTTCATTTCTGATAAAAACCTTTCCCGGCTTAGGAAGAAATTGTCGTATTATTATAGAATTCTGATCGTTTATTCAGAAGCATTGTTGACTGCAGGTCAAAGCACTTATGGATGATCTACGCCATGCAGTGTTATACTATACGGGGAGAAGTTAGCCCAGACGAAAGAAAGACTGATTCAGTTGCCTTCTTATATTCTTTAAACTAGATAGAAAAACTAACAAAATGAAACCAAAGTGTCCATTGATACCGAAAAAAATCTGGCAGGTATTTTTATGTATATTTGTAATGTCAGTACATGAACACTTACACCTTTATCAAACTATTCTTTTTCAACAGTAATATGCTCACCTTGCCAAATTACGATTTTCTTTTACCTTTCATCGACAGCATTTTTAAATCTACCCAACAAGAACATTCCCTTTAGGGCACCCAAATCAAAGAACAGCATTAAAATGTTTTTTAAAAAAACTACAAAGCAAAGCCTTTGAAAGAATAGTTTACAAGTAGTTGATAACAAATATTCGCCTCAAACTTTTTTAAAATTTGGCTTATTTGTTTTTTTTATTAAACAATACAGTCAACTGCAGAGTGATTATTTGAAAATCTATTTGAAAGTGAAGTACCCGTTAAACCTTCTCATGCACAAAAACATTAACCACACGATTCCCGTACGGCACAACGGCACATCACTGCTGAAACAATGACATTTGTCATTACATTCATATAATATCCTCAGAATTAACTTGGGCTGGGCTGCATGACAGATTTCGTCCAGGAAGACTAGCATGGCAGCAACAGAGATCGTGAACATAAGAAAATAAGATGCCATATACCAGTACAAATATAATCAGTTTAAATAATCGCAATTACCGTCCAGTTTTTCTTCGGTGATAGTTGACAACATGCATAAATGAAGACAAAATTTGATCTGACAAAACGGACTAAAAAGAATACTTATTTAATAAAGTTAAAATTAATGTAATCTCAGTGCATCATGCGCTGGTCCAAGAAGGAAGCCCCTTCACAATAGGTGCAGGAGGTAAGGTAAGGATTTAACAAGCTCGCATCATTTTGTCGCTAAGGAATCTTCAGCATCACTTTATAGGCAATCGGATTGTCTCTTCGTTCTCATTGATATTCAACTATCTCGTCTTAATCTTGCGAATTAGCCAAATGATGCGGATGAGGTGGTGATTAAGAGAACATCTTGAAGTCTTGAAGAACTCTTATTCCACGGTTAAAGTCACGTATCTGGCGAATGTGGTCGTTCTTTGGCTGTATCACGTCTTTCAAAATCAGCAAAATGCTCAACAACTCGTCACGAAATGAAATTACAGTCTAAAGACGAAGCTTTGCATGCTTTAATTGTAGAACATGAAGTTCATCGCGACAAAGAACAATGTTCCGGGAATTGAACCCAGTAACCGTGTGTACAAGTCAGCTTCCATTATAGACCATTATGTTTTCTATTCTGAGGGCGTTTACGTCAGACATTAAAGTCTACTGGGTTGCGAAAATATTCTAAACTTTTTATCGAGTATATAACGAGACATACCAATTATGCGGATGTAAATTGTCAACAAAAATGTTTAGTTTTCATGCAATTTTACTCGTGAAAAGTTCAATTTTCGTATGGAAAACCAACCGTAAACACGGTTCCGAACACACGGACACTGTTTTTTTACGAGGGAAACCAGAGTGCCTGGAGAAAAACCCTCACCGAAAGCCGCGAAATCAAACACAAAGTACACAAGTTTGAGATTTTATTAAAACAAAGTCATGTATTACAACAAAGTGTGTATGTGTGTTAAAGATATTGAAATCAAGAGAGAGGAAACGGACAATTTTGGTCCTATTTTTATTAATACTCACTAAACATGTATTACAAAGCGTGTGTGTTTTCTTTACATATAGTACATCATTAATATACGAAGACATTAAACTATTATATCCGATAATCGGTTACAAAGTAAGTGCGTTTAAGATCATGACATTTAAATTTATAGAACAGTGCAGGTTAAATGTTAACTTGGCATACTTTAGTGTAAATTGTTCATGTCTTTTTACAGTGTGCTATTGTGTTTGAGTAATGTTCTGAAAAGACTGATAAGTAAAACATGCATTAATGTGAGTAAGTGTTTCTAAGTTATCGTGTATTTTTTGTTCTATTATAGACTTAACCCACTAACTCTGGTAGAGAGCTGAATAAAGCTTATGAGATCGACGAACTAATATAGTAATACATAAAAATGCCTGAGTTCAGAGCGCTTAGATTCAAGTTACGTTCGTCCAAAAACTAAAATTATTCTGCTGGCAAATCATAGGCAGTGTTCCTAAAAGTTTCGTTTTAAGCTGTCGAACTGCGCACACATACTAAGTTTCAAGGATCGAGTTAACTTGAAGATATTTCATGAGCCCTTATAGAAGCAGCATGGGGGCATACACAATTGTCCTTGAAAACTTTATTGCACATTTCAGAGCTGAGGCATATAGCCAGAGCATGCTGCCCTTGTAGAAACAAGGTTTGGAAAAAAATACCACAAGAAATTGACTTTATATTTTTTTTTGAGGCTGAGGCATATAGCCAAAGCAACAAACTGTCGAAACCAAGTGCAGCATCAAGTGTAACTTCTTTTTTTAAAAAATTCAGTCAACATTTTTTTGAACCATGCAAGGGATATTCCCAAAGCAAGCTGCTCTTATAATAAAAAAAGCACCAAAAGTAAAATTTTTTTTTTCAGAGAAACTGAAAATACTTTTAAAGCCAAGGCATATAGCCAAAGCAAGCTGCTCTTATAGAAACAGCCACAGGAGTGCATTTTTTTTCTTTGAAAATCTGGTTTAAAAACTTTTAGAGCTAAGGCATATAGCCAAAGCAAGCTGCTCTTATAGAAACAGCAATGAAAATAACACTGCAACGTTATTAGATATCCCAAGATACCTGCTAACACTTCGAACCACATAGCAAAGTCAAACAGTACAGACAAAAAGTGGCGCCTTACTTTTCATAAGCACCGCTCGACGAAGCTAAATGATTGGAAATCTCACAGAGACCTTGGAAAAATAATAAAGTTACAATGCCACTGCCAATGTTTGTCTCGTAATTGTTTTCTAACTATATAGTAGAAATAAGGCATGTATATCGTTTTAAGATAACAGCATGCACCCCCCCCCACCCATTCCTTATTTTCTTCAAGTAAATTAAAATGCATTAATTGAGAGCATGTGTGTGTGTTAACTTTGATTGCATAAATTCATGTATTTCAGAATAGCAAGACAGTATAAGACATGCCGTAAAATCAATGTTTCTGGCTTGAATATTAACTGTAGCCTTATAAGTGAATGCAAGGGATAAAAGAGATATAAACTAGAAGCCATTATATAGGCCATGGTTTGCATCAATGTATTTACTCGTGTGCGTGTATTTTATGTATTTTATGTGCAGCTACAAGATCATGAGGTATAGTGCATGATGTTTTGTATCTGTTCATATTTTGATATAAATCATGTTTTTGCATAAATACATACACAATATTATATGTTCAATTACAAAATATAGTAAGGCAAGATATAAAATCGTATATTTACAATGTTTGGTGAGAAATCAAAAAGTATTTACATACAAACAATTTTACAACCAGACCGAATAGTGACCTATAGTTATCATTTTATAATGTTAATTCCGAAAGCCGCATTTGACCGGATTTTAAGAGCCGAAGATGATTCCAATCAGGACAAGATAGAGAAAGAGGAAAGAACCTACGGGATTATGTTTGCCATTTGTGGCTATGGTTTGTGTTAGTGTGCATGGCTTTTTAGCCATTTCTTAGGCGAAATATGGGTATATATAACAGTTGTGATATGTTTTCAGTTTTAACAGACAAATTATCAACCTAAACCTTAGCGCAGCCCTAAGCACAAGCGAGCAGTCCTAAGCGCAAACCGATTAAAATATTTAACCGAATTTAAGAAACGTTTGCTCACATGCATCATGCATTAGCTATGTTCCTGGTGGCCAGAACTTAGTTAACTGAATTAAAACTTTATTTAACTTAAGTTCGTTAGCTAAATTAGTTAACTTCGTTAAGTTAATCATGCACAAACTAACCCCTGCATGCACATTTTTTGACCACCAGGCTACTCTAACCTGTAACGATGCCCGGGCATCGCTGAACGTTGCTTTTTGGCGTCGATTTGGCGTAGATTTGCCGTCGAGTTGGCCTACATTAGGCGTAGATTTGCCGTCGAGGTTGCCTACATTAGGCGTAGAGTGCCGTCGAGGTTGCCTACATTAGGCGTAGAGTGCCGTCGAGGTTGCCTACATTAGGCGTAGAGTGCCGTCGGTTGCCCATTAGGCGTAGAGTGCCGTCGAGGTTGCCTACATTAGGCGTAGAGTGCCGTCGAGGTTGCCTACATTAGGCGTAGAGTGCCGTCGAGGTTGCCTACATTAGGCGTAGAGTGCCGTCGAGGTTGCCTACATTAGGCGTAGATTTGCCGTCGAGGTTGCTTACATTAGGCGTAGATTTGCCGTCGAGGTTGCCTACATTAGGCGTAGATTTGCCGTCGAAGTTGCCTACATTAGGCGTAGATTTGCCGTCGAGGTTGCTTATATTAGGCGTAGATTTGCCGTCGAGATTGCATACTTTAGACGTAGATTTGCCGTCGATTTGGCTTGTCGGTAATAGCTCAACAGAGCCCATCAACCTGAAATAAGATTAAAGAAATAAGCAAACTACATTTTTTATTGAGAAGAAACACGCGTAAAATCGGGATTGAAAACAACATCTATAAAACCCCTCTGGGATTTCAAGTATTTCCTTGCCATTATTCATATCAAATTATCATGCGGCCGTTGTCGTTCTTGACCTGAATCATGCATAAACTTCCCCGCATTGTTCGGTTTATCTAAAAATGTTCAATTGCTTAATACTCACATTTTATTATGAACAGGTTTTGTCGTTGTTTCAAATGGCTTGACCCGCTAAATCGCTACCTGCAATAAAACCAAAAGAACGCTTGTTATAGACAGCGATTTTAAGGATTTACCTTCGATGAAGGGAGCTTAAATATCGGGAGAAAACTTGCGGTGATTATTCAGTTGAGAGGACGCATGATGCCTGATCAAGCGTTTCAAGTTTATCATCCTATTTTGAATAAAATAAACCCAAAATTACCTGTTCATTTCAGCAAAAAGTGTTGAAGAGCAGCTTTGGACTTGCCGTCTCTTGAAATGCGAGTCATCTCAGGGAATTTCAGCTATGGGTTTTCTTTCCCAGCTCGGTTTGGTTTTAGCTTTTAAACTCCACCTGGAAGAACAAAAGGCAATGTTAGTTTACTGGTTTGGTCTTTACAACTCAATTCAAAGGTAATTGCTTGCAATTGGTGCAAAGGTTAGCGGCTCACATACGATTTAGCGTATATTACCTTTCTCATATCATCATGTCCCAAGAAAATGTGTAGACGTGCATTCTCTTTCCAAGACGAGTTATCTTGAGACAAATGCGAGTCGTCTCGGGCAATTTCAGCTGCGGTAATGGACTTTTTGCCCACTTCACTTCATTCAGCTTGGTTTTAAACTCTCAAACTCCACCTGGAAGAATAAAAGGCACAATTAGTTCACTGCTTAGGTCTTTAGAACTCAATTCAAACGTAATTTGCGTGTGGTTAGAGGGAAGATTAGCGGCTCAACGGTACGATTTGACGTATATATTACCTCTATATCAATATTCCCCAGAAAAAGTCTAGACTTGCTTTCTCTTCAAAGGCGAGTTATCTTGAGCCAGTTCAGCCACAATTCATCGGTCGTCAATCTCTTGTTCACAAATTTCATCGTCTAACTTCGCTTTAATGCGTAAAAATTCTGCATGAAAAGAATAAAAGCTACGTTAGTGCTATACAAGTTTGTATTTGAAGCTGAACACAACACGAGAGAGGCATTACAAGACGTGAACTAAAGACACGTGGAACCTCAGCCCAAAAGCTCACGATGAAACAAGCTGATAAAACACGCAAAGGGAAAGGAATATTACCTGGTATAATACCAACGACAGTATGTCAGAGATAGTAAACTTCTATTAAACTTCTCTTCTGCTGAAGACGATAGCAATCTGATAAAAATTTCTTTTGAAATTTTCTTGGCATGGTGTAGACTCATCTTTATTCTTCGAAGACCAGCGCTGAAGTGATGTCTCAAACTGGAATCAAAAGCACATATTCATTTCAACCGCTCCTCGTGTCTGCAAAATAAAGTCATCCTATTGGATGAACACTCCCGGCCTGACAGCTCAACAACGCTTCTGATTGGATGTTCATAGTAATTTAAATAATATGATTAATTCTCTTCTCCTGAGCCTGGACATCAGAAATGAAAGGAAAGAATTAATCATATTATTCAAATTACTACGCTCGTTCAATCAGAAGCGTTGTTGAGCTGTCAGGCTGGGAGTGTTCAGCCAATAGGATGACTTTATTTTGCAACACGAGGAGCGGGTGAAATAAATATCTAGCTTTGATTCAACCGTTGCTACATCACAACATGGATAACACGGAGTCGGAGTTCCGGAGCCGGAGTCAAAATTACGGAGTCTGACGTAATGATATTGGAAAACACGGAGTCAAAAATTATGGACACGTAGTCTGCCAAAAATATAGAAAACACGGAGTATAGATGTTTGGAAAACACGGAGTCAACGTAAATTATACATATATTCATAAATGAAGGATCGCTCATAAGTCTATACTAATTTTTTATACCACAGTAATAGTATAAAAGAAAGAATACACAATAACAAAAGATTATAGCTATAATGCCTCTTGCTCAAAGTCATAGAATTATTGTTGTAGCTAACTACATTACGTGTCCTTATATCACCTTAAATCACACCAAAACTGCCACATCCAACTTCCTCTTTGTCTACAATATCCTCCCATTTAAATTGAGGAATATTATTTATGTTTAAGGATAAGTTTTTCGGTCGTTTATTTACCATTTGCGGAAGAGCAAAAACGTTACGCGAATTTGACGCCATGTTGTTTAATAAAACACGCTATCAAGTTTGCATAATTCACGTTGAGTCATTGACCACTGAGCTTGGCAGACTTCCAAACATTTATACTCCGTGTTTCCCATATTTTTAACAGACTCCGTGTTTTCCATAATTTGTGACTCCGTGTTTTCCATAATTTGTGTTTTCCAATATTATTACATCAGACTTCGTAATTTTGAATCCGGGACTCAAACTCCGAAACTTTGGAACTCCGACTTATTCATGTTACCCGATCAATTAATAGTCCGTGAATATGATCAGAGTCTATTAATTAACTGTGATATGATTGATTACAAATGTATAAAAATATATATATTTCTCTTTACAATATTACAATACCAAAAATAATATATAGTCTAATAACATTTTTGATTTTACAACTTTCTCAGACATAAATAATATTAGACGTTTTGAAAAACGGGATAAAGACGTCGTCGTCTTCAAATCATTCTCCTTAGCCCTATAGATGTAAATTCTTGTGAGGACGTAATAGACATAAAATAAGTTATTTGATTCGCCTCAGGCAACAGAATATCGACAATCGGCTGTTTTAATAATGAAGTCCTGGTAAATACGCCATAAATGACGTCACAGACAATAGTCAAACGTACAATATTTACTAATAGCGATTGATTTACCAATCGTCCAGTTCATTTCGAGCTAGGAGAATAATTCGCCAATTCAGGTATATTAATTACCAAGCGAAATTTGCATGTTAGGAGCCCTCTTACTGAGGACAAATGGCAACTACATATGCTTGCACACAATATTGTTTCCTAACAAAACATACAGCAATAACAAAACAGTAAGATAAAGTTCCTCATCACGGAAGACTTTTCTATAACAATGTAACCCAAATGTAAACAGGAACAAAACGTTTTTAAAAACTACAAAATTTACGATCGATCTGTGTTTTCCCCTTTTCCGTCTAAATGTTTGTTGAATCAATGCTTGGATTGTGTCGTTGACCACGCAGCCTTGTCGTTGGAGATCCGTATTTTAAAATGTCCAGTTGCGATTTGGTTAAAGTACTAAGAACATTTGATAGCTGTTTTTCAAAATTTTCTTCTTCGAGTGACTGGCTGTCTTCTTGCGACGGTCGATTGACAGGTTGATCAAGACCTTTGGGTTTGACAACTCCTCTTCTTATTCCTTTTTCTAACTCCTTTTTGTTACTAGTTTGAACACTTCCATTAAAATTCCCATCAAGATCACTTCCTGTAAGATAACAGTACTAAGTCCATACGTAATTACATTTCAAACCACTTCCATATAATCTTTCCAAGCCTGAATATGATAAAAATTATTTCATTTCATGCGGGGGGAAGGGGGGGGGGGGTGTTGCTGAAAACATGGGGCATTTCAAGAGGACTTCAGGAAATTTGAATGCCTGGTTTCTTCCGTTATTCCATCAATAGATAACCGAACAATGCACGGGACAAATATAACGTATTTCGCACTAACCTTTCTTGAGTACACCTTGACGCATTGTTGCTTTCCCCTGATTGCGACTAACAACAGGAAACCCAAAACCTTGCTTTGGGAAGAGTTCCCGAGACTTAATCATTAGCTGAAGCTTGAAATCGCGTTTTGCCTGCTGCGCAATAGAATCAAAATCACCCGCCGATCTTTCACCATCATGATTATTCCTCTGTATTGACTCGATATCTTCTTGAGTTCTCGCTCTAGTACACAAGGCCTGGTCTTCTTCCCTGGATCGCACCACATCACCGTTTTCTTTCGTCGCTATGCTACCCGCGATTTCTGCCCTGTCTGTATTTGATGTAATCGAGCTTTCGTGAAGCGTCGGTTTCAGACGCGGATCAAGAGAAAGAGATTTGAAGCCAACATTTGGATCATCACAACCTGCAACACAGAAGGTCGGTTTGGTTAATATAACTTATAATATAAAACGTTCACCTAGTATTGAGAGCAACTCATTGCAGATCGGACCATTGCGCAGGGCCCTTGCGCCCTCACTAGCTCCAAGGGAAGCAGGTTTAATTCCACTAGATCTATAGCTGTTTCTTGGCAACAGCAGTTGGTTTTATCGCAGTAAATAAATTCCGTTCGATTATTTTACGGATAAAACCATCTGCATGCTATCACTCGTATATCTATGCCACAACAGGTATATCATGATCTAAAAGCATACCTTGGTTAGACGCACTCGACGCCTCCTTTTGTATTTGGATCGCATGATTCGTCGACAATTCTCTACCTATCTCTTCCGTTTCAGTGTTTTGTGGAGTTCCGTCATCATCACTTGCTTCCATAGATACAACATTATAATCGCTACCGTCATCTGCAAACTTCCTTGGGTTACAATCATCAATTGTAGTTCCACTACGTTCATTTAGTCCTAGTTGTAGTGAAATTTTCGCATTGGTGTCTTGTCTGGTTAAATCAGGTCCTCTCTTCGTAATGGAGTTGTTTCTTCGAGGCTGATCTGTCACAATCGACTGATCTTCATCTTCGCTTAATTGATCGTCTGGACTTTGGATAGTTTTTAGTTCGTTATTATTCCCTCTACTTTGGCTTTTATTTTCTTGATGTATATTTTCTCCGCTACTTTCATGGCCTTTTCCAAGTTGAACAGCTGAAAGTTTACGAATGTCACCTTTTAGCTCTTCAAGCATGGAATGCATTAAAACGACCGATCCTATTTTTTCTTCTCTTAGGCGTTTTTCAAAACGTCGTCTTTTCTCTTTAAACTGAGCAATAAAATCATTACTCAGGAGGTCAGACTTTGATGTTTGATTATTTATCGTTGCTTCTTGGATATTTAAAATTACGTCATCACGTTCTGTACATTTATATACATCGGATTGCATTTCATTTGCAAAGTCATTCTTAAAAATCTCATTCTGTACATTATTCGTCGTCTCGTCCTCACGACCAAGTCTTTGGGAATGAGTACCGCTCTCTGTGTCGACTGCTGCGTCTACGAGTGAAACACACAAAAATCGATGAATTCTAATTTTCAATCCAGATTTTCTTTCTAATCACACAACGCTCCTCTACCCTCTCCTAATACAACGTCTCGTTAAAAGACGATGTCAGATGAGAAACATATAATCCTTATTACCCAACGAAGTGATACTTGAATACTGTATTATTCGGCGAAGGATTTTGCTGAAATAACAAGTTTATCCGAACTCAACTTATACTTTTGACGTGTTTCCTTCGCCCAAAGTTAAAATTTATGACGAAGCTCAAACTCTAAACCTTTCTGTACACGCCCGATATTTGGACGAGGAAAATAAGACACGATACAACACCTGCCTTCACCATGATAATCGTCGTCAGATTTTCCCATTCTCGATTTCTCTGTTTTCTCTACGCCAGATCTATATTCCCGATCCTAAAATTTACAGATATGCTTTAAACCTTGAAATTTCTGAATAATACCAAATAACCTTTGCTAATTTTCGGGACACTTTACGAAGAAAAAGCTATTGTGACAAATGGGATTATTTATTGGATTATAAATGGTTGAAATCGCACAATACCTTCTCATAACGAGAGTCTTCTTCATCTCTTTTGGAGTAGATTAGTTCGCTTTAATCGGAAAACAAATTGATTATTGCCGTTATATATATATCCATTGTATTACTTTCCGACAGACAAAGCACTTTGCGCCCTAGTGACCTCAGACAAAGAGAATCCCAGACTCTTAGGACAAGTACTAGTGTTAACCAGCTAGGCTTTAGTCACTCAAAGTCAAAGTCAAATCCAAATTTTCTAAACAACTTACCCAATACCACCAAAAAATGGCTTTTGTTCTTTTTCATTTTTCTCAACTAAAATAAGATAATATATAATAATGAAATAATATTCGAACCGTCTAATTGGACTAGGAGTAACTGTGCATTACGAACATTATATACTGCATGAGATGACATTCTATACAGAATTAAATAGTTAATAAGAATAACTCCAACACACTCAATAGGCAACAATTCAGGCATCAGGCATATATATATGAATGCAATTTAACAAGTACAGTAAAATAATATGTGAAGCGAAATCACAACAGTCAACATTGCTGAACCGGGCTCGCCCGTCTCATATGAACAGGCCCTAAAGGCGATTCTCCATTACCTCCGCTCCGCCCGCGCGGGCGAAGCGCGCTTTGTTTTTCAGACCCGTCACGGTCGCGCGGGTGAAGCGGACGTTAATGGAGAATCGGCTTAAGACAGAATATCATCACAATATTCAATTCGTAATCGCATTGTCTGATAAAGGCGTGATTGCAAAGTAAATTTTCGAAAATAGAGAAACGAATTGGAACAAATTAGCCACATACCAGGTTTATCCAAGCATCCAGACATCTCACGGCATGTACGTCTAATACTATCGCTCACAAAGTGCTGAATACGTTCGATGACTTCAAGATTTGCCAATTCTAGCAATAAAAAGGAAGTTTAATCAAAATCAAAACCAATGAATGTTTCCAGCTATATACAATATATAGTCATCAAAATTTAGTCTATAGCTAGAATTATATTTATCACATTTCTGGACATCTAAACCGAGCCAATGAAGACATTTCAGAAAAATAGACAGGAAATTGACAAAAGAATGAATTACTGATATGATAGTTCCTATAGGGGTTAGTATTAGAGAGAGGAGACCACGGGAGTTCTCAGAGAGAAAATCGTCGTACTACAGGAGAGAATCGCATGAGTTAGTGAAGCAAACTGGTCGACCTTGACTTCATTAAAACAACTTCAGTAAATAAAGTCTTACGTGAAAGAACTGTTTCATCAGAAAGATCAATTTGGTTCCTTGCCCTTGAACCAGCATCGTGCCTATCATCATGCCTTGACCAATTATTATTTCTATCATAACTCCTTGTTCGACATTTACCACTCTCATTGCTACTACTTCTTGCATTGTGACGTTTTATGCTGTATCTTGAACGATATCTACTTTCTCTAGCAGGAGAGAGGGGTTTAGAGGACAATTTATCTCGCTTAGTCGTATAGCTGCTTCCACTCGGAGATAATGAACGTTGACGTTCACGTCTTGAATCGGCAGGGACATTTTGAGAATAATCCTCGTCTGCTCCACGAGCAGGTATATTTGCCGGGTAATCTTCAACTACCTTACGACTGGATCGTGAACGTGCTTGCTCGCGTGCTGTGTTGAGATTTTCTCTTTCCTTTCGACTTCGTCTGCCAGAAAGATATCGTTGACTGACATGGCTCGCAGTCTGTGCACTCGCGCTGTTCCCAGAACGCGAACTGCTGTTTCCGATACGTGAACTTGCACTGCTTGCTGGACGCGAGCCCGCACTGCTTCCTGGTCGAGAATCATCGCTGCTTCCAGCGTATCGACTACCATACTTTCTATAATCTCTCCTGTTTGGAGATCTAGCTGGCCGTTCTAATTCAGGAGAACTAGATTTGCGTCGTTTAGCAAATTCAGGAGAGATCAGTTTTTTCTTGGTCTCATTGTGTGCTGGACTGCGATCAGGTGTAGAGATAGGGCTGCCAAGATTTGGCGAGGTCATCCTACATCTATTCTCTGCGGCTACATGAATGCGTTCTGGCATTAGTTCACTATCAGGATTAAGGGGTGTCATTTTACGTAAGGCCTCTTCAGGTAATGCGCTATTGGCTTGGGAAGAAGCTGCAGGGTCATCAGTCCTAGATCTTACTATGTCGACCATCCGGCTACGATGACTTCGGGAAGTAACGTGCTTTTCAGAATCATGAACTTCTCCTACCTTCCGTTTCTTTATGCTAATAAATTCACGCAAATCCGTAAGCCCTACTCTTTTTTTTCCAGTTTTCCTCCAAGTTTCTTTCTCTGAAATGGGTATATCTACGAAAGAATCATCATCGCTTTTAACAGAATCGCTGCTTGTATAAATCTCGACGCCATCGCCATATTTAACCTCAGGCTTTTCATTTCGGGCTTTTTTAGGTTTGGCTCGTTTTGGCCTTTTGTTAGACTCGTGAATCGTTTCGTTATCAGAGAGAGGTATAACCTCATAGGTTTCATCGTTACTGTCAAGGAAATCGGATACATTGCTGACATACATATCCTGATCGTTGTCCTTCATGACTGTGGTGCTATAGTTCAAAAAGTTTGTTTTGCTGAAAGCCTCTTCGCTTTTCTGAATTACCCTCGACTTAGATGAAGTTAAATTGTCCAGCGTTTGTTGTTGTCCTGTGTCGTCTTTTCTCTCATTTGATGTATTTCTCTCCTGTCGGGTATCTTCCATTTCAGAATCTTCTAGATACTTTTTTGAACGTGCCTCATCTGAAATTTGGGAAATTACGGAATCGGTCAAAACACGTGTGTCCATCGAAAACAGAAAGTTACATATTTAACATGTTTCTCACGCCCACTTTTCATACATGTACAGCTAACTCAATAGAGTTTAATGGACCATTCCTCTATTATACCAAAGCTGTCTGTATTCATAGAATCCAGAAATAAGTAGAATTGGAAAATTTGGTTGCGAAATATTGAAGTGCGAAAAATCTCGGCATGCATGAGAAGTTGGTAGATTCTCTTTTTAAATTTAGTAAAATAAAGGAATGGTCGTTTTGTCTTTCGAAACATAAACCCTAAATTTTTTTTTGCTTGTCTGCTCATGTCCTGTAGTTCATTTTAGTAAACTTTGGAAATTTACTTCATCAACCATAAAGGGGATCACAATTTATACTTTTCCAATTTTCTGTGTCAAATGTCTTGTTATAGAAAACATTCTCCGTTGTAACCAACATAAGAATGCCTATGCATGACAATGCAGACTCGCAACACAGAACATACTTATTAGGGGCCACCTCAAACCTTAAAATTTCTATCGTTGGGCGATAGTCTGTTTTAGTCCGGACACACACCAAGGAGTTTATCACGTGCATACAGTACTTACCAGGTTTGAAGAGAACATCATCGGCGTTTAACTCACCCATATACCCTGAGGTTTCAGGAGTAGGGCTTCTATCATTCGGGATCTCTGAATCGCTGGAAATTATCGAAATCGGTGTGATTTTACCACTCGCATTGTTCTTTTTTGACGGGCTTTCACCGCTTTCTTTTTGTTTTAACACATCCCCAGGAAACTCCGAAACAACATCAGTATGCACTCTAAAATTGCTACGTGTATTCTCGATGGAGATAGGAAATGCACCCTCATTCTTTTGTCCCTCCAAACACTCCCCAAAGCTACTCCTATCTTGTGTCAATGTATGATTATCATCGGGATTTTCGTCTAGTTTTTCCGCAAAACGTTTTGAATTTGCATGCAGGTCCAAATCATTAACCGCTAAATCTGGATCTAAGTTGCTTCTGACCATCGGCATTTCGTTCCACAGGGGTGTAATCTGTTTGGTATAACCGAAACCAAGAGTGCTTTCTAATTCTCTTGTCGCCGCGGATGGAAAATTTGGGTATCCGGGACTGCCTGCCACATGGCATTGAAATTCTGGTAATGGCTCCGGAACTGGAATGGCTTGAAATCCGGGATAAGGATGTGCGTAGTGAAGTGTCGTGGAGTAATTTTCTTGGTGAAACATAGGTGTGCTATATACACAGAGTATTGGTGGTGGAGGCGGTGGCGGTATTGGGGGAGGGGGAGGTGTGCTGGAATACTGAGGAAGTGTTCCACGCATGGGAATCCCTGGAGTACTCGACCGGGACGAATTGGCTGAAGACATGTTATCTCCACGGAAATATGGATCACTACCATCTTGGGTGGTGATGTTGCCAGGAACAGAAGACAACGTCAATCCATACTCATACAGATCAGTACTGTCCTGACTTATCTCGGTGGAGATAGGTGTAATATTACTGACTCCACAAGATGACGCCAGTGGTGGTGGCGGGGGAGGTGGTAGGGCCTCCCTTGGAAGTGGTGGGGTATATGATGTTGTTGAGGCAGGTGTTTGCAGAGAAGTACGGATCAAACGATCCTTGGTTCTCGATGTGCTGCACTGATCCACCGTGTCACTTACTTTTATCGTCGGCGAAGACGTCTGCTCTTTCTGAGAATTGTTGTTCTTCGGAACATTTTCAGAGAACGTTTCATTCACTTCGCAATCGTTTGGTTGATAATCGTCCACTTTTTGACTTGCTGAAGATGATGATGTAGATGGTGACACAAGAAAATTTACGGCCGTTGGTGATGGTGACGCTGTTTTGTTTTTGAGAAATGAACAAATTTGTCTCAGGTAAGTATTTGTTGTTGGAGGTGGAGAAGATTTTAAATTTTCATGGGGCCTTGACTGCACAGAATTAACCAATGGAACACTCCATTCGGATGTATCTGCAGTCGTATATGTTGCAGTTCGTGTTGAGACCTCAGATGGTTCAGGACAAGTGCGTTCAACCAACCTTTGCTGTAATTGCGCCCGCGAGTCATCAGTGTTAAGACTAGTTGAATAGCTCATTGTAGAGTTGCACACAACTGCATTGGATGTTAGCGAAGGACCTGAACTCGTGAGTGCGCTCGGTTGAAAATGAATTGAGGTTACTGCTGGTGATTCTTTTAAATGTTCGTCTCGCGAATTTGATTGCGGTTGATCTTGAATAAGGACTGGAGATGGGTGCATGTGACTGCTAAGGGTATCAAACGATGTCTGCGGAGGAGTTGTGTACGTTCTAGTAGTAAGTTTTTCCTTTTTCATATCCGCCTCCCTCACATTAACAACACTTGCTGAACTAATATTACAACGATCAACAGAAGGAGAACTGGTTGAAGTGGATGGAGCAGAGGCAGGGATGCGTTGCAGTTTATAGTCATTTGTTGTTAACGGGGATTCTTTGGCAACATTTTGAGACTGGACGAATTGAGGTGATGATCCTGCAGTGGTTGACCTTGTTGGGCTAACTGAAGACGCAGTTGATATTACAAAGCATGCAGGAGTTTCAGTCGTCGAACCACTTCTTCCTGGTCGTTTTCCTGTTTGCGAGAACAAAGCCATAAGACGAGAGGACAGTCGTGAAACTTTGTCCTTGTGATCAGACGTCTCGCCAGTCTTGATTAATGTTGTTTCCCTATCTTTCTCACCATCACGTAACAAAGATGGCGACTGTTGAACGACAGCTGGCAAAGTTTCGCTCAATCTTGAACTTTTGACGACAGGAGAAGATTCTGGTGTACCAGCGCAACTATCTGATGATAAAGGTTCGATTTCAGTAGGACTGGCAACTAAAAACCTCTCCGTCTTCAAACCTAGACGAGGATCTATAAAATGGCGTGTTACTGTGTTTGTTTGAGGCACATTAACATCGCAGTCATCGACAACTGTAGCATGTTTCTGAACACGCGGAGGTGATTTAAACACCTCATGGACTGTTCTCTCTTCGTTGTTATTGTTGGAGCAGCCGTCCATGGCATTCAAGCCTTTACCAAAATCTGCCGATATAGCTGCTAAGCTCACATCTTTGTTAACTTCAATTGTGGCATTTGTTTCTTTCTCACCAATCTCGTTAACTGTGCTTTCGATCTGCATTATATCCATAGCATCGTCTATATGGTTGCTTTTACTTTCGCTGTCATTTTGTATAACACATACAGTTTCTTTCTCTAAAGTATCTTTGTCCTGTGCCTCAAGCTGTATTTTCTCACTACGTGAGTCACTTTCACCATCGACGGAAGACATCTCCATATCACTGTTTGTTACGGAAGACATCTCAGATTGCTCACGTTTTCTAAGCTTTTCTATTTCTATTTTCTGAAGTTCTCTTCGAATATCTCTTCTAACTACAGCCTCTGTAGTAGGGTCTGCAGTAATCTTGTTCATTTTCTTATACGACTGAATGTCTAAACACAAAGAATTCATGATCAGTCGACCTAGCAATCTTTTTTTGAATACACAGGCGAATATTCATCCATATTGAACTATACTGACCTTCCTTTGGTAACTTCTTTAAAATCAAAGCATGAAGCATATTGGGATAATGGCGATCTGTCAAACCTTTAGAAAAAGCAAAGACAAATCATTATACTTTGAACAAACAGATGTATTTCGAATAAACGTTTACGTAGGACTGTAAACTACCTAATTCATGGCTTAATCCTGATGTTGGAATAATGTAAATAAGCGCACTGGACTCAGGGAACTCGACGACACCAGCCTAATAATGTAGATTGGATATATTAGTAGTGTAAATATAGTATAATGACTGCTTTCCACTGTCGTTTTTTTTTCTGACACGTACAGACGGTACAGTGTACGTACACGCACGTAAAAGTTTAAACTTAACTACCACGAAAACTACGCTCTTTCCATTTATTCACTTAGTTTTTTTAAAGATAACTTATATCAACATTTAGATCTTTACGAGCCGTGTGCGTACGTGACGTCACCGACGTGCGTATGAAAAATGCGTAAGTGAAAAGCAGCCCTAAAAATTATTGATATTCCATGGAACTTCATTCAATTCTGGTTTGCCGATATGTGGTATTACAACTATGGATGTATAATATATGTACTTCACAAGTAAACAGTCAAGAACCTGCTGAAATAACTTACCAGACTTTCCTTTTGAAAAAACCTAACCAGTTTTGCTAACTTAGAATTGTTCGTGTTTCGAGGTCGGAGTTCGCAATACAGGTACATCTCTCCATGGTGAAAAGCTGGTCGAATTGAAATAGGAGAAAAGATGAAGAATAGGCAAATATTTTACGCCTAGATACTGTACATGATCATTTGGATAACAATTTGGTAAAACTGCGCTTTAAATAAGCATATATTTGTATCTACGATTTCAAGAATAAGTAATAATATACCTTTACATTTCGTTGAAATGGCTGGCAATTGTTTGAAAAGAGGCAGGAGAAATTTTGCTCTTAGTTTCTCGAACGGGACCTTTCCTTTGATATTAATATTACCACCACTGAAAAGCAAACATTGTCTTCATGTATGGATAAATTATCTTTACGAATGTGGTAAGGTTGTTTGAAATGGAAATAGCAACGCGCGCGAGTGTAAAGCACGTGTTGCCTTCAGAAACAATATAATAACTGCTTCGTAGCTACACGTACATATTCAATACAATATTATTTTAATCTAATAACACCTTGCCATATGGAAACATCAGAGTAATTCTAATAGACCTTTCTCAAAATGACCTCAAACACGGAAAGGCAGATGTTACGCGAAGTTTGAAAGAGAAAAGTTTGGCACTTACATCGTAATTGGTAGAATGTCACTAGAATAGCATAATAAGTCCGCTGATGAGAGAATTTTTGCTTTGTTCTTCACCACGCCCGACCACAGAGTTCTTCCATGTTTTGCATAGTTTTCATACATTCGACCTACAGGTAAGGTTTAAAGATATTATTTCTGCCTGTTTGGTAATAGGACAAACATGAGAATGATGACAAAGCGTGAATCATGCAGGCAAATATTCTCATATTACCATCAACTGTAGAATTCGTGCCTGACAAAGCCGCAACATCGTGCTGAAGTGAAGAGATATGAAAACTATTTTGAATACTGGTGCATCGATCGCATTATCGATCAGCTGACGCATTTATAGTAGAAAATGTAGCAAATTTGAAAATGTTCAACTTACGTACATTTTGAGGTTTAGCACATGAACAGGGGAATTATAAGACGAAAACAATTCATGAAATGAAATATGACGGACGTCTCATGGATACATAGGTTATCTAATCACCCCATGGTATTTTTTAACATATACTGTACTGCACGTATTTACACTGAAACCTTACCCATTGAGATATAAATAAAATAATGTAAAGTGCTACAATTGTAGAGTGGTAAAAAGGACTTGCGCCAAAAGCATTTAAGCAAGCATCTTCATACTACAATTTATTGAGGACTTACGTTTTTTTCGTTGATCAACGAGATAGTCAGAGCAGGAAGATTGCGGGATTCATGGCTTGGTAAGTTACGGTGAGACGAATCCTGAGTTAAGACACTTCTTGATGCTGAATATTGTGAATGACTGGATTTGACCGAAAACTGTACAGCAGCATAAGGACAACACTGTCGTGGCCTTCGCGCATGTAAATCATCGCCATCATCCGTGAATTCATAAAAGTAATACTAAAAATATATATGATTATCTATTACACTACATTAGAGCTCCCCATAATTCAAATAAACAACCAAAAATGCAGCAACAGTTTCCTGCCTTGCTTCCAGAAAAACACAGAGCTCAGAATAATACTGGGACCCTGAATGTTTTACTACATCAAATATCCCTTATTACCTGAGAAGATGCGAAAGCTTGTTCCAATGAGACATTATGTGCAGGGGGAAAGCTCTTGGATATATGACCATCATAATTTGGTGTAGGTTCAATAGCACAACCATCGCCAGTTCTTTCACCAACTGCCTTTAACCTTCCCTATAAACAAAATATGCAGCACCTAATTAAAATGTCACACAAGGAACACAAGCATGTTACCTTTTTAAGAAATGTAACTTGCTTGTGTAGAGCTGAAGATCACATCATTCTAAAACATGAAGACTTGTATAAAACACAATGGTTCTATACCTTTGCAATTTTGAAGATCATAAGGTACCTAGGATTCCGGACTGGAATTGAGTATGGTGACACAATGTCAGGGAATCTAGACAAATAAATCCCTAAAAGAAGGAAATATTTTGATTTACACTGACCCTTCATTATTATAACCACAGAGATGACATTTCTCATATACTAACCCATTTTTGGATCTCCCAAACTGGAAATGGAACTTGATCCAACTCGCAGACCTTCCTTTGCCATTTTTCTTACCTAATTAATAAGTATCAATTCCTTAATTGAAATGATTAAAAATGCCCTAGAACCACACTTTAGAATTATTGAAGGCAATGGAGGGGAGAGCCCTCAAAATCTTTCACAAAAGAACCAAAATTCATATATATTGCTCTCAGGGTTGTAAGAGTTGTCATTGATGTTGAAAATTGTTGTGTAACATCGCCTTTAGTAAGCAAATTTACATTGTTAAATTGACCTTATTATTATCAGCATAAAGAGGACAGTGACACCTTGGCAAGTTTAAACTAGAATAAATTCAATCTAGCATTTCATTTTTGAGGCCAAATTCTTCTATCATTTATTTCAATTTAGAATACCTTGTGCCAACCATCTAGATAAAGATATGCAAAGGTATCCTCCAAATCTTTTTGTGCATATCCCTCTTGCCTCATTTCTTGTTTTTTTTCACTAAACTGGAAGGAGTGTATGAAAGCATTATCACTACAAAGTTACAATCACAATGATAGTTACAATTCTCAAAATGTTGGCAAACATACCTCAGTATTGAACCGTGCATTGTGAACAATTGTCACATTTTCAAACACATAATTTGAATCATTATCTGGCTGATGAAATGACTGTTTAACTTTTCTCAATATTTCTATAGCATCTCTTGATTCAAGACCTTGTATATCCAGTAATTCTAAAACACGAAAAAAACATTACCAAGGTGAAATGAGAAAACACAAGAGATTTGATTGTTGATTTTTTCCACACACATTACCAAAATCTACCACCCTTTGCCTTTCCTACATCCCAGGCTGGGATTCCCAGCTTTTGGTATCATATACATAAAGTGTATTTATAGATTGTCCACATAAAAGTTGGTCTTAACTCACAAGTTAACTCAAGTTGAACGCCTAAAGCAGGAAACAATACAGATATTCAATAAATGACATGCACTTTTAGAAGCGTTTCTTTACTTTGGTCTCCCAATTGTGTCAACCCTAAGACTGCAGGTAATGATGTCATTTGTCAAGTGCATGAGGCGATAAAGACACTTAAGCAACTTAACAGCTGGGGCTGGTTGTTCAAAGCTAGGTTAGCGCTAACCCTGGGTTAAATTTTACTCAGCCGTTTCCGTTTATATGGTTCTGCACTGCTGTTCGTTTCAAGACTTAGGACTGCAAAATAGGACTACCATTTATCCACAAAATATTTATGGGAAAACATGTTCAACTGCATAACCGAGCAATTAAAAATACTGATGTAAAAAATTGAATTAACCCTGGGTTAAACTAACCGTCTTTTAAACAACCGTCCCACAGTCTTTTGAACAACCTGCCCAGGTGTGTCAAAATGTTGTGAATTGCAATTCAATTCAATTTGCTTTGCATTCATTCAAAACTAAAATCAACATTATAAGGCTTAACTAAAGCTCTTATACAAAGAATCATGCACTGTTATTAACAGCACAGCAAAACACATGCCTGGGGAAAATGGGAATGTTTCGTGTGGCGGTTTCTTTCCCTTGCGTAATTAATGTATATAAAAAACCATAAACAGGCTTTTGTTGATGACTTGCACAATTACAATAAATAAATATCAAGCTTTTACAGTTAATTTCCAATTATGATAAAATTAACTTGTTGTTTTAATACATGAACTTTTTATATGAAATAATGTCAATGAAATATGAAATCGGAATACGATTGTAGTAACACAAAAAACTATTAAATTACCTCGCGTCTTTTTATTTCTCGGTATAACAAATTTCGTTGAGTTTGGTTGCACTGGGACTGTGTGTTTGCGTACTTCTTTGTTCGTTTTCTTCACCACATTTTGCGTCTTTGCCTTCACTCGTTGCTTTAAAGGGACATCGTCCTCTGTTGACGATGAAGATGATTGTTTCATTCTTGTAACACGCTAAACTTGTTTCTTACTAAAGACACCACCAGCTGTCATGTGCTCAATGACCATGTCACTCTGTTAGTCGCATAAAATCACTTCTGCTGCAAAAATGTCTCCTGCTTTGAGAAGGAACATGTCTCGCATCCACACTAACATGGCGGAACAAGTATTTCAGTCATTACTGTTTATATATCGTGCAATTTAGAGCAGTATTCTGTACAACATGCAGAAAACTGATGACAAGCATAAAACATGACCCATGTTATCTCGCTAGGATTGCATGTCGGGTACTCTCGGTTCTCGGGCATTTCCGAAAGACGGTCGGAATTCGGTCGGAAATGTGATCGGAAATGCACACCAGAAACTGGTCTTGGGGACACTGAGCGGTAATGGTCTCCGCAGGCTCCAAATAACAAATAACTGCTTTCCCGCCCTACCATTCCGGGAACGCAATAACAACTACAAATTCATATTACTAGCAATCTTCTAACCATAAAAGTGTATGCTAATATTTCCAAGCAAATCTGAAACCAGGATAAACGTAAATACAGGGTCAACTGCCCCTCTCCCTTTAATAGCAGGCCCGGGGGAAACAACAAATCAACATAAAAACCGCATCTACGCGTATCCGTAAACATTTTGTTGCGGTCACGTATCCTACGAAAACGGAAACCACATCCGCAATCACGCTTGGACGAAATTTAATGCTTGGTTTACGCTTGGTTGTAATTGTCATTTTCACAGATAAGAAATGGTCCGGATGTGAATTTGTTTCAATTTCTGTATTCTAACTAACGGTCATTGTTGAGTGTTGACTGCACGCACATAGAAGACAGAAAAATTCCATCAGCCACCACCCTGGACGACACTCACGACTAGATGGAAACCAGGCAAAAACGCAACAATATTACCGAAAACCCCGAACCTTACTAACGTTATTTTCCCTGGTTGTTCTAGATTTTCGTAACGGCGCCACTGGTCAAATGGTCTGTTTATACATAGATAGTAATGAAGCTGGTTACCATATGACGCTCCTATAGCTCAGAGAATCATGGTGAGTTTTATTTTATTTTACCTTCATAGGCGCAGGGAAATCATTTCCACATTAGCGTTCGTACGAGCTCGGTGAGATACCGCCATATTTTGCAATTGAGCTTGCGGCTTGCATTTCAAACGCGTTGTTCCATTGTTTGAAACGGTGCGTTGATTGGTTAGCAACGCCTTACATTTCCTAGGCTATGACATTTCTATAAATAGCAATGTCATACCAAGGAAATGCATTTAATACTGAATTTATAAACTGTTGTTTATAAACCGAATTGTCTGATTTACACAATACACATTGCAACATGATAAAGTTCAGCAAAGCAGATAGGACGTACAATGTTGGATGATGAAAAAAATGATGAAAATTTTTCGTCACCATATTCCAACTAGCGTATAAATAAATTCATGATGCAATCTCACTCGCCCATCAAGCCGCAAGCTCAACTGCAAATGGCGGTAGATACAGTGTACCGTCCATTTTTCGGGGGCACTATTCTTGATTTTCGAGCACAAACAACATGATAATCGCCCCCCCCTACTTCTTCAAACAGAGAGAGGCCCTGAGATCGTGACGTCATGAGGCGACTCATTTTATCTCATTCTTTTTACTAAAAGTACAAAGGACGTTAAATTAAAATTCACCACGGCCGGCCTCTTGACAAATAGAAAGTCTTACTCTACCTCATAAGTTAGGTATAATTATGATATAACTATACTTATTTTCTGCTTCTAGCTAGGCTGTAAATAAGGACCATTATAAGGTATATATGTAATGTTGGCCATTTGGCCATCAGAATATGTTCCTTGAAACACATGAGTCTGAGCTTGAGATTATTAATACAATTCAGTTATGATCTAAATCACCTCATTTTTAAATTTTGTTCCCATAATGCTTGGAAAATACATCTGAAAATTTGTTACTCGTGTTTATATCATTTTCTTAACTTTTATGTGCATCACCAGATGACGTCTTGTTTTGTATTTCTCATTTATTTACATTCACTCATTCGTCGTTACTGGGACATATAGTCATAGAACATATTTATTTGCCAGAAATAATCAAAAGCTACATCACAAGAGAATTACTGAAGTATACAGTAAAATTGGCAAAGAAGCGACAAGTCCTATCTATCGAGTATCCTGCTTCCAACTTCCTTAATTAGGCAAGCTTAAAGAAAAAATAGCTGAACATAGAGAAATTATTTTATACAACTATGGCACACTAGCAGTTCTACAAATGTATTAGATGAATATATATCTGAAAAAAATAAGCAGAAGCAAAAATATTTTTTAAGTTTCCAGTGGGTGATGACCAAGTTCCTATGATCGGCTTGTTGTATCCGTTGCAGTTAACATTAATGTTCGCACAAATTGGCATTTTGAAATGCACATGAAAAACCGTTTCTTTTCCCTGACTAAGGAAGCCAGAATAGAATGACCAAGTTTTGTCCACATGATTCCATTGTTAACTTTAACATAAATTGTTCACCACTTAAGATAAATGGTGTCTCCAGGACCAACAGAGTAGAATGAGAGTGGCCTTAGATCATCATCAAGTTTAATTTCATGATCACTCTTATCAACATAGGATAAAATTTGGCTTGATGGTGGGACTTTGAAGATTCTTTGCAAAAGTCCCTTAAGCTTTGCAATGGTCATTGAACCTGGAAGCTTTTTAGTAACAGACTGCCTGTCTATGTCAGTTACACATTTAATTGTAACAACAATTAGACTGCTTTTTAGGGTATTCACATTGCTGGGAGATGAACCAAGACCATCTGGAATACCATGAGATTGAAGTAATGACATATACTTTGGATGCTTTATCAAGAATCTTGAATCCATGTTGGATTGTGAGATGTTGGTATTACCACCTGATGCTAGATATTCTTGACCGTACTTTTTGATGTAGGCTCTTTCAGCAGCTAATCTTTCTTTGACAGTCACATCACTCCCATTTAATGTGCCACATTTGGCAATCCTTGCAATCAGTTCTTGCCTTGCATCATACTGACTCATACCACTCACCAAAGGGCAACACTTTAAAGTTAGCACACCCAATACTTGAAGTCTGTTTAATTGATTAATGCTGCTCCAGCTTGATATCATAGTGTTCATCAAAGCCAGGGACTTCAGCCATGGGAATATATCAGCACTTTCCATGATATCACCAGGAAATGAAACATCACCAAGTGGATTGTCACTTACGACCAGCACTTCTAGATGTGGTATTTCATTTAACAAAAACAACTCATCCCAGTTTGACAAATTGTTCCCCTCCAAATTGAGCTTGCACAGGCAACTTAAACTGGATAAGTCTAATTTACATCTCAGGCTGTTTATATTGTTGAAGCTAGCATGTACCTCCTGTAGGCCACTAAAAGTGGTGGTCAATGTTAGGATATCTTGCCAATCCAATTGCATATAATTGACAACTAATGTTTTCAAAGCTAACTTAGGTGACTTTTCTTTTTCCGAGAGATCAAAACTACTAGGCTTTAGATGCAATCCACTGATATCAAGCTGAATAAGACAGGGTAGGTCTGTTACAATTCTGACTACTTCTTGCCATTCACATAGAAGTGTATTGGATAAATCTAGTTCCACAATATTAGGTGCAACTAAACTAAGAGATTTTCCATCTTCAGGGCCACGAGAAACATTTGTACCACGCAAGCTTACACGTTCTAGCCGCTTAAGCTTTTCTTCCAAATCACCGCTCTCATTCTTACTAACATGATACACACAATCAAATTCGGAGAACTCTTCTGTACTGTGTAGCTCACTGAATTTACTTAATAAAGCTGTAACAACATTAATTCCAAAATCAAGTTTCTTTGCACGAACAAAACTGCCATTGCCAGGACGTTTACATGTAAAGTATTTTACACCTTCATGCTCTCCACTATGCTTTCCCCTGCCATCCACGTCCCACTCAATACCATACCATAAACCTGTGGATGGTGGTATTTCACCAAAGTACTTTATGGTGCCGTAATTTCCATCACTAACTACTCTCGTTCCTTCGACACTTTTGTACGAATTCGCCATGTTCATTCCATTCATTACGTAATCGGTCACTGAACTCAATTTTTTTGGATTAATATAAACCTATTGCTTAATATCTAAAATATCAAAAATACTGCATAATATTATGCAAGTTCGTTATAATTCTTAAGTGCTTTGTTTTGTAAAAGTTGTGCTTGAAAAAATGGTCTATTGGTATGCAGATCTTTAGAAAGTCCCTCAGTTAATCTATGCAACAAAGTTCTTCTACTGCTTGATAGCAATGAACAGACCTTGCGTTGAACACGAAAAGGGAAAAGCACGACGTTAATGATATGCTCGTTAGTGGTTTTACAGAGCCAATCAATTTGACATTTGCATTCCGCGTTTAACGTCATTGAATATTTTGTGTTGCATTAATTAAAATTAAAAAGGAACACCCGACACAGAAATGCCTACACTCCACACATATAAACTTCTGATGGGCAATACATAAAAAAAATCCCGCATAGGAAAGTTGCTAACAATTAACCAGAACAGCTTAAACAACGACAGGACTCAGGAATCAAAACTACGGCAAATCAACCAGACCACCATTCGAGTAGGCAGTATACTTTCGGACATCTTAGGACGACATCAAGTTTCCAGAATTTCGTATACACAGGGTGTCCAAAAAAACCCAAAACTATTGAAATCACCCATAATGTAATAGTCAGAGTTTAGTAAACTATTGAAATCACCCACAAGTGTATACATAAATGTTTGACAAGCATTTTTATGCACGATGACAGTAAAGTTTGTTTGTACCCACAAATCATTTTTATTACCAGTGATTACAATTTACAGATAACAATAACAATATTTAAATTTACATCTCAAACACCATGACCTTTGCTATGTCCTTCTTTTCTAGCAAATTTTAAATTTTTTTGTAGGTCTATATATTTACTATTTAGCATTTTATAAGTTGCGTTAATCCCCACGAGCATAATTTCGCGAACAAGTCATTCAAATTCTTACACTGACAGGTGATTTCAATAGTTTTGATGTTTTTTGGACCGCCCTGTACATAATTATGCTTGGCACAAAATTTTATTTACTCTGGAAAAAGGGTTTCCCACCTATAACAGCAGAGAGCTATCGCCTTTCCTGAATAGTTTTCTTTTAGCATGAACGAAAACTAGTCATATAGATATTATGGTTGACTTGAACCCAGTTGGCCTGAAGCAAATCCTAAATCAAGTTGACCGATCTTGTATACAGTCTACATGCAGGGTGTATAAAAAGGGAGACCTCGTTATTATCAAGCAAATCAAATTGTCATGTTATAATATACCTAATATGACTTTTCAAGTGCATATTTTATAGGCCAACAACATTCAAAACTATAGGAATAAATATATATATATATATATATATATATATATATATATATATATATATATAATATTGATTCCTGAAGGTCTCCTTTTTTAATACACTCTGCATGGGCTATGCCTATGTTTTGTCCATACACAATTTTAATGCATGTGAAATCAAGCAGTGCTATAAGCCTATATGCATGGGTCAAGGAAAGTTTGATTTAATACTGAAGACTGAAGTGTCTTGCTTTTATTATTTTGTCCGGAATTTATAAAATTGTCTGACAAACAAGCTAGTTGATGAGTTTCATAATTTTATTATTATTAAGACACTCAAGTTACCCTCAAGACAGTGTTCGTTCAATACTATCAACTTTGACTTTGTTATCAAATAAGGGAGTTTTTCATCATTTTTCTAGAAATGCATGGGTGTATAAAAAACACGATAAATATTCCATCTTTTGTGATCAAATACAAAGCGAATATCATGAATATACTTTGCGGTTGCGTTTTTTTATACACCCTGTGGTTGCGTTTTTTTATACACCCGGTATCTCCCCTCGTCTGTAGGTTTTTCGGCGCAATTAAGTGTCGGTATATAGCAAGGTAAAACGGATATCCGCCTACCTGCATTAATATAGAGTTAGTTGAGTCACGCAATACATAGCTCATTGTCGGACTACTAGTCCGCAATCTCGAAGTATCGAGAAACATGATTACTTTAAAATTTATTGTCATCCTTTCAGTTATAGGCGGGACTGAAAACGTTTGTAAACCATGCACATCAATTAATTATATATGTAAACAGTTCTTATTAATTAAAACTAACAAAAAATGGGGATCAAAGCTGGTGGCTCAAAGGTTTTGGTTGTATACTAATTTTGGATAATATCATATTGACACAACTGCAAGCACAACTTGCAAATATACGTTGTATATCTCTGGTCATAAGACTCGACTGTATAAAACCATTTTTATCAATAAAGATAAATCACGCCATTAATTTTTATCTTTGTGGTGGGCATGCAGAGTTTACTCGCTTGGAGTTACAAGTTACAAATTAGCCATCCTCTGGCTCTGTCTCTGGTGAGGCATCCCAAGTCACTCATAAAGTCATGTCTATTAACCTGTTCCCTAGACAGCTTTTTTTGTCAACTAGTATTCGAGTTTCCACGCAGAAAACTGATTGTCTACATGCAGAATACATGTTTGTTCATCTGTCTTGTTGTTTATAATAAGCATATACGGGATCTATACGACCATTCACAGTGCAAATTGTTTTTTAAACAGGCTGAGAATTTAACAATATACCCACGCACTGTAATATATGCAGCGCAACAGAGGTCAGTGATAAAACAGCCCGCATGCAGAATCAAAAGTCATTGTCAATGCAACGCTTGGGTGAGAGAAACACTTTGCTGTTCACAGAAAACCAATATATTTGTTTGTCGAAGTTTCACTGAGGGCATAAAGAGAAAGGTAGCTATGTAAAGTTACAATATATTTTAGCTTTTTATATATAAGGCCACTATGCATTTTCGCACTATGGTATACATGTATATTATATATATTATGTAGTTTTCGAAAGCAGTGATAAAAATTATAGACATGAATGCTTTAACTGATATATGTGAAATGATGCCACGTAATCTTCGGTGAATCTGTGGCTTTCTGACTGTTAATGGTCTTAATTCAGTGCTGTTGAGAAAAATTTATAAAAACTATATAGGTCTACCAACAGGAATTGAAACTACGCCTTTGCGATGCCAGTGCATGCCATGCTTTCAACTCCCAACTTTCTCAGCATGAATTTAAATCGAGGTAAAATCGAGTGAATGCAGCGTAAACGGGGCTTATAAGATAACTACTTTATCGATGGTATCGAATGTGTGTGTGAGTAAAGACAGGCCCGCTTACCAGAAAGGCCATTATCAATGATGTAGAGTGATTATTGAGTGCAGCTAATTGTAGCTTTTCTACCAGCGTTAGCTACCTAGCTGAAAAAGTGCCATAATGATGAATGAAAGCAATTTCGTTTCAATTTTCTTGTTTTGTTATCAGCATGCTTTATCATGCAATAGACAATAAAGAAGCATATATATAAAGTGTGTCTGCACTAAAAAAGGACTACAATATATTGTAGTAATATATTGTGATAAATATCTAATAGTTCTCTAATAGGAACGTAAACTTGTCACTTGTGAACGTAAACCTGCAAGGGTATTGAATTTAAAGTTAAGTTTAAATCTTGTCGCCTTACATTCTAGTATACATGTTAGGTTTTCGACCCTGTGCTTGCGCACGCACACTAGTCCCTCGCAAGTTAAATTTTTTCTAATAATATCATTTTTTTTTGTTAAGTTGTTATCGGTGTTTTGAAATAACTCATTGGAATGCAGACACACTTTATAATTTCTATTCATTCTCCCCGCCCTGTCTGCTAGACCCTTCGCCGGCCGCAAGTGTTGTCGGCACTGCATGCATGATGATTTTAATGTCCCATCATGCATCAGTCAACATATGTCACTGAACTATATTATTTGATTACACTGTATTGTGGGTGTCGAATAAAGGGCCCAACTCGAAAATGAAGCACCTACGTAATTATGCGCAAATCACTTCTCCGTGATAACCTCATACTTATTACATTTAATCACAATTCCACAAAATTTGTTTTATAATCCTACTGTTCTATATTGACCGCTCGATTTCGGCCTGACCAGAACCACCAGAAAACTTTAGCAAATTCTGACGACAAATCAACCAAAACTTGAATTTCGCGAAAGACCTGATTTGAATAATTCATTGCTGGGTAGTTATCAACAACATGCACAAATCCTATCAAAATTCCCGATAGAATAGAGTGAATCGTTTATGCTTTGATGATATTAACCCGGCCACTATTTACTATTTATCACTATTTTTCCTGTAGGCAAAATGACTCGACGTAATTTGTTTTTGATTGGCATTACCTTGGGTATCTTAGTAAGCACGCACGAAGTTTTTTCTAATGAATGTCCTAGCCTTGGTGATTTTTTAAACGATGACTCACAGAGATCTTTGGAGGGATCGGTATTACCAAAAGAAGCTTGGTCAGAAGGATTTCGGAAAGAGCTTAGTTTCTCTATTCCGGAAGATATTGAAGGTTGGAAAATCTTGATGGTCTTCTCGAAACCTGTGGAGCGGCTGGAAATTTGGAGGGCAAGAGTTGCAAAAATTGAAGGTGGCAAGGTTTTTCATCTAACTAACATGCCTTGGAATAAAAAGCTTCCTGAAGGAAATACATTAACAATGGCGTTTTTAGCCAGATTTGATGCTGGAGAAGCCCCGGAGGTTTGTTTTGCTTATCTTCTATGGGAAGGCACCCCGAGTCCCTTTCCACAAACAACCGAACCAGTGAAAACAACTGAACCATCAACCGTAAATCCTCCCGAGACAAACCCCCCTTCAACCACACAACCAGCACCAACAACTGAACCAGCTGCCACGACGACACAACCTTCAGTAAACCCATCGTGTTCAAAATACCTAGAGTTGCTTTTGGAAGTATCAAATCAGAGATCTTTGGAGGGATCGGTATTACCAAAAGAAGCTTGGTCAGAAGGATTTCGAAAAGAGCTTAGTTTCGCTATTCCGGAAGATATCGAAGGTTGGAAAATCTTGATGGTCTTCTCAAAGCCTGTGAAATTGGAAATTTGGAAAGCAATGGTAGCAAAAAATAATAATGGCAAGGTTTTTCATCTAACTAACATGCCTTGGAATAAAAATCTTCTTAAAGGACAAAAATTAACAATGGTGTTTTTGGCCAGATTCGATGCCGGAGAAGCTCCAGAGGTTTGTTTTGCTTATCTTCTATGGGAAGGCACCCCGAGTCCCTTTCCACAAACAACCGAACCAATGGAAACAACTGAACCATCAACCGTTAATCCTCCCGAGACAAACCCCCCTTCAACCACACAACCTGCACCAACAACTGAACCAGCTGCCACGACGGCACAAGAAACAACTCAGACAGCGCCACCCACAACTCAACGACCAACAACTGAACCAGCTGCCACGACAGCACAAGAAACAACTCAGCCAGCGCCACCCACAACAACTGAACGACCAACAACTGAACCAGCTGCCACGACAGCACAAGAAACAACTCAGCCAGCGCCACCCACAACAACTCAACGACCAACAACTGAACCAGCTGCCACGACAGCACAAGAAACAACTCAGCCAGCCCCACCCACAACAACTCAACGACCAACAACTGAACCAGCTGCCACGACGGCACAAGAAACAACTCAGCCAGCCCCACCCACAACAACTCAACGACCAACAACTGAACCAGCTGCCACGACGACACAAGAAACAACTCAGCCAGCGCCACCCACAACAACTCAACGACCAACAACTGAACCAGCTGCCACGACAGCACAAGAAACAACTCAGCCAGCCCCACCCACAACAACTCAACAGCCTCTCACTGAACCAGCTGCCACGACAGCACAACCTTCAATTATTCCATCATGTTCGAAATACGACTACAACGAAGTACTTCATAAGTCTATTTTATTCTACGAAGCACAAAGATCAGGAAAACTTCCAGCAAATAACCGCATTCCATGGAGGGGAGATTCTGCTTTGGAAGATAAAGGCAACGCAGGTGAAAATTTAGCCGGAGGCTGGTACGATGCTGGTGATTTTGTAAAATTTAATTTCCCCATGGCATTCTCAACGACACTGTTAACCTGGGGTTTCATTGAATATGAAAAAGCTTACTCATACTCTGGTGAACACGATAGAATGTTAGATTCAATAAAGTGGCCCCTGGATTATTTCATTAAAGCTCATGTCAGCAAGAGCGTTCTTTATGCTCAGGTATGCATGTTGCAATAGTTAACTAATATTGGATAAGATAATCATGAAACGTAAAAGTTTCAACGAGATATTTTCATAACGCCAAATAGGCGATATCGCAAATTTTAAACATTTTCGATAATCGATATTAATACCTGCTCGGAATTGATTGACGAGATCATGCAATGTCCTTCATAAATCCTCTTTTCTCAGTCAAAACATGTTACAAAATAAAAAAAATATGTTACAGGTGGGCGATGGTGACGCAGATCATGCACAATGGGGTCGACCAGAGGACATGACTATAGCTAGACCTGCATTCAAGATTGATAGCACAAAACCAGGTTCAGACCTAGCCGGAGAAACCTCAGCAGCAATGGCAGCTGCATCCATAGCATTCCGAAAAACTAATTCCCAGTACGCCGACACTCTCCTCGGGCATGCAAAGGAGCTATACGAGTTTGCTCAGCTGGATCGTGGAAAGTATTCGGACAGTGTCCCTCAAGCTGCTTCATTTTATAGATCAAGCCATTACGAGGATGAACTTGCCTGGGCAGCAGCATGGTTATACAAAGCAACCAATGATCCAAATTACCTTCAAAAAGCAGAGAAACATTTTGCAGAGTGGCCACAATTTCAGAATCCCGCGTGGGCCTTCTCATGGGATGAAAAAACTGCCGGCGTACAAATGTTGATGTATGATTTGACTGGCAAGGATATGTATCGGCAATATATTGAACGTTCTTTGAACGAATGGCTTCCAGGTGGTTCTGTTCAATACACTCCCAAAGGTTTAGCCTGGCGTATTAAATGGGGTGCAAATCGATACGCGGCCAACACTGCATTCTTGGCACTGTTAGCTGCAGATAAAGGCTTAAAAAGCGAGGCTTTTGAACAGTTCGGTAGAAATCAGATTCATTACATGTTGGGTAAGTACATTCTGCAGGGGGCGGTAGTACGACAACTGGATAGCCCTGTCCACCGGATAGTGATTTTTTCAAGCGTTCTAAAAATGCTCGAAAAGCAATAAAATTTCAGGTTTGGAACCAACAATTAATAAAGAGGATCCCCGATTTAGGTATACTATGATTTAAACAAAGTTATTCCTATCAACAAGTGCCTGACCTTAAAGGGATTCAAAAAACCACCGTCCGGTGGATAGCAATTGTGGATAGCGCTATTCAGATTTGATACAACCCGCCCCAGAACTTCAATCATAATCTATTCAACATTAAAAATACGTTTTTTGCAATGAAGGACTATTCGAAAGTATGAGACAACACACATAAAAATTATACAGCATTCAGCTGTGTTCTGCTTGGTCCGAATTTCCGATATATCCCATGCATGGGACAGATATAAATAGTAAATACTTTTATCCGGTTAAACTGCTTATAAGTTGGAAAGTATATAATAGATATCTACCACTGTAAAATTTGCTCCAAAATCTTGCGTTATATTTAACAGAATTTCATCAACTGATTTTTAGGTGACGCTGGTCGCAGTTTCGTGGTTGGTTTTGGTGAAAATCCGCCTCAACGTCCTCACCACAGGTCAAGCTCATGTCCTGACAGACCAGCATCATGCACGTGGCAGAATTATAACCAGCCAGGTCCAAACCCACAAGTATTGAATGGTGCTTTGGTTGGTGGACCTGATAACGATGACAGCTATCAGGATAGACGAGATGATTTCATAAAGAATGAAGTGGCTTGTGATTATAACGCTGGTTTTCAATCTGCTGTGGCTGCACTAAAAGCAAGAGAGAAGTGCATGTGACAGAAAACTCTAAGAGTAATTGATGCATGTATACGATGTTAAACACTCACGTATATTAATGTTTATTTTTTGTATAGCGTAATCTAAAATGCTAGACAAGCTTATATTTTGTCACTTTTCACGTAATATGCATACATAATCACAACAGGCACCATATATGCATCTTCTTTTTACCTGTTTTTAAATACATAATCATAACCCACATCGTTTGATTTATGTTACAGAGACTTTTAAACAAAAATCCAAGAATTACACTATTGTATCATTTGTACGGGTGCAGGCTGGGCCCATACAAATGATATTTTGATATATACCGCAGGAACAATAGCGTACAAAAGAAATCACTTGGGCACAAGACGAATATATGAAACTTATGAACATACCCCCCCCCCCCCCTCAAATTACGCTTCTAGCTGCGGCCTTGCAAAGGTAGGCGTACAACTTAGGGCTGTTTTCCACTGTCGCGTTTTTTTGTCATAAAATCAACGATTGGCCGTTTTCACACTAGAGACGCATTATCCGTCTTCTCTATTTATTCGTCTTCAGTATAAAGACGGTCAAAAGACGCATAATACGTCCAGACGATTAATGTTCAGTTTTTCGTCTCAGAGACGCATAACCAACGATAGTTCGTCTAGACGGATAATGCGTCTGCCCGTGTGAAGACGGCACATAGACGAATAATTCTGGAAAATGAGACAGTGCAAGTGTGAAAAAGGCCATTGAATCCAACCCAATCTATTCAATCGTATCACTTTAACGATTTTGAAAATTTAGAAGCGTGTACGTACGTACTGAAAACGCGACAGTGGAATATATTAAGCAACCCTTAATCATTGCAATCGCTCTGCCCGCGCGGGGGAAGCGCGCTTTGTTTTTCAGGCCGGTCACGGTCGCAAGGGCAGATTTTCAAAAGCCGCGGGTGAAGCGGATGGTAATAGAGAATAGCCCTTCCCTTCATACAACTGATAGAAGCCGATCGATCTTCTAATATCTTATTTATACTTGAATTTGGATGATTTTCTATAGAATTATATTACTATCCGGGGGAGGGGAATGAGTCCTATAGGCTATAGGACCCACGCGTCTCATTGTTTCAGTATGTCCACTTCCATTAGTTTCTTATCGCCGCGTGAATATACCGCTAATTCCATTTTTTAAAGAAAATTCTGAGAAGCAAACCGGAACTACTAGTTCAAAGGTACATGCTCCACAGTTGGACCCAATCTGTGCTCTTTCAACAGTCTTACGCTTCGTATTGATGAACGAGGGTGTTGCTCGAATATTAGCACCTAAACATAGAGAACGAATATTAATATAATAATAATATTATGACAGTTCATGCAGAAAAAGTTAATATTAAACATATTCAAAAAATCTTATTTTCTCATTTCATGAGAATAACAATATATTAAAAGAGAAAAACTGTTTCTTATTATAAAAATTGAATTGTTAAAATTTTTAGGAAAGTTGAAATTACTAAAATCATAACTATATATGAAAGTGTATACAAAAGAATTCTAAATGGTTTTCAACCCATCTTTCAAATCAGGATGGTGAGAATTGTCGCAAGCTAGGGCAGGATAGGAGCGGGCTGTGTAAACAAAATAACCAATGTATTTGGGTATATATCCCAATCAAACTGTTTCATTTAAATTACACTTACAACATTAATACCCTCTTTCAACCAGGGTGCTGGAACATATAATGTTTCCTGTGGACCAATTTTCCAATATCTACCAAGATTATGACCATTGATAAAAGCAACACCTTTATGCCAGCCCTAAATATGGACGTCCACATCAGTGATATAAAATAAGGGTGACGGCGCAAACACTCTTTTTTTACACAAAAACGGGACTTTACAACTCAATACTTGGAAACCTAATCCCTGGGAATCTCTTTTAAATCTCATAATTTTCGATGTTAAACCTTCCCTCCCCCTAAAAACAACTCTTAGTTCAGTTTACTTACCAGGAAGACAGTGAGAAAGTTATCGGGTAAAAAGTTGGGAAATACTATGCGCACGTCAAAGAAATCAGACAGGAATAAAGATGTATCAACGAACCTCAATATAAACAGTTCTATAATAACTGATTATTGACTGTGAGGTCTAGCAAAAAACCTCAGTCTGATATTTCACAGTACAGAATGAACAAAAGAGGTCAATTGGTTTATCATATGGCTGAACTGCATGAGACATCCGGGATACTGGTCCAGATAAGGAATATACGAACAACGGTCCGGATATCGGTTTTACGGACCGCTCGTCAACCAATCACAATAGAGAATTTTGAAAAGCCGTATTATAATAATGAATACTCACTCGGGTGTCCAGGAAAGTATCGGCAGGTTTTCCGGAAACTGTAAAGGTACCCTTGAACAAAGCAGGTTTTGATAGGACCTCATCGGAGGATGTATCACCCCATATCGCGTCACTATAGATATATGATCATTGATAACTTAGTTAACATTGAACCATAATTAGTAACCACTGATCTGATAATACACTGGATAATGCAAAACTGATCTGCTGGTAATACACTGGATATAGCAATTATGCCAATTACAAATGATATCCCAGAATTAATATTTTCGCGGAGACTGAGGACAGACACATCCAGGCGTCACCATCAACACACGGAAACTGAAGCCTAATACCATTGACTACCACCCACATTCCGCCTTTCAAACGGCTATTCCTTTATTTGAATTAAGTTCGGACACACGATAAATACGATGTCAATTAATTAACATACCTTTGACCAAGTTTTATAACAAAATCAGCTTTCAATTCGAACGGAACAATTTTCCAATGTTTGTGCAGCACTTCATTAATCGTAACGCCACCAAGTATGCCTTTAAAACAAATAAAAAGTGAATGAATACAGTATATCATTGAAAATACAAATATACGAGTTCCGTTGGGAAGAAAAAATTATATAACCTTTCAGTAAAAATGAAGAGTGCATAGTAGTCTGGCCGCGGTTAGTGGTTATCAGGCCAAAAAACGTGTTGAATGATCTTGGTAATGGTTTTCTATTACTGACTGTTGAAATATAGCTCGCCTCCAGTATTCGGACAAATTCGCATAATACCTTTCTTTTGAGCAACGATGTGCATTCCGTAGTTCACTCGACCGCAATTTTCAACAAAAATATCAAGAATTGGTCTTGAATGAGAACCCTGGATATAAAAAATGTCAGTAGGTTTTAACATGGTACATATTCCGGGAATCTGTATGATTGTTAGAGCTGTTCACATGATGCTGCTCATCCTCTTTGAGGTCTGACTTGCTTATGGGGTTTTTAACTGTTTCACTACGAGCTGTGCGTGGTAATTGACAATCACCTTGCTAGAAGTTTCAATGTTGAAATTTCCATCATATTCTGGCCACGTCACAATGCCTTTAGTTTCCCCATTTAAAAATACCTGAAACATGCAATATAGATGGTGCGGAGATTTGGAAAGGAAGGTAGATTTTAGGTACTAAATGGAAGAATAATAAATTAGCCGTTTTCACAGAACTCACTTGTCCATAATCTCTCAACTCTTTAATGTCCAGCGTATGTGCGCTGTTAGGTAGAGTAGTTCGATACAACGTGTAACCATAGGATTGTCCTGCATCATTATTGATGGGTAAATTCTCGATGGGTACAACGTACTCACTTTCAATTGTCTTCTATAAGGATCATAAAATAAGAACAATAAAACCTGTTAGTGCCACCCTATACCTATGATATTAGTATAATAATATCTTTAGCAAATCTATACTTTTAACCGTTATACATGCATCTATATTGTGACTATCTACCTATATCTACTTGTAGACAGTTTACAGTTACAATGTAAATATATTAGTCAATTATTTCGAGTCAAACGAGCTTAGCTATCACCCACTTCTTAGTTCTTATTCACTTCGCGATTAAAATAATAAATAAACAAAGTAAATAGTGATGATATACCCCTATTAAGTTGACTATGTCTTCGAATCCAACATATTGTGTCATCATCACGGTTCCTTCATAAAATAAAACTATACTATGAGATTCTGATCAAGAAATAGGCAGGAAATAGTCTCTAAATTAAGTTAATGCATCACTTACCATAAGCGGACTTCATTATTTCTTTTGGCAAATCTATTTTATCAGGAACTTAAGAAAGAAAAGTTTCCCTACTACAATTTGTTGCTTGTATTGATGAGAAGCTAAGAATATTATTAGGATATTATTATAGGTGAAAAAGCATTAGAAGGAAGATCAGAAAGAATAATATTTTTGGTCGACTCAAAAGTGTCTTTCATCCACACTGCAGATCAAAACTAATATTATATTTATTGGCAATAGTACTTACTTGTATCTGTATGAAGCACGGGTCGTAACTCTTTTAACAGTTCATGAAGCTTAAGATACTTTGGTGTGATGTCACCCGTCTCAGATACTGGACAATCATAGTCTATAGAAATGATTTCGAGAGGTTAAACTTAGCCATGTTTCTGACCGTGTTTCTTAACCAGTCGTCTAAAAAACTGGGATCGATATTGACAGACACTAACACATACCATAGCTCGTAATAGTCGGCAGGTAGCCAGCATCATGATTTCCACCGTTCATAAAACCAAAATTGGTTCCACCTAATTTAAAAATTAAAAATTAGTTCCGATACAAGAGTAATGTAAACAACGGCTTCTAGGATGAAATCCCGAATCCTATTCGAAGGATTACCGTGAAACATGTAGAAATTAATGGACGATCCATTCTTTAAGATATTTCTTGCTATTCCAACCACCTCTTCAGCATTCATTACTTTGTGTTTTTCCCCCCAATGATCAAACCAACCCGGCCAGAATTCCATCACCATCAATGGCTTTTCCGGCTAAAATTTAAACATGTTGGTAATGTAACACTTGAAAACTAAACCCGAATTTAGCTAGCTGGATCACGCCATAATTTCCTGGCATAGTACAACTTTTCATATATCACAGACAAACCTGGATTTCCCGTAAACCCTGAAGATTTTGTTCAGGATTTGACTGGAAGTTGATCGTCATTAAAACTATACAAAAAGATAGAGCCCTGGGTGTTTATTGTTTGGTTGTATATTTCTCTCATTCTTTATTTTCCTGCGTTCTCTAACTTTCCTTTCATATCTCTAAATTCTTTTTGTTATTTTGCCATATCGGAATGCCTTTAGATCTTTTATACACCCCCATAGCCTTATCCATGCGATTATTTTATAACTAAATTTTATATAGATACATTCGAACAATCTTAGATACTTTCGAACAACGCATATCAACGTATATCAACGTATTAGTCGAGTAAACGACACATATGGACATAACACCATCCTTTAAACTATAAAACTGGGTAAATTTAAACGTCGGTTGGTTTATAATTTGATGCTTCAAATTTTGTATAGTTTCAATTATAATACATTAATCTATCACCTTTGTACATACTCCAATCAACTTGTTAATAATTAAGTCAGTTATTTTTGGGGTAAGAATATGACAATAAATTTACCAGATGGAAGAAGTGCTTTTCTTGCTCCAGCCAGGCTATTTGATGTAAAAAGAAGCTCTGTCACACCACGTAAAGTGAAAACCTGAATAAATAAAATGACAATAGGATATGACTGGGCATTCTGTAAAAAATACTATAATAACAGTCTAACAGAAGTATTAATTGCTTGGTTAACAAATTTTCATAAAGCCGAGTTTAATACTCACATCATACAAGTATTTCATATAATATGAATTATCTCCATAATTCCCATACTCATTCTCGATTTGAAAGGCGATTATTGGACCTCCGTTCTTGTACTATGATAAAGATAACTACGGTTCGCTACGATCTATTACGATACAGTCGACGTGGAATTAATTACCGTTACTCTGGTAATTTAATAGATCTTTAAGATATATAAGATTACCAGAGTAACGGGCCTGTTTAATTCTACTTCAACCGTATCGTAGCGAACCATAGTTTATTCCTTTGTTTCAAAGTCATTACTTCTATCCCGAGTGCCCGGGAAAGAATGATATACACTACGTGGTGCTACGACACGGTTGAAGTGTAAAACAGCCATAACTCATAAGAGTAAAATAAACTCATGCAGTAGCTTTTGTAAAAAGACGGGAACCAGGGGTTAAAGCGGGATCACCTGGAGTGTGAGGTTACAGATCCATACCATGCAATGATAATACAATCAAACTCCATTTTTTTACCTTTTCTTTTCTATACTGATTTTTAGCTAGATGCTGATATTCTCCGAGTAATTAAGGGCTGCTTTCCACTGTCGCGTTATTTGTACGTACCTACGGCTACACGCACGTAAATTCTGTTGTTGTTGTATAACTAATTTTACGTCAAAAAACCCAGCAAATCATCAACAGAATCCAACCCAAATACCCAATACATCTATTTTATCGTTGATTTCATTAGTATAATTTAAATCAGTGATTTTAAACTTTTACGTGCGTATACCCTACGTAGAAAAAACGCGACAGTGGCAAACAGATCTCAATTATAAGATTCCACAGAAAACTCACACAAAAAATTAAAATGACATAAAGTTGAAAGAAACAGATATACCTGTAGTGGAGCCAATAAAGGGATCAAGGTTGAAAAATAATCATCTATGGCTTTTAAATATAGTGGTGTGAATGATCTAATTTGCATTTCAGGGTCATGGAGGAGCCAACTAAAAATAATTTCAATTTAGTGGACAATTTTTTAAAATTCAGAAAAAAAATGAGAAATGTAATTAATGTATGGGTACATAAATAAATTATTCTCGTTGTTACCTGGGTAATCCTCCAAACTCCCATTCAGCACAAATGTAAGGACCTGGGCGAATGATCACATAAAGGCCAAGTTTTTGTGCAAGTTGGATGTAAGCTCTGAATTATCGAAAGAAAGGGCAGGGTATTACTTATACAAATACCACACAACATGTACCAGAAATCATATTGAACTAGTGGTGTAATGGACGAAGTTCATGGGCCCCCCGTATCAGGCATATTCGCTTATGCACGCTGTTTTTCTTCTTTTAATTATGAAATATTTTGAGAGAGGAGTCAATAATTTTATATTAGTGTAATTACTCGCAATTTCCTCAGCAATCAACTTTCTATCCAGGGCTTTCTACCTAGAATGTTTTGCAGCAGGCAGAAATATAGTTGCAAGTGGAGCAGAATTTTTTTCCTTGTTTCTTTTTTAAATTAGTTTGAATCAGGGCTTACAACCTGGTGGAAAACTCCATTAAGGTATCTTTAACCTACATTGTTTTCAAGTGATACACTGTTATATTTATTAACTCTCATGGTGATAAGCAGAATCCCATAGGGTTTTACACCCGAAAGGTCATGAGACATTAAAATCCACCATTATTTTTAATTGAATAAAGTTATTACTTAATGTCTGCAATTCCATCAAAAACAAAATTGCCAGGTGTAGGTTCATGTAAGTTCCATGGAACATATCTAAAAAAAGTAGAATTAAGGGAATAAATAGATCCACAAAGAATATAAATTAGTCCCACACATCAACCAGGTCAATTTAAAAACGGCACGCACAGTAACTAGAAATGGGAGCTCTCTTTCTTTCCCTTCTCACACAATAGAAATTTTTAACCGAAAGGCATTTTCAGATAAATGTTTTGGGAAACAAGTTCCATTCTGCAACATTCCTGTGGTGCTACATGCAAGCTCCCCCACATTACAATTTTTCCTTTTATAGAGTTAAAACACCATAAAATACCATACCTGCAACCATAGTTACTATGGTAAGACCTGATAATGAGATTAATTAATGACCAACACTTGGGGTAAAAGTCATCAAGCACAGGAATATAAATAATTATATTATGAATAAACCTACGTTTCAACTGTATTTAAACCAAGAGCTTTTAATTTCAGAAGTCTGTCCTCCCAGTATTCGGGTACAATTCGGAAATAATGTATTGCACCACTTAATATTGTAAATGGTTTCCCATCCAAGGCAAACAGAGCTCCCTCAGCTTTAAGACCAGTCCTCGGCGCAGATGGCTCCATATAAACATTAACTTTCGATACTTGACTTATGATACTCTTTAGAGCAAGAAACCAAATACAAATAAACAAGACTATGATACAGACACGATTGCTAACCGTACACAGCCTCCGTTTGCATGGTCGTATTAGTCGAATGTCTATAAAGTTGAATATTGTCATTGAAACTCAATTGACCCTGTCGGGTCTGTGCTGAAAGTAATAACATATTAAAAAATTGTGACGTGTGCAGGAAAGCAGGAAGGCGGAGCCACCAATTTGGAATCATATTGTAAGTTGTAACATAAGCGTGCTCTATTTGTTTATTGATAGCGCACGCTTACCATGAAAGTTGTACTTAATTTATAGAAGGGAGGAGGGATGGGGGAGAGGGGGTTATCGAAAAAAATGCAGAAAAAAGTTGTTTATCTTTTGAAAAATAAAAGATTAGTTCTTTGTAATTAGTTACGTTAAGTTTCTTTTTGTTTCGGACTGTCGGTGATTAAGAATCTCGTACTGCTTTGAAGACATCTTCATCGTCCTCCTTCTCCAATCCCCCTTCCCCTTCGTTATAATAATAAATGCGCAGAGTTGGACAGCATCGTAACGCAGAGTAACGCAGAGACGGCAGAGTTGGACAGCATCTGGGCTCGGCACTATAATTGGATATGCAATGAATTATTTGCAAATATTGGTTTGAAATCTTGTAATTCGGCTATGACATAAAACTATGTGTTGTGACAATGTGAAATGAACACATGCACCATTGGCTAACCACACGAGTCTTACATGTTTAACTCATTTACGGCAGTGTTCTGGGAATCCAGAAGCCAAACACCCGCTTTTTAACAGTTCGTGTACAAACACATATAGACTACATACACATTTCTGGTTTGCATGGTTAGCGAATTTTATTGTATGGCTGGTCTACCAAACGATGTTTTCGAATTCGTGGCCTCCGATCCGAAAACGATGTTTTTACCACTGGTTTTTATCCCCCCCCCTCATTCCCCCCCCTCATTGGTATTCAATAATCAATATAACAAATTCAATATGGCGGGCAAAAGCGGGAAAGAATCTTCTGTTGCGGAATGTTAAATTTAAATTTTATGGTCTAACTATTAGTGAGATGTTTAAAAGCTTAAAAGCTAGTCGATTGTTGAAATTTTTTTGTCCTTTTTATATACCTAATCAAACCTCGCAATGAGTTATGCATGTGAATGGGATGGTTGCTCGTTCACGTCAGATAAATTTGACATATTCTACGATCATGTACTCGAGCATACCGCCACCAATTTTCGTGACCCTGATGATTTGAACGAGATTGAATGTCAATGGAGCCAGTGCTTTGCTGATTCATACGAAGATGATCTAGAATATCGAAGACATGTGTTATTTCATGCATACCATGCAAAACTTAAAAATCTAGGTCTTGAAGCTCAAAGAAATGCAGGTCTGGCACCATGCATATTAGATCCTCAGGCAAGGAATTTAGTCCCCGATTTTCCTGAACAATTTTATTGTCATTGGGAAAACTGCGAAGTTGTCACTTCATGTCCGAGGTATTACTATACACATATGGATGGCCATGCACAAAGTACAGTTAAAGATGACTCCAATGGCCTAGTATCATGCAGATGGAAAGGTGAATGATGTGTTGTTTTAAATGCTTGCGTGCATTCCCTGTAGTTCACACTGAAGTCTTTGGCATGGAGTTTATAACTCTATAACTTGCTGCAATTTTTTAATGTGATTTTGTTCTTTTGATAGATGTGAAAGAGTAAATTACAAATGTTGTGATGTCAACATGCTGTTATGTCAACTAATTCACTCAATCACATTTATTAAAAGAAGAAAATCCCAATAAAAATCAGAGCAAAAAATGCAATTGTGATAAGTCTTTAAGAGAGTTGTTATATCACATTTGATACAATATTAGCTGTAATGCTGTATATAATATAAATTGCAAAATATTCCATGCTCATATTGCCATTGGCTCATATTCAGCATAGAGTTTAGTTAGAATGCATCATGGGTAAGGGTTGAATGCTAAAATTAACTACCAGACTCGAAAAATTGCTGAGATTGTGCATACGAAAACTTAAGATTCAATTCAACCCTGAAAGGGTCAATGCCGTACCATTTGCTTTGTCATAATCTTTAATAGATTGTCTAAAAGAGAGAGCCATCCAGACCAATTTAAGTGTAATAATAGTTTTATTATGTGTTACTTTTGCAGACTGTTCATTTACAAGTCCAAAGAGATTCAAGTTGAAAGAACATTGTCGAACACATACCCATGAAAAGTGCTTTGGTTGTCCAAATTGTGGAGGGTTGTTCTCTAATAAAACAAAATTTACAGACCACCTTAGGAGACAAAACACAATGGAAAGTTAGTTAAATGTTTCATACTTTATATAGAATTTGCATAAATCACATTTTGCTTACTGCTGTTTATACCATTACTTCTATACGTCTATACCATTACTTCTATTACGTCTATACCATATTTTATTTTTATGTCAGGTGAGAGTTACCAATGTTCTCACTGCTTGAAATACTGTGCTTCAGAAAGAATTCTTCGTGATCACATGCGGCATCACAGTAAGAATGCAATAGTAAACAGTTCCCATGATGACACTTTTGCAAAAGTCAGCCTTTATTTTCTAGTCAACAATGTCAAATGTTCATACTGCGAAATGACATGTCCCACACAGTCAGCTCTTCAGCATCACATAAATTTTCGTCATTCAGATAGCAAACCATTTTCATGTGAAATGTGTGAAAACAGGTAAAGAATGTATAAATTACTGTGCATTCAAGTAATTTCCATTTTAGGAACAAAATCAATGCTTTAGCTAATCAGAAAAAGGATTAATTTATACACATAGATCGATGATTAAATGCCTTGTAGTAATCCGAAAGCATATGCAAGGGCTATACACTGACACTGTTTGAATAAATACTCATGAACAAGTTTTTGGCAAACAGATAATGATATGTAGTTTTGTTTGCTCTAGTTTTAAATCGATGAATGATTTACGGCGCCATCAACAAACACATAATCCAATCTACAGCTACGCCTGTCAAGAAGAAGGCTGTGATTATGCCTCGAAAGCTCTTCAAAGTTTAAAAAGACATATTAAACTTTGGCACGAGGTAAAAATTACTAGGAAATGTTAGCATTAAATTTTATTGGAATAACTTTTCCATAGGTAGGAATGTTGACCAAAACACAACATTGAAATGTAACAGAATGAAGGAAATATCAGAATAATATATTCAAGTTTAAAAGCAGGGTTGCCTCATGGTGTATTTTGGACTTTGTAAACATGTACTTTTTGCCATGACCTGTGCATAATAACTTTTTTCATACTTCCAGAACTCAACAGCAGCAGATGCAGGTCAATACGAGTGTCATATTTGTCGCTTACGTTACTCAAGGGGAAGTACACTCACAAGACATCTGAAGAAACAACATACATTTCGCTGGCCTGCTGGACATAAAAGATTCAGGTATTGTTTTGTTACCTACATATATAAATTTTTTTAGTAAAATCACCCATATACATATGTGGACATGAGGTGGCTTGACAAAACTGAGTTATCCTTCATATCTCATTCTATTCTTAATAGTATGAAGGGCGAAATTGAAACTCCAATTTACAATTGACTGAAATGAACAATTTTCTGATTATAACCTATGCGATCAGTCGATCACAGCGAACTCTAGAGTCCGTACTAGAAAAACTGATCTTTTTTTCAGATATAAAGAAGATCATGACGGCATATATCGGTTACAAACTGTGAGATTTGAAAGTGTTGAATTGTCGCAACAGCTGGAGGCTGCACGGAAGAAACAACAGATAGGTGAAGAGAATGGGACGGAGGATGACTCTGAGACAGCGGAAGGTTCAAATGATCGTGTTATCGCGAGGAACGTATCTTCACAGGAAAACGAGGAGCAAATTCAGATTACAAGGTAAGGTTTGCATGCACTATGATTGATATCAAAATTTTGGCTCGGTCAAAATTTTCGTGACAAAACTGGAGGTCGCGTAGGAAATGGGTAAACCATTTCATAGCCAGTGGACAATTTAGATACCTACTACATTCTTTCCTAACAAAAAGGAGATATTTTTGGGAAGAATTGAATATCAGATATAAGAACTATTAAAAAGCTATCCAGCTTTCAAAATAACTATCATATAATTAATACTTTATTTTCAGAACACCATCTTTTTCCAGTCAGCCTGAAACTCTTCCACAACCCGAGTCGAATATTATGTCTTCTGTTCCAACCCAACAAACTGACTCATTTTTAGAAGTGCTAAGCCAATTGCAACAGCATTCTCAGCAAGGAACTCCATATTGCTCGACTATTAACAATGCAGACATCTCATCAAATGTCCCAATATCCAACGTTGCTCAGTCTCCTAGTGAACCTCAAATACAGCTGACAGCATTGCGTGATAATTTCGATGTGCAGGAAGCTGTCTCGTTGCTCGCTATGTTGAAGAATTCGGGGGTGACGTATAAGTATTGAAAGAAAATTATTTTAAACTTAGCGTGGAAGAACGTTCTTAAAAATGCGAGGAAATCTCAGTTAAACAATGTTTTTGTTTATGATGCAACCATTTTCAAATTGCCACTGTGTGATATTAAAATCTTAGTAGAGTTATTAAACTGGTAAACTTGTGATGTTCGGTTATAAAATGGAATCCAGAATTCATTTTTGAATCCGCATCTAAATCCATTTATAAGCAATTGGATCCTGTCGACTGTCGTTAGTGTCGTATATGACAGGACTGTAGAATGCCCGGGCAACAACACCAAGTACAGCGTTGGCCAAAAGGTCGTTAACTGACCAGGAAAACGGCAGAAAACATGCGCAATTTAACATGCGCGACATGCGCAAGTTAACATGCGCAAATTAGTCCGAACAAATTCTTCATTTCGATCGGTGTAACTCCAGAATAAACAACGGTATCATATCCCAACATTCAATAAAGACTTGTAGAAACGACTTACAAAACATTGAAAAAAGGCTGTCTTGTTACTAAAGCCTCTTTCAGACGTCCACGTTTCTAGTGCCAAACCTGATGTTAATGAGCTAAAGTCTTTGTTTAAATCATTTGCGTTCGATTCGGCACCTGAAAAGTTTGACGTCTGAAAGGGGCCTTAGGTATTTTACCTTTTCATAATTTCATGCGAAAGATATGTACACAAGGAAAGCGGAGCGACCCTTCGCGATAACAGGGGTCATGGGCGGAGCTTCCCGAGGAAGAAACCCCAGTAAAAGACACGCATTGTCTAGGGAAGCTGCAACATCTTTCCAATAATATGCTAGGAATGTTTTGTTGGTTTTGACTAAATTGCAGCTCACTATCAATATACACTCCAATTTATTTCATTTGTAAATGCCATATATACAACACATTTTTTAATGTTATGTTAATTTGCAAGTGCAGAAAATGATAGCAATTCTTGCCTTCGGCAATAACTTTGTTTGTATGAAACTTATGACGGGTGTGCGATGTACGTATACAATTTATAATTTATATAGGATTAATTTTCGCCAGTATCGTGTAAACACATTCTCATACCTCAGCTTATTTAGATTGTGCAAACCAATGATATTTGATAAACAGCTCTCAAGAGGCTATATCAACACACAAATTCTATTGCAAACATGTTAACGTATATTGAGATGCCATTTCTTTTCACAAAAACTCTCGTTTGACATTAAAAAAGAGCATTTAACTGATAGTTATCTGTTCCGGAATCGCATGATTCGTAAATATCTAAAGGTACTTGATGAATTGGAAGAACACAGTGTCTTTATATTGTTTTTCATTTGGTATATATACAGCGGTCTTTCTGAAGTCGTCGTTTTGTTATGACGTCATATCTTGAGTACAACTAGCGCGGTTAATGAGGGCTTTAATGAGTTTGTCGATGCTTTGAAAATTTGACTAGTTTGACACTTAATAGGACTACAAATTTATCGCCAAATAACTAGACGGACAACAAACTGTCAGTATCGTCGAAATACACAGAGGATATATTCAAAAGATGGCTTTAAAAAACAGAGGCACAGCTTAAGAAAACCAAATTAAAAACCTCTGGTTCAATATAATGTATTGTAAGGTTTGTTGATTAATGTGTGTATGCGTGGATACCCGTGGCTGGATACTTGACCGATGTGTAGTGTCTCGTGTATTTGAATGGTACAGTGTGAGATATGAGTGACGAATAAGCAGACGCAACTGATCCACGGGGCACTGAAGACAAACAGTTCGAAAGGTTTAAGGTCAGTGGTAGTGAAGGGAAATGCTCGCATCATAAATACAGTCATTAAAACGGTGCTCTTTATATTATTGCACGAAAAATTGTAACACATGCTAATAACCATCCGTTCTCTGGAATTTAAAAGGCATATATTGCTCTAAATATCGTAACATATTCTAGTCAATCTACTATCTCTACTGAAAGTACGGATTATTATCATGCCCTGCCTATGGATCAATTCCGGATGGCTCTTTTTTGTCAAGCTAATATATACTCAATATACTATAAGGCATATAGGTGATGCAAATTGTATATCAACAATGAATGATATAGGTTAATGGTATCCCTGTAATTGTGTAACTCAGATCCTACAAGTGCGTTGGAAATCGTGCACGCATTGATTGTGCATGGGGGGGGGGCATGCATGGGGGGGGGGCATGCACGAATGAATCGCGGACCGTGCATGGCGTTATATAAAGTTGGCAATGCATGCGATTCACTTAAAGAAGGTTAAACCTAAAGATGCGCTTTTAAGTTTTTACCTAATGGCTATATATACGTCAGGTATGTTGAAGTTTGCATAAGAAAGTCTGAAAGATTGCACAATTTATAGTAAAGTCAATTAATGACTAATAATCATTCATTTCTAGAAACACTTTCGCCCTTTCGCTCTGTTTTTATGAATCTTCACCTAAACAAGCTAATTTCTTCTTAAAAATAACAATACAGTACATTATATACTACCCACCCTTCAAGATAAATATACTGATTTATATACAAATGAAGACACCTGCTCCCTATGGATTAGCGTTGTGCGTCAAATCAAAAGATATCAAGATAAAAACCAACTATGTCTAAGAGTGCTATTTTAGCCGGGTTTTTTTCGCAGATGGCCTCTTCCATCCGTATAAAGGTGTGTTGTTGATTTGAATAATGTTGGATGTTTCCTTACTGTTCCTCGTGCAAACGCTCTTTAATTTGCGAGGCAGGGATACGCTTTATCCCATCTTCGCCTAAAGCTGCACTACAATTACCCATAATGTTTCGAAAAAATATATGACGGTTTACAAAAACAAGACACCCCACTATGTTATTGTTATTCCGTCCAACTTGATGCATTGAAAATTGAACGGAACATATAGATATAGGCATATATATGTATGCAGCGTATGCATGTCTCCAGAGTTGTTTGTAACAAAGACATGCAAAAGAGTATAGTCTATATACTACCAACTGGCGGAGATAAAAGCGTGGGAAGAAACTTGCTGTCATACAATTGATAAGATGGGATGGGTGATGTGTACTTTGTCTGATGTATTGGCACCTCGATCGTTTAGAGTTCGGTGCTGTTTCCAACCAGTTCAGATGCATCTTTCTTACATGGTTATTCTGTGTATTTTATTTAATATGCAGTTTTCTATGAAACTTTTGAGCGAGTTTTGAGTAGCTGAGTTCACATTAATTGCAATCTGATATGTACAGTTTATTTACTTTTCACCTGTTTCAAAATCCGATTCGGGCTTTCCAAAATGGGAAACTGTTTGCGGGGGCCATGTTTAATGGGAAAGGTGTATCACGGCAAGGGTATTCATTTCAGAAAACTTCACAGAACCGGCAACAGAACAGAACCTGTTTCTATGTATGTCAAAGATTCCTAGAATTACATGGGCTGTTATAAATACAAGCTGTTGAAAATTTACGACTTCACTGAGCATATGAAAGCATAATATTTCAAGTAATTATACCCCTTGTGCGTCAAATCAAAAGATATCATGTAATTATGAGTTCGTATGCATGTAATACGCAATCGCAGATAAACATAATTACGTAAGTCAATGGATAATTTGTGCGGTCGTAGGGTCTCCTATACTTCTCGCGTGAAGCGTGATTGGAGTGTTTTTTACTCGTGAATCGTGATTGCGTATTTAATTATTCTTTGATGTATACGTGATCGATAGTTTCTATACGTGACCGTGAATATATAATGTGATTTATGCATGGGTGTCCCGTGAACGCAGTCTAGAATTACGAGCTAGTGATTTGTGAGCTGCATTGTGCATTTTTATATTTTTCCTTTAAAAGCGGACTAAAGTGTCTATCGGGATATCTGGAAAAACGCGTTTGGCTCAGCAAAGCCGTCAAAGCCGTTGCGAGCTGATGAATGATATGTCTCATTACTCACTCATTACCGGATTACAACGAATTTCAATACTGCTCAAAAAGGGCCTAAGTGGCTCAAACGCTATACTGCATTAATTTTTCGCATAGTCACGGCATAGATCTTAGAAAATGGTAAGTTGATGGATCAGTGGTAATATTTATTCGTGGATATCTTTTGCATTTTTATTGTAATCAGTTATCGTGAATTTAATGCAAACGTGAAAAGTTCTTCACTATTACACGTGACAAATAAACAAGCTAAATATTTTCACGTGAGCGCAATGTGAAAAGGGGCATACTGCGCACTTCTGCACTTATAATATCAGGAATAATGCGTAATGCATACAATTTGCTCTGTGCATGTGGCGACACAAAATTATATACATACAACTTGAGTAACTACACGATTATATTTCCAGGAAATTCAATTTATATATGCAAATAATAGTTCCTGTTTCCAACGAAAATCTGAAAGCATAGCTATTAATTAGTTATAGGAAAAAAACAATAGACACGTGACGGATACCTGCTGATACTTAGCTTCTAGAATAAACGTAAAAAATAACGCCTGTTTAAAACGTCGTGCTTCTCAAAAACAATAGATGCCTCATTTTCTATTGTTTATTTTCAAACCTATGTTGGACACTGACTGGTTCAAACTGAGTACAATATATGATTACGAGAAAGTTTCAAAATCAGTTTAGGAATCAAAAGTACAAAAAGTTGCCGTATCATTTGTGTCTGCGTTTTATGTTTAAAGTGGACTATTAGTGAGCTGATTTTCAAAATGGATTTAGCGTAAACCTATAGTTGGAGGCAGGTAAAGGCTTATATAAATAGCAGAATTATTTTCGTTTGTTCACACGGTGAAAATATTCAGGCAGGTATTTCAACAACTCAAAAACCTGTCAAATTTCTGCATGTAGATATAGCTATAACTTTTCCAAGCGCCGTTTCACATGTGAAGTTGCAGAAACTGTTCGGTATGTATTTTTCACGTCACTGATTATCACGGAACAGGCAGAGTTGATGTATTAAACGTTGTTTTCACCAGCGACAGAAATCTAAGTCTAAGCAAATAAGCATATGAAAGAAGTGAGGATGGGGCCGGCATGGGGCCGGCATGAGCAGAAGAACAACCAGCGACTAATGCAAATTAATGCAATCATCTAATGTGGAAGACTGCCATGCCCGTATCGCGTAGGTTTATATTGCTACCTCTGTGTCTATGCTTACTGAAGAGAGCCACGCTTAAATGCATTATAGTATTTCACATTCTATAGGACAATTTGGGCCATTTAAGCTCCAGCTCCAAGGGCTTGCCCTCTTCCACCCGAAGCAGGTGACAACGAGACTGAGTTCTTAACTCTGGGCAAATTGGCTTGTCACATAAATTTTGAATAAAATAGCGTGAAAATCGAAGTCCTTTTGTACATTTCATTAGCTCCAAAAGGCGTTTCAATTGCCCTTAGAACAAAACTCTTTGCCGGAAAACTCTTTCAACGTTTGAGATTGAACTCCGGAGGGCGGAGGCGGATTGTCTTCTTGACAATGAACTCATCTTATGCGGTGACAGCGTAGTTACATCTTTTGGTTGCAGTTATAATTTCAAAAAGATCACAATTGCATAAATGCGTGGTTTATAAACGTTATTAATAATTCATGTTTTTCTTGTCTACGCTAGAAACGGCTGTGCATTTAATAGGATATCTTTTACTATTGACTTATATTTATAGATTTCTATATATGTTTGTTTCAGAAAAGATTCTCAAGTTTCCTGAAGCAGAATATGTGATCAAAGACAAAGGCAGAGGATCTGGACGTAGGAGGCAAGCTACGTTTTCATTCATTATACTGATGCTAACGGCGTTTAAATTTTAAGCAAATATATTCATAATCAGGAGCGTGTATTGCAGGTAAACTTGAATTTCGTTGTGAAATGTTATTCAATTCACCAATCCAGTGTTCAGTATATTTGAAATGATATAGTTGAAACGAAGCGGTAGTAGTATGTTTTACAGCGCCACACGTGAATGACTATAAGTGTATAATATATATGTCACCTTGAAAATATGATTCATACACTCGAAGATTATCAGTGTATATAATTACGGCCTGTTGAATCCATTTAACGGTTGCCATTCACGCGAGTGAAGCAATCGTACTCAACTATACAGTTATATGTGGTATATATTTATTACAATATCAATGCATGGGGCATGAATTCTTTCTAGATATTATACATAACGTAGCTACAGACATTACGTAGCGTATGTCATGTTATATCACCTTTTCACGGCGGCAAACTGGTAAAGCGATATGCATGCAATGGCAACGCTATATATATACCCAGGATTCGCTCTTTTCAAGGAATCTAATATAAACAAATGAAAATAGACCTTGATACAGTATACAAATCAATGATACAGTGTAAAAGTTGGCTATATCCAGTTTTTTCTTTGTATCTAAGAAGACGCTTTTGCCTAACTTGATCCGAAAGGGCAACAAATTAAGGCACTTGACTCCCCTCTGACATTTTGCACGTATTCAATGTATATCATTCATATTTTGTTTTATATGACTAAACCAATACTATAATAATAGGAGTCTAAAGCCACGTTTACACTACGCGGGATATTTGGTACGGCACGGAAAAAACTGACACCCGTACCATTTTTATCCCGACGTGCTTGAACTACCTATTTATGCTTAATATATAGCCGCATATTCTATAATAGCATACTATATATACGCGACCAGTATAGGAGTAGTATATAATTATTATTGAAGTGTGTCTGAATTTTCTTGAGTTAGTATGTAAATATATTTCGGCTTTCTGAAGGAGCAAAATATTTAGATATATATGATCATCGTAATTGTATATACAAATTGCGAATTAATCTGAGATTTTCCAGCTGGTTTGATTTCAGTTATTAAGTTATGCCTTCAATTCTTTTTATCGACCCTGTTGGGTACTTGCCTACTGCTAAGTGTTACTGACCCCTAATACTGACCCAACGAGTAGGGGGTGTGCGCGACATTTAGCAAGGTAAATATTGGTTCATTTGAACTAGCCGCTATTTCATTGTAATTAAGGCGTATATAATGACTGTCGATGTGCCAGTACGAAACATTTGATATACACTTCAAACATTTGTCATTGTTCTGTACCACTTAAATGAAATAAGGCCCTTATTATCACTTATCAGTAACTTCATCTTCTCTATATGTGGAAAAGTATTTCAATCTTCGTTATCTGACTGTGAACAGCCCAATTGTTGCCATAGAGAAACACTGAAAATATTATAACATGCATACACAGGAGAATTATCTGCAGGTATATATTCTATAACAAGCACGAGTGACACCACTCGAAGAACACATGATTTCAAATGTTTTCAGTATCGCATTTTTATATAAATCATCATCTTTAACTTTAACCAACTCATGAACCAAGAAATCACTGTGGTCAGTACGATTTGGACGTTTTCATAAATACCTGTACAAAATACCTTGATCAAGTATCTTTACCAAAGATCTCATTGTACCATATTTCTTATATGTAATCAATGTTTATGAAAGCGAACGTGCAGGTGTTTCTCTTTTATCACGTCGTGATAAGGCTGTCTGTCTGCACTGTCGTAAACCGATAGGTCGTATTTTTAGGCACGTGATATCAGTAAACTATCAAACATGCGTTTGCCACTAAAATTAGTTTAACTACCCAAGAACATTTAGTACCTATCTCTCTCACAATGGCTATTTTTATGATGCATTCTCTGTTTGACTTCACTATACTTTGCGTTTATCATTGAACATAGCAAGAACACTTATTACGTTTGAGTGCAGGAGAGGAGTCATATGATAAATAAATTATGTAAACTGAAGGAATTTAAATACAAACAAATCAGTGCATGAAATGGGCATCCTGCGTGACCTATAGAAAATCAAGCTATCATGAAATTTCAAATATTCCTTGGATTACGGCGGTGGTATTTTCATGTAGTATAAACTTGGTAAAAGTTAATCACCGATGAATTGCTTTGGCACAACAAAAATCAGTAAGTGGGTTCAAAGTTTTGACTGGTGTAGAGAAATACTTATATTCTATGATTATATTTAAATAGCCTGTTGTAACAGACATGTAACGAACGCAGCGCTTCCTTGTTTGGGTTTTAACTTCTGATGTCCCGACACCTCCGTCTCGTTAATTCCGACATCTTTGTTGAAGCTTATAATGAGCATGGACTTGTCTGACTTGATAACTGATTACTCCGTGATCAATACAAGCCACTTTCTCAGGCTGTATGAATGAATGTTACGAATCTATGGTATTGAAATTACGAGATAAGATTTTACACTTTAACAATGCATGGATCAACCATATATCAGAGTTACTGACAGTGTAGCATATGACAGTGACAGTAGCTAAATAAACTTTATTTAATCCGAATTGAGCAACAACGATATAATCCTTTTTAATTCTGAATAATAATGTTCATGATTTCGCATATGGAAACCTTGCTATTTTATACTCATACAATCACAGTATCTGCGTTCCACTTTTGTATAATATAACTTCACAAAAGGTAACAATGATTAATGAACAATCTAGCATTAACTGTGTAAATTGTTTACATTACCTTAATTCTAATTCTTAAACATCGCGGCCGTCTTGTCAAAGTATAAAGTGTTTTGTTTATATGGCTGTGAATTAATCAGAAATAATTTTCACATTGTCATGGAGGAATTCAATTCTAGACTGGGAATGCTGTATGATATAATAGCAACAGCGTTACCGACTTACCGTATAGGAGTTATCACTGCCTTGCATCACTGATTATAATGGGGCCGGTTGTACAAACCTCTTAACTACATTTTACGTAGTTAAATCGTAGTTAACTAACAAATAAATTACTCTGATTGGTCAATTCTGTCACTAACTATAGTTAAAAGTTTCTAGCGGGGAGTTTAGGGATCTAACTACATCATAGATCAGAGAAAGATAGGTGGCGCACTCTTTTGATTCCTTTTGAGTTTGTATAAACTATTGTTTGTTTATTATGCATACTGCTGCGTTAGTTCGAAGTTTTGCAAGCCTCTAAATAAGATGGTTGTATTCGTGTATATTGATACTGATATTATAATTATTACTACCCTTTGCACCCTGACCTCGTTTAAATGTTACATTAATCCATTTTACCATGAATATTAATCCAAGGTTATGAGAAATATTCAAAATATTTTTGTTACATGCAGTGATAATTTTAGTGGTTTAATCGGTATTAATCCTAATAATTTGTATGTGATAATAATTAAAGGTTATATATATAAAAGTCAAGCTGTATGGGGACGCTAAACCTTGCTGGAGCTAGGGAAAGTTATCGTGAATGCAACGGACTTATCTCTTCGATTTTCTTTCAAGAAGAGGAATGATGCTGAGCCATGCACGCACGCAGGAGTCAACACATACATTCCAATACTTTCGATTTAAGCAACTCTGGTTGCTTTGCCCAGCACTGCAGTATATTTCAATATCGCTTATTTTATTATTTTTTATAGTCAAGCATATATAAGATAAACACATATAAGATAACCTATGCTCTGTAAAAAGTGGAAACGCCATCATTACAGTATTATTTAACAACATATCCATTCAACTATCTCTATAGAGCTATATATACATAAATATATATTTGTGTTGTATCTTAATGTTATCTGATCAACAAATACGTCATACCATGAAAAGGGGATGCGCATGACTGCAGTTTGGTGAGACCAAAGTATTTTTCTCACGGAACTGCCGGAAATTTTTCGATCAGCCACTGGTTTGAACCCCACTTTAAAGCTTCGATCGTCTTCCATAGTCTTCAGAAGTATAAGAAATTGAATCAACGCCGGATATGCTTATAACCCTACATCATCCATATCCGTTCTTAATATTAAGGATATTTTTGTGCCTCCACTCTCAATCTCTAAGAGAATGAATGATCAGAATACTTTAAGTATTTTAATCCTTCTTTAATCATGATATAAGAAAGTCAAGGCTTTCCTGGAATAGTATCACGTCGTTGCGTGTCTGCTGTCATCCCCCCTCCCCAGTCCCTTATCAAAATATTGCCTGCCGACTTTTTCCGCATCATCGAGGATTTGTGTGATGCAGTATAGACTGGTCGCCACCAAGTTACACTTACTATAGCATTAAAGCGCGCTTACACTAGAGAGCGATGAAACAGCTCAGAGACATGACAAATTCATGTGATGTTTGGAGCCAGCATAGCAATACGCGTGTTCTTTTCTTCATAGAGACTTTTGTACAGTTGTACTACACAGGTATAGATAGATCTACTGTTATTGTATACCCATATACCTTGTTATAGCTATAGCATGTTTATGCGAGTGTTGATCAATATACCATTTAGCGAGGTTATCCCTCATATTATGCGGTTCCACCATAGCGCAAGTACGCTTTTCATCCGTGCTGCTATGCAGATAATGCACCGCAATAAATCATAAGTATTATACTATTAAATTGTCATGGTTTGCTTTGTAGAATTTGAAAGAATTCAGATTACAGACTTACCTGAAATTTAAATATTTTTCTAATAAGTAGTTTTTGTTGCCCAACAAGTGAATTCCAATTATACAGCGTGTGCCCCGCGTACCAACAGTTAAAATATAGCTAACCTAAAAAGAAACAAACAAGCCCACTGTAGGTATGAGAACTATCTGGGGCAAGATTTTTTTCTATTTTGTGTAGAGATGTATATGTAGGTACAATTCTTTATCCCTATATGGCCTGCGTTTGCTCAGCTTTACGTCATTCTATCTTAATCTAGTTCTAACAGCTTATATCTTCTATTTTTATGACAGTGTGTGTCTATCATGTCGACAACAGAACGCGTTGAGGAAACCAACAAATCACTAATTGATAAAGTCCGCGCCGGTACATCACCAACGCCGAAAAATCGGCGGGATAAATTTTCATATGGGTATAGAAAATCGAATGATGATGCGAAGATCAGAATTCAGAGAGACATACTTGATAGTTTGAAAGAAAGCGACGGCCTTCCAGCATTAGTTTATCCCCAGGATTATATATTTGATATCGCACATTTACGAACGAATGGTAACTTGGGAGAATTGATTGATGATATGTCCAATATTGCAAATCCGGAAGAGAGATTTGAGATGGTGAAGTCCGAGAACAGGATACTCCGTGAACGCTTACACAACGCCCTACAGCGAGAGATGAAAGCTATCAAAACATTTCAAAAGCTCGCTCATGATAACCGATTGATGTACTTAAAACTTAAAGACTACGAAAACAAACCAAGATTACAGCATTCTGGTATGAAACATATAAATATTTTTAAAGTTGCATTTGTAAACAGTTACGCAATCATAAATATACTTTGTATAGTTGGTATATACCTACATGCAGCAGCTTTGCTTGCAACTTTGCAAACTTAAAATCCACAATTTAAAGCTATTTCCACTATATGCTTCCTCTTTCTATTGAGAGCATGTCGAAAATATAATCTAATTTAAATGCGTATTGCATCTCTCCGGAAGATTTTAATATCCACGTTTATATGAAGTACTTCGATTTTTAGTCGTTCCCGCAATTTTCATGTTTTTACACTGATTTCTTCACACATATAATAACCCAGAACTTATTATTTTTTTATTAACAATTTTATATAAATACAATGGGAAAGATATGAGCTTGTTGCAATTTTGACAGGATCGCACAACTTTGACTGCCCATGCACTTTGACTTTGTTGTGTTACCAATATATATTGTTTACTGACTTCATTCTATGTTTATACACACAGTTCAGACTCAATCATATTGAACTACATCGCTAACTATAGACTATTGGCAGGAAAGTGATAAGCAAAGCAATGACATTGTTCAAACCTGTTATACAGCACGCTTGCGTATCAGACCACTTATCAGTACCACTTTTTATGTGTTATAATAAATTGTACCAGGTTACGATCATGTCACGGACCATGCACGATGTTTATTTTTGAAACCTTTTATATTCTTTTAGCTTACCTTTGATTCCAATATGTTTCCAAACTTCCAGGGCTATACACTTTTATAAACATTTTTCTTTAATAGCTGTTTTGATCCTATCTACTAGTTTCTTGCATTTACCGGTGCTTCCACTGCCACATTACATTATCACACCACTGTGTCACACTTATTTGGAAATTTCCGAAATTTATTACGCAGATTTGGCGGTTTTGGCCCATTTGGGCTGCTAAGGTTGTATTATATCCTGTATAAAATACTGAAGGCCGTAAAATGCCCCCTAATGGTCGTTATTGAGTTGGATAGAGAATAATTAATAATTTCAAATATTATTTCGGCCAGTGGCGTAGCCAGCCTGACGATTTAGTCATGCTATGCAAATTTTATGCTATTATCATTATTCGTTTCTTTAGAAATTTATTTTTTTTACAGTTAATGATCACCAAAATATTAGCATAGCATGACAAAATTGTGGGGCTGGCTACGCCACTGTTATTTCCTCCATCATATAAAAAAAAGGGAAAAGTATGTTTCCTTTTACCATATATAAGCGCCCTGGTTTTAGTCGAATATAAAGCTACTGTATGGTATGTATAACTGTTGCAGTCTATAACAATTTTTTTTGTTACTTCACTTGCAAAAACGAAGGGAGCGCACAATCAAACTGTGAATGCAATGTTCATTTTCTGTTGATTATTTCCTTAATTTAGATATGAATGGGGATGAGACACCTGTGTTAGTGAATGGTAATGATTGCCAACCTACACGGAATTATAATGACGAACATAGGAAACACGCCAGGCTTAATTTAGATAATATTCAAACTAGAGAAACAGTGGACCAAAGTACTTCAACCGATGATCTTAGAAAAAACAACAGAAACCAAATTACCTCAACAGAAGATTTGTTTGTTGACAAACATGGCATTGAGGAGAATACCAAGCTATGTGAAAATAATTTTGATAAATTTGTAAATACGGACAAAGATAAAAGCGCTTGTAAAGAGAAGAGGATGGCTCGGTCCCCCAAACAAAGCAGGGAATTATTCAAGACGAAAAGTTCCCCAAGCATTATAAAAGGTATATCAGCAATGCACATCTGCAATACGGCTTTACTCACGTAGACAAAGGGCATTCTCTAATAACATAAAAAATTCTCTTAATAGGTACTGTCGATGATGACGGAACTGACTCATTGGATCCAGAAGTTCGGACGAGATCAGCGAGTCTGGGCAGTCAAGATAGCGAGCATATTGATGATCTTGGTTTAGCACTGCATAAAAGATCGGCTTCGAGTGGAACAATTAACAGCACTGTGAATGTAATGAATGCATCTCTCAACGGACGATTGAACGAGAAAAAAATCATTTCATTTCCAAATTTGGATGTGGTAGACGAGGAGTCGGCTGTCAATCGAAGTTCTATTTCAAGCGAAAGTAAGACTGAGCACGAGATATTCTCATACGAATATATCATTATAAATTATAAAAGATATATACTACTCTATGCAAACTATACCAAAACATTTTTTATACTGAAACATAGCACGCTTTGCTCATTCTTTTTTGTATTCAGTGACTCAATCGGCGTCGTCAGTGGAAAGTAATTCACCCTGTCAAACACCAAAGCATGAGGTAAATATAATAATGTCATTAAAGAAAAATTTTCTATTGGATTAATACATTTACCAAAGAGATCATATAGTGTATGTTAGATTGGGTCCAGATTACCAAAGTTGTACACAATTTCAACGAAGCGAACTGTAGCTTGCTTATATGGTGGTGTATAAAACCACTTTTTTCCACGTTTTTAAAAAATCTTTGATATCGTTTTCTCATTCAACATTTTCTTTGTTGTTTTTCCTATAGGACGAATTTTCTGAAAAGTTTCTTTCTCCACCAAGTGTTTCTCTTCAGACACTTCATCTTCATTCCCAGTCCCTGCCTTCAGCACTGAACAAAAGACAATTTCACAGCAACAGCGAGGGAAACAGCGATGATTTGGCGTCACCGGAAAACCCGGTATAACCAATTAAAGATGTTGTATTCAACACTTCCCGAAATTTTTAAAATCTTTTTTACGAGTTTACTGATTTACCTGCAGGAAAGCAAAAATGATTTGTTTTGGCATCGTATGCTGGGAATAATCAGTTGTAAATTGATACTTTACTTTCAGCCGAATTCTCGAAGATACACGGCGGATTTTCCTAGATCAAAATTTGTACCACATCACATATCAACGAGATCTTTACCAGCTGACAATAATACCAAAAGTGAACGAAGGTCGAAAAAGAGTAGCAGTAAAAAAACTTATGAAAGAGAAAGTTCATCTGAGGATTCTGACAAAGATGAAGGCGTTTTATCACCAGCTACTGTAAGTTGCCATCCTTCCGTTTCACAATCTCGTACCCAGAGCCATTTAATTTGACTTATGGCCCTTGATACGAGATTGTCCGTTTGTTAGATCGACAAGTTTAAGTATTTCGAGCGACAGATTTTTATATTGGTATTTACAATGTAACCATGCTTGTGAAATTCATTATGTCCGGCAATTTATGACATAGGCGTTAACTTTGATAGAAATCGCCTTATAAAATGTATCGTAAAATAATATACGCTGATATAGGACATTTCACTTTCCATCTTTTTAGAGGCGACGTCAAAGGTATATCGAGAATAATCCAAAGGATTTTGCTGATGACATACGAAAATTTCAAAAAATGCTTAACACAGGACAGATTTCCCAGGTATACGAAAGAGTTTTTGATTGCGGTGAAAATAAACTTTGACATGCACAATTAGTATACAGGGCCGTATACAGCAGGGGACACCAGCACTTCTAGAGAAAGTTCACCTTACGTTATTTAAAACGTATAGTATACATACTGTCATGTTCATGAAAAAAGGAAGAAAAATCTTTAAATTGAAAATCTTTGATTATTTTTCATCCCTCCCAGTTAAAAAGTTCTGCGCATGGCCCTTGGGAGGAAGTAGTTGTAATATTAGTACTGTATTTTTTCAGATATCACATGAAAGTGACGACGAAGAAGACATCATGTAAGGAACTATATATTTATCCACAGACCAACTGAAATTTAAAACTTAATTTGCGATGACTCGCGAAAGACAGTTCTTCTCTTTTTGATCGTTTGCAAATTGTTCAGCATGCAGCTCGCACATGCAATCAAATCTATCAGTTTTTACTGATACTCTTTCCTATTCGTGCTAAAAAACTGTTAAGGTGGAGAGGGCCAGACGTCCACCACACTCTCAGTGGTGAATGGAAACGCGATTAGAAATTATGTGACCATCGAAATATCTTTGAGATAAAATGCAATTCGGTGGTAGTAAAGATACAATAATCAATCCGCGAATTTTTTGATAGTTTTGCCCTATACTCCTCATATGAAGATCATGCATGCATTGTTCATATCATTCTGGTTGTTTCTATAGTCAAGCATACGAAGCAGCTCGAAGCCAGAGGCATAATTCAAGACGTCGCTCTGCTCTTGTCGAGTTACCTGCATCTTCAGTTCAAATGGATCTTCATGTAACGACGGAGGAGCCACCAGGTGAAGAATTCGTAGACATCATTCATATCATTAGTGTTGCATATCGGTTTATCTTTTCCTTGGTTTGAAAACCTCTGAACATGTTTGATATAATTTCGTTTCAATACACAGGAAATTCTGAAGGACGCAAGAGAGTTATTGGATCTCATTTAGCTTTAGGTGAGACTTTGGTATATTTGTATCATTGTATGTGCCTGTTGTATGGTTTATTCCATTTTGTATATTGGCTTATTTAGTTGCAACCTTTCCGCTGATATTGAATGTAATGAAATTGTTGTGTTGTCCATGCAAACTATAATCTCTTGATTTGTTTTGCAGAGGACAAACGAAGTTCCAGGTGGTCTTCAATATTGAGAAACAAGAAGAAATTGGTAATATTCATTGTAATAATTTCCTATATAATCTTATCTGGAACATGTGCAATCAGTAGGGATTTCCCTTTGTTCATATTTTTTAAACATTTTTATCCAATTCCTTTCTCTACAATAGTTACTTCAGAAAGACAGACTTCGTATGTCAGAAGATCTAAAAGAGTATTTATCAACAATAACTCGGCCTACTCATGTTGCCTCAGAAACTGAACTCTCGCTATACAAGGTATAATGATGCTTTTTGACAGCATTACACTCATTCCACGCACGCACCGATCATTTTTCATTGATAATTGCTTGCATTCCCTCCTTGGCATTGATTAAAGAAACATATAGGGATATTTTGGCATAGTTTTAGATTTTTTTTTTGAAATTTCCTACTAGGACACTCACTGGACACATTTAATGAGCGTTACAGATGAAAGTGGAAAGTCTAGAAGATTATCACAAGTTGACAATATTTGTTTACCTGAGTCAGAAATGAAACGACGCGAGGCAGTCTGGGAGTTATTTCACAGTGAAGTCGTCTATTTAACAAAACATCTGCTTGTTCTTAAAGAGGTACTGTACTATTTCTACTCCTGTACATGCAATATACATCCTCTATAGGTTCTTTAAATATTTTACACTGGGTACGAGGTTGCTTTAGTGTTTGGGTGAACGTGAGCTATTTGCCGAGATCCCATGATGAAAGGTCCCATGAGGGAAGGGATCCTCCAAGATTGATTTTCACCTCGGGACCCCAAATCTTTTTTCGGAAAGTCCGATTGTATCATTCACACAGAAAGTAAAAATAAATTATTTCATCTCATTCCTATCGTACGTATACTGTTAGTAAATTAAAAACACGTCTACTATAGTGTTTCTAAATATTACATACTATGCACCTTTCTTATTGCCTTGGAATTATTTTTAACTGATTTTTAGTGCTTTTTGGAGCCACTGAGAGATATCCAAAATAAAGGGTTTCTTGTAACTGTCGACGATAAAAAGATTTTTTCAAATCTGGAGGATCTGTGTGAGGTATTTACGCTTTCTTTTTTTTATTTCGTATCAGACAAGTCTTTTCTATTGTTAAATAACATGTTGCTATCATTGTTTATATTGATGCATGTTTAATTATTTAGGTTAGTGCTAAATTTGCCAAAGACCTTCTCCATCTATTCAAAAACGAACAAAAAGATCAGTTTGGAAGCACGGCGTCTGTGGTAACTGCCTTTACTAAGGTAATGATGAATTTTATTATATATGCAATTATTATACATAGATACAGTAAATACAGGCTGTAAATAAGTGAACATGTTTCGCAGATGGATTTTTTTGTTTTCTTTAAATGGCATTTTTTTCGCGTTAATATTATTTCGTTGTGTATGTTCAATTCACTACTGCATGTGAGGGAAACTTTAGAAAGTCGTAATCATTTGTCTTTTAGTTCAAATGGACAGTCCATCCACAATATGGAAAATATTGTCTTAGTTATACTAAGACATTGCACTACTTAGAAACACTCAAACGAACAGAACATGTCCAAGACTTTTTCAAGGTAATATATTCTCATTTTAACTTTGTTAGCTATAACCAAAGTATTTTTATAAACACAAGCAGTTTATATTTATTCATGTTTTCATGCTTCATTTTTTATCCTATAATTTGTCTCGTTTCAGTGGTGTGAAAGTGATCCAAGGTGTAACAGATTAAAACTTACAGATCTCTTGGTCGCTCCATTCCAACATCTTACAAAGTATCCACTCCTTTTGAAGGTATAATAATACCGAAACTTCACTTTATAATCACAATATTAACGCATGAAAAATATTCGGAATGTGCATGCATATATTCTCTTCTCTATTTCCTTCATGTGATTCTCCTTCTTCACAGGAATAAAACACATTTGACTGTCTCCTGAATGCATTAATATGCAAATTGCAAACAATGGTCGTAAGATAGCTACCTCCCGAATCCCAAATTAATAACCCCGGCTCGAGATGACACTTTTTATATACGAATAGCTTAACCTTGTTGTTCCAATTTAGAACATTCGAAAACGCACATCCGAAGCTGACAACCAACACGCACCATTAACGACGACGATTAAATCAGTTGAGGATCTCATACGTAAGTATCAGTTATAATGTACGTTGCCTCTAGTGAGCATTGAAAACTGTACAGTACGAAAAATGTATTTCTTCAGAGGAACTTGAAGGCAATGTTACCGTTATAAGAAACTATCAAAAGTTAAAAGACTTTCAGAAGAATTTGGTGTGGCCATCTGTCGGAGAATTGGACCCCAAATCCTTTATCCCAGAGGTCAGTCAAACTGGTCAAACTATCTCTGGAAATGGACGTTATGTGTGCATGTGATGTCCATCTTTACCGTTTAATACGTCTTAACAGCGATATTTCGTTATTTAATTTTCTTCACATCATCATTTTTCTCCTTCAATAATCACTATATATAACTGTGGTCTCGACCGTCGCTGACGTATAAAGTATCAGCAATTAATGAAATTCAGGCGATACGTTGCATAACATTATGATTATCTTTCCAGCACTTACGAAATGTAGTCTCACACCAAGAATGTGGAGATATTCTGGCAAGTCCAAAGCGAGAGCTCATTTATGAAGGACCTTTAACCTTATATGGTACGTTAAAGATGGTATACCAACGGTATAAATACGGTGTATATTGTTGTGTTAGCCTATGGTGTTAGTTAATTTTCCTTGCTGCATTCACGTTATTTAGGTAACCTTATGTATAGTTCTCAGTAAACCTTCTCTGCCCTTCTAACCCAGTACAAGACTTGTATTTATAATTGATAACTCTGGGTTTCAAACGAAATTTTGCAAGCTAAACCACGCATGTCATGCATTGTCAATCTTTCTATCATTTTGATACCTTCTTCGTAATCTGTGCATCATGTCTTGTAATTTGTACCTTTTAGAAAGTGCTAAAACTGAAATCACTGCGTTTTTGTTTGACGACATGCTGTTGTTGACAAAAGGCTCAAAGAAGAATAACCGCCTGAGGGTGGGTATATAAAAGTTATAGTTTTTTCTTTTGATGTTGTGGTCGCTTATGCAGTTGTTGTCCAATTGTTAGTATTGAATTTTTACAGCTTTTTTGTTGTCTACGCTGTTGGTAGTTTTTTGTTCTAATGCAAAGATGTTTTCTGCAGAAAATCAGTGCAGCTGCCAGTATACCAGAAATTCACGGAGTTCCGTCTCCGTCTATGACGAGAAAAGCCTCAGATTATACCTACGTTGTTTGGAAACAGGTAAAAAATAGTTCATACATATTATTGGTCGTCAATTCCGAATAAATTGGCTGCATGAATTAAACTAAATTTTTGACTGTCAGCCAATTTCCTCTAACTGGTCTGGCTCCACGTTTGAGATAAATTAGTGAAGAGTCATCAAAATGTAAGTGCAAGAAACATTCATGCATGGAGTGCAATAAACCCAAGAGTTTCGTCTAAATTTACATATATCAAAAGTAGAATCGTAAGGCCTCATAATGCAAGTAGCATGAAACATTGCACCGTTAAAAATTGCACATTAATCTTTAAATTGAAAATATACTGAAGTAATTGTAAGCTTATTTTCTATATTTTATTTATTACAGCCTCTACCAATTGATAGGTTTATTCTCTACGATCTGGATGAATATTCAGGTGTGATAATGAGATGAATATATCTATTTAGTCTATTCTTTTTTTGTGTATCCGACACAGTATTAGTCATATGATAGTTTCATCACGGAAAGTTTACCGTCACAACAGCGCTTTTTATCGTTAACTACAATTACTTGAAAATGTTTATAGGGAACTCCATAAAAAATGGTTTTGTGTTGGTGCACATTAGTCGGTTCAAACAAGCCATCGCTATACACACGTTACAAGCGTCTTCTCACGACGTCAAGGTAAGCAGTACATGGAGAAATTTAAAGCCATTACTATATTCAGGAGTGGAGTAGCATGATTTAACGGCTAACCAGGATCTGGGGGAGGGGGTTTGTGTGCAGCATGAGAAAGACGTTTTCACAGCCACATTTTACTGAAAGGGGTCAGCTAGGCGTTTTGTTCCCGTTCTGACCACGCCTATGCTGGTAATTCTCTGTTATATATACCCTCCCTTTGAGATACACTTCTCTTTAAAATGTGATGTCGATAATTGTTAATGACGAACAATACTCCACTCAATTAGTACTTTAATGCGGTGCTTACTACATGTTCATGCGCATTTAGAACATCTGGATATCGAAGCTCAGAGACGCGCAGACAACATGGAATGAACTTATAGAACAAGAAGACGAACAACGAAAAAACCAAAACAGTTCTCCATCTCACGACAGAAAACGAAACAGTGCAGAGATTGAATATCGTGAGACGGATACAGACAGTGAACAAGAAGAACTTAGTGTGGGAACAAATAGCGGAAGTAATAGCAATGATGAAACATCGCATGTTTTTTACGAAGAAATGGAAATGAAGCAAAATACTGCTGAAACAACTGAGCTCGATATAAATTCAAACGTAAGCATGCGAACTAGACCTAGCGCACCTCGAAGGAGAATTAGTCGCCTGACATCAGCAATTTAACGCTGTAGGCCCACTGTAAGTTATATGCTTGTACATAAAAAGATATCCCATTGGTCGTTCTGCAGTTCAGTAGCTTAGTACGCATTCAAATATATCATGCAACGTGGCACAGTTTTTACTTAGACTTCGAAATTTGACCGTTAACCTCCATCTAATTCTTCATTAATAGAAACTTCAATCTAGAGCAGTTCTAATCATGAATTCACGATGAAGTAACTTTATGATGTTTGGAAACTGTATATAATGAAAAGAAATTCACCTGCTATGTTGTGAATGTTACGTTCTTCATCTAAATTATCACTTTCATATTGAATTACTTAATCACTTGTTTATATCCCCGAACTGATCTTTATTCTTCAACTAATTGCCATACAAGCTTACGAAAAAAATTATTCTGGGCAAAGGTAACATCATTGTAAATCATCTAGTCTGCTGTTACCAATGATATCCCTTACAGAATCTTTGTTTTCATTGGACGAGTTGTTCTTGCCCATGTCGTTATTTTCAGGAGTCTTGTCACTTATACCGTAACTCTCGATGTCACCACAACTGTTGTCGTTACCACCAATACTGTTATCATCGTTGGCTTTAGTATCTTTACTATCACTATGATGATGGTTTATCTCACAAACATCAGTTCCATCCATGTTTTCATTGTCATTGTTTCTGATAATGTTTCCGTCGACACTGTCAACATTAGCACGGCTGCTATTATCTTTGTTTTCGTCGTCATTGTCACCAGTGGTATTACAACCATTCACATCATTTGCATTCTCATTATTTTCACCGTCATTTTCACTGTCAACATTACTTCTATTGTCATCCCTCTGATTACAACTTTCACTAGCGACATTACCTCCATGCTCATTATTTTCCCTGTTATTCTCACCATCAACATTACTTCCAGTGTCACTTTTCTCAAGACAATTTTCATCATCAACATATCTTCCATCAACATCGTTTCCAATGACAGTGTCCTCGTTACCTGATTCAGAGTTACCTCTGTTTTTGCCATTCGATAAATTGTCACACACGGTATCTTCACAATAATCATCATCATCATCATCGGGTAATCCACAAAGTAGCCCATCATTTTCAAAAGTTGGAAAGAAATATCTTGAAAAACAATTGGGTACTTTAGTTCGTGATAAACGTTTCAAGGTAATACAGAATGAGAAAACACTCAATCATGAAATATTAAATCATATCAATCAATCGTATATTAATCAATCAATCGTATATTAAATCAATGTAAAAATGATATACTGTTACTCACTCTGGTTGATCCCAACTCATGCTTCGATCAGGAAGCTCAAAATGACACATTTTGTTTAAATGATCTAGTAAGACTTCATTCGAAGTGAACCTTTCTTTACAAAATATACATTTGCTGTTATAAACCTAACAAAGTAAATGGCGCATGTTTATCTATCTCACATGGCGATGATTACACGAGCATCGTTTTCGAATGTTTTTTGTCTCTTATTGTATAAAAAAGATTGTAAACATACGTTCGAGAAAAAATAATATGAAGGGGGTGGTATCAATAAAATGCTTAAACGAAAACTGATGTGTATAAATTCTAAATAAAAATGCAGTGCTCTGATCAACTGAGCAACAGAGGTTGATCATGTTGTCAAATACAGTATTAACGTTTCTGACTCAATCCAATCATCCAATCATGCAGAGAAAAACATTCCTGTGACATTTTGAACAAAGACCATTCTTTGGGTCGTATCATTGTAAATAGCTAATCACCTGTCGACGAACATAGTTAACAATTTTGACTTCTTCATAAAAATTTAAACCTGGACAAAAAAGAATGACAACACCGTAAATCATGTCGTCTAACAACTACAACTTGATAGGAAATGAACAATGTAAAGATTGGGGTGATACATTGAACCACAATACCTCAGTGGACCCACCCGCATGTACATCTACAATACATTATTATCAACTCTACCTTGATTCTTCTTGGTCTTCAACAAATCAAACCCATGACATTTCTTTAAAAACAAAATAATATTTAAATGGGTACAAAATACTAAGATTGGCACTAATACGGTTGCACAGTATATTACTGTAGCTGTGTATGTGAATTCCTGTCATTCAGTTCAACTCGTAAATCTAACAAGAAATTCTTCGCTCACCTTCATGTGATTAAGTATTTCCTGGATTGTCGGCGAAGTGACTTTACAAAACAGACAATGAATAGGAATATCTTCCTCCTGCCAATCATCCCAGTTTCTATAAAAATTAAGGAATGAACTCCTTTAGGTTTCAAGTCTGACTAACAATAATACCGAATTTATATTGGAAATTAACAGAGTATATTATCTTTAAAAAAGTGACATTACTCGTCTTTGGATTTTTGATTAATCTCTGTGTCGTCTTCGTCCAAGATGTCATGCCAGTTTTTCCCAACCTCCTAAAATGATGCGATTTGAAACATTCTAACTTTTTCATGCATTTTATACAGGCGATTCTTTAGCAATGAACCAGAGTTTTGCGTCTTGTGTTTTAAAAGCTCAAATCTTGAGTTAGAAAGATGATGTTATTTGAAAATTATAAAACACGGTAGCTTTTTCAGGCAAGTGCTCATTTTTAACTTATTCTTAGATACATGCACCATGTACAACGAACTCTAATGAAATTACCAGGTAATTGATCAAATAGTATTTATCAAATTCCTTGTTCTTTGGATTTATTTTCCTGTGTTGTTTCTTTCTCATGTGATCTCTCAATGTTGGTCTGTCTTTGAATGTTTTCTCACAAAATAAACACTGTAGACTGAAAGTTAGAACATGTGTGAGCAAGCTAAAGTCAATCCCATGCAATCCATGTCATGAAATTACTATATTGTGGAGTGCACGGAGCTTAAGCTTTAGGGCAACGGCAAAACGAAGCCTTGAACTAGCAGTTTCGTTCCACTTCTTCACCTTATAATTTTTGTTCCTACCCCAAAAAAATCACGATACGTGTTAATACAACAACTTGGTATAAAATTCTCAACTATATTTTGCGTATTTAATCAAAGCCCCTCAAAATATACGATGCTTTTCATGATACATTGGATTCTATTCATGATTCATACGATTCTATACAATGTAATTCTGCCGTAACTATATTATATTTAAGAAATAGAAAACATTTTTCGTGTTTCTATACAGTTATAGAAACACGCGTAGGGGTTTGGGAGAACGAGAACTAATCAGTGGGAACTGACTTTCCACGTTATTTAGAGTTCTCCCAAACCCCTACAAGTGTTTCTATAACTGTATAGAAACACAGGAAAAAATATAACTCAATAAAAATATTTTGTACATACCGCCATAATTATATATACTTACTTCTGTATACTTACTTATTCAACTTTTCTTCCAGTTTATCCAAGAATTCATTGACATAAACTACATGCAAATGCAAAATATTAGAATATTGATATTATTTAACCATATAGCCAGGTGTTTCGCTTTCACCCATATACCTTGTCACAATGCAAATTTAGAAGAGAAGAAATAAATTATACATATTAACGCACTTTGAAGAGTTGTATACGTTTGAGAAAGGAACAGCAAATTGCCAATCAAACAATCTATCTTTGAATCAATCATGCGAGGGAAATCACCACCACAGCAATACTTACCAAGATTGTCCGGTAGGCCAACGTTAAAAGCATGATTATCAACCATATGTTGAAACAACTGAGATCTAAAAATGAATATATTCTGCAACACCCAAAAATACATAGCAATTATGCATAGCAGCATTAAGATGTCTGATTACAGTGTGAAATATCATCTTGGAAATCATCCCCATGAATAGCAATACCTATAATTGTATGTTGTAACGTGAATGCATTTATAATATGTGGGTTTACATTATTTACAGTAATAAAATTAAGCTGAAGATGGTCGGAATACGGCAGGCCTGCGTTGTACGGCACAAAGGTTTAAAATGCACAAGACTCAAGAGGAATTGGTATGACCGTTAATTATATGAAAAATTTTTTTACCTGTTTCCTTCAAAGTTTACATTACAGAAAAGACAAATTCGCGAGAAGTGACTGTCAGTTCTTTCTTGTTGTTGATGATGTAGGATTCCTTGCTAAAAGTGGTGCATAAATTGCATAATGCATAAATTTGGTCTATCGTCTATATTTATGTTATCCATAGCCATGGCATGCGTGAGACGGTACTTATTTCGTAGAACATAGAATAGTCCATTTGTACTTATAGGCATTATTTGTACATCACTGTCCTGAGCCTGAGTTGAGATTTTCTTGTCAATCAAAACTCAAAGATTAAAACTAACAAAATAGTGTGGATGGATAATATATGACAAACTAATAGAGAATGAGGGTCAACCAGAAAAGTCGTCACGCGTTGTGAATGCGCAATTCGAAGAGATTTTAACACACACCAATTTTTTAATCTGTAACTGTTCCCGCAGTTCCTTATCTTCTGGTAGTCCATCACACAGTAAGTTATATTGTAATTTTGGCCCAACATCTAAAAACACAGTACCTTCTCGGTATTCAAAATTTTTATCCTACATTTAATTAGCATGCATGATTTTAGTCAATAGCGATAGCAGGGGATATTGGCAAAAGACTAGCTTTTGTCAGCAGATGAAATATGAACCAAAGAAAATCTTGAAACAGGGTTACAGTGCAAATGGTGGGGCATTTTCAAACATTAAGAGAATAAATAGCTACACCAAACTCCCACCCAGGCTGAAGAATGAGTAAAGACCAGTGAGGTAAAGACTTTCAGTGTACACTACCTTCAGCCCTTGAATTGATGTTGATCACTGAGCAAATGTCTGTTAGAGGTGATTCTTGAAACCTTCTTTTCCAATAATTAATGTAGCTAATATATGATAAGAAATTGAAGTATGTTACATTTCTACAGTATTAAGCATGGAATAACAAATATTAACCAACAAGTTATTAACGCACTGTGCAGTAGGCAAATGACGTTATGTGCTCATTTTACACCAATGAGTAGTTTTGCCTTGACAAATTCCATTTTTTCATGTGTATGGAAAGAACCTGACCAGTAGAATTCTACAAACTGGCTCTTAGGGCTCAAAATCAAGAGATGTGGAAAACATTGGAAGACAGAACAAAAATGTCTGATATTGGGGTATAACTGTCTATACCATTACAATTTTCATGACAATTATTATAAAACGTAATATTTTTTACAATACACCTTTTGGAATGTTGCTGAGTTTGTTATAGAAAGGAATTATGTGCAGAATGGACTTTTGAACATTTTGATATTTTTTTGAACATTTTTAACCTTTTAAAATCAGCAATGAGATCTACATCAGCAATAACAAATTGATGTTCAACAAGCAAATGATGAAGTAAGGCATCACTTTTCTTTACTCCACCATCTTCGAACATTTTATCACACAATAAACACAACAAAGGAATTGAGATGTTTGCCTTGGAATTATTTTCAGGAAAACAGAGCGCCTCCAAAACTGGCTGATCTATTTTAATTAAAAAGTATTATAAATTATTTTAATCAACAGAACAACCTTTAGTTGTTATTTATACAACAAATATTTGCTGTAAATGTTTTTTACACATTCACACTATTGAAAACAGGCCTTAGTAACCTAAAAATAGCATACTAACAAGCATATTAAAAGCTTTCAGCATACTAAGAGCATGCATATTTTCTGTCCTGGGTGAGTGGAATTTAACAAATGGTCTTGTGTTGGACTTCACCTGGCTTGTCAGATATTACATTTGGAAATTGGAATTGATTTGGACATCATTCACTATTTCTATCAACACCCTAATCCCCCAGTACACAGGCTAACACACTAACACTGATTATTCTGCACCCAGCAACCTAGTTAACTCCTTTTTGTCAAGAAAAATTTGGCCATGTGCTTTTTCCATGTATTCCATGGTGTATTTGGCAAAGTTTTACCACCATCATGGAACATGGCACCACCACCGAATTTTCTGTTAATTGTTTAATAATCCTTAATAGTTTTTTGATCTAGGTATCTTAAATCAAAGAGAATGTCAATCAATTAGTGTACTATTTTTATACCTACCATAAAAGCGTTTGTCCATATAATTTTTACCATCTATGCTTTTATTTCCACTGTCAGAACTTACAAATGGTTCCATCCTCTGATTCCTCTCCTTGGTGGCCATTTTGCAGCCTCGTTCCCAAGCTCTTTGATTTCGCGCATACAGCACTGAGCGCACGGGGGTGCTTGGGGAGGTTTGCAGACTTCCAACCTCCCCACGTACCCCCGCACGCTCAGTGCTTTATCCGCGAAATACTTCAAAGAGCCTGGGAACGAGACTGGACTGGCCATTTTGTTACATTTCTATCAGCACTTGTCGGTCTTGTCCGAAAATTTCTCAGATTTCCACAAAATTCCTTGAATGACGAGGAACATACCCTTGCAGGAACAAGGTCGGAGGTTGTGAAACTTGCTCCGTTGAGTCAATGAAAATATGAAATCTATATCAACTCCGTATTTTAATAGCTTCGGAATTGACTGTTAGATGTTTCCAAAATGAAAAGAACATCAGAGATTAATGTAAGAAATGGGCATAGCTTAATTATTGGTGTGTAAAGCAAAAAATACATGCCCGACACTGACCATGGCAAAAGTTGTAACAGCTGGTAGATTATATTATTTTGCTTTTTCTTACAGTCAGTACAAGTCAACTACAAAATCAATAATTATGAACAACTGTGATATAGTTTTTATGTACTAATTAAAATATGTACATATGGTTCTAAAATTTCAATCAATTTCAGCATAAAGACTATACGTTCAACAGAAAAAGCCCATTGCTGTAAGCTCATGTATGTATCCATTTCCAACATCAATGAAGGCATATGTTTTAAAAATATGCCAACAAATCATCATTTCCAAAAAAATACAGTACTTTCCCAAACAACCTGCCATTGAATGGAATACATGTAAATTTGCTTGAGCCAACAAGATAGGAAACATTGCTCTAATTTCATGGTCGAAGAGTGTCAAATAACCATTACAATTTTCCTTATAAATTTATAAGACCATGGCCATGACAAATTATAATAGTTCCACATTCAAATAGCATGAAGTAGCCATTCCAGTAAGCAAACAGTCATTAGGACAATGATCCTTTCAACCATTACAATGGACACATAGGTAGATGCCAAATACAAGCAGCAACAAAGTATGATCCAAACATCACCATTACAAACACAATGCTTTCAATTAAATTGAATTTCATTAAAATTGGCATAACTTTTAACCTTTTGGTACACCCTGGCCAATGTCTTGAAATAGAATAAACAAAAAACTGTTCTCCATTACATAATTATAAAGTTTAAATGCCAAATGTCAGCTTTAGCAGTTCAAAACTGAACATCACTGATGGACTTGTGACTCTTTCACAAATAGGTGAATGCTGTAGAATATAGAAGATAACACATATGGTATTATAAAACCATTAACAGAATGTGGTACTTTAGGCTAAAAGTCAAGTGAGATATGACAAAATAAACTATGCTGGTCCACGAATAACAACAACAACCAGATGGTCTTCATTAAATGCTTCTTGGCCAAGATGAGGTGCAATTTTTAGGAGTTGATCATGGGAATATTGACAAGGTGGGAAGGCATGAAGCACACCACCTTCATCTTTTATATTTGACGAAGAAAGGTTACTTGTATTGATCAAGTTGACAACACCAGCAGCTTGTTTTTGTTTCAGGTAAGTAACAAGGTTTCGAAGGGGTCTTTGTTGAGTTGGCATGTTGGTTTCCATATCCAAGGGTGGTTCTCCTCCATGAACACCAGGTAATGCAAGCAACATACAATAACCACTTGCACCAGCTGTATTCATTCGTTTTGATACTTCCTCTAATTTTGGTTGGTCAAGTCGTAATCGCTGTGAAATACGTAACACTGTATTTGGTGCAGAATTTCCAGGTACACTACGAAGTAAGACTTCAACAATTTCTGGGTTTCCACCAATCAAATGAAGACGTACCGGAAAAGAACTATTTTTCAAAATAAGAGATCCACGCCAAGCAACAGCAAACCGTTTTGCAACATCTTGAAGGCTTTCAGATGCATCAGAAACTGCTTCTTCAACTGAAACAATTTCTTTTGATTCAGATGCACTTTTATTTGTTGGGGTTATTCCTTTTCTTTCCTGATCTTTGTTTTTTTCTTTTTCATGATTTTTCTCCTTGTGATACTTGTCACCCTTGTGGATTCTTTCACTCTCAGGGGAGGCAGAACAGCTTTTTATATTTGGTGATACCGACCCAAACCTTTGTGGGGACAAAGCAGGTGGAGGCCCAGAGGTTTTGCGTGGACGTTTAGCAGGTGGGCTACTTGAACGAGAAACTCCATTGCCAGACTTGTATTTTTCTCCACTTTTTGCTCTATCTTTATTTCTATGATTCTTTGTTGGTACTTTTTCATTATCTGGTGTCGATGGGCTATGAAGGTCATGATATTTTTCATTCAATTTCTGCTTGGTATCTTTCTTATCAATCCATTGTTGGCTCTCACTTTTTTCACCACTTTGCTTTTCATCATTTGCAATTTGCTCACTCACTAATTCACTCCATTTTCCACTGCCATCACTGTTTTTTCTCTCTTTTTTAACATTTTTAAATAATTCACCACTTGTCAATTCATCTTGTTTTTTTGAACTGGTGAATTGATTTTCTCTGTCTTCAGCCAGGTGGCCTAGTGTTTCAGGATACTCGTCTAAACCTTGTGTTAAATCTGCAAAGTCAATTTTCAAGCGCCGCCCATTCATTTTGAACCCTCGCATTTCCCTTGCAGCAACAGAAGCAGCATCCAAACTGTCGTAGAGTATGAATGCATGATCATGACCCTTGTTGTAATCAATTCGACGAATAGCACCAAACCGATCAAATTCTCTTTCAAGCTCTTCAATCAAAGTCCAAGATCCAAGACCACCAATCCACAACCGAGTTGTAGGCATGCTTTTGCCATACCCAATTTTCACTCGATTCCTTCCAAACAAAGAACCTTGCATGGCAACTTTGGCTCTTGTAGCAACATCAAGATCAATAAACTTTACAAAAGCATATGTACTTCCTTGACCACGAATAGGTCGCTTTATATCAACATCTTCAATTATGCCAAACTGCTCAAACTGACGACGAACATCTTGACGGGAAATTGAGCTTTCGAGGTTGCCAACAAACAAGGTTCGGGTCGCTTTTGGGTTATCTTCTTCACCTACCAATGCAGCTGAAACACAGCTTGGCTCGCTAAAGAAACGATCAACTTTACGGTGTCTCCGTACGTCTTCGACATTTGAAATATCTAGTACATCGTGTTTTATACTGCGTGGAGGCGAAGCCCGGGAAAATCTGCTCTTTTGTTGGAGAAAATCGGGCGTGAAACGCCGAGACCGACTACCAGGAATACTAAACTGCAAATTCAAAGCACGATCTTGCAGAAAAATTGCTCCACCACGGTTCTCGATTGAACGCTTTGCCTCTATTGCATCTTCGCTATTTCGAAAAGAAACAACAGCGTAACGCTCATCGTCATGTCGCACAATTCGTACAGTAATCTCACCAAATTTCTTAAATTCGTAATTGAGTTTTTCTCGCAAAACATGATCTGCAGCCCCCCGAGTAAAGTTCGTAACACGAATTGAAGCTTCGTCGTCTCTTTCGGTCCTTTTCCTTTTGAACAAATCAGCCCCAAACTCGGTTTTTATTGTATGAACATGTGTGGAACGCTCGCTTTTACGGTTGAAAGTACGAGAGCCTGGTGAAAGCTCTCGAGCACGACGAGTATTTTCAGACGTATATCTGTCGATAGTTACTGCATGTAGTACCTCCAGTCCATCTCTAGTTCGTTTATTTCTCCTCGGTGAGTCTATATCTGAACCTCTCTTCATGACCATACTCAATTTCTTTTATAAAACTCCATAAATTTCCGTTGATTTTAAAATAACATCCCAATTAACCCAATATGGCCGCCAAACTTCAATTACCGTTTATTATTATTTCTGATCTCGGCAACAAAAGTGACGTACTGTTTGGCACGTGTTCTTTTTTATATTGTGGAGAATTTCTCGTTCAATCGGTTTTTTCCGATAATCGTTCTATACTCCGCGCAGGATTAATACTTCTTACATTATTTGACTGATTGAATTATTTTTGAGGAACTTCGTTAACATGGTTTAGAGACAAAAATATTACATAGTAATTACTGTATGATAGAAATTTTTAGTTTTTCCTCTGTTAACTAATCTACCAGAATGAATGCTGTTTTTTGCATGCAAACGTATATTACACATTAACATAATAATAAGGCATAATAGAGAATGAAAAAGGCAGGTACAAAATATCTTGGCTGGTCAGTCAAGGTATCAATCCATAGAAGACAGATTTTGGAGAAAGCCTGGACTGATGGTCCTGTAGTTGTTTTCCCCAGCGTTACTTTTTACTCTATTGATTTTTAGTGTGATAAAGCAGTTTTTACGCTCGTGTTTGTAAAATATAGCCTTATAATAAAGGTGAGGAATGTCGCATCTAATACAAACACAAATACAAAAGTCAATGTTTCTGCTTTCGTTCTCCTTTCGTTCATCATTGAATTTGAATTTATGTAAATGAACTCATAGTGATGATTCCTCAAATGATTCCTATAAAGTGTCACTTCTAATTCGTGATTTTCAGTAGACAGTACCCCAAAAATTGTGGCGTGGAAAAGCCTTTTTTAGGAATTAATAAATCATCCATTGAATCACCCGATTTTGTCACCCAATTTTTGTAATCGGGGTCCTTAACTCGGAAAAGGTAACGAATAATCGCTAAAAAGTGTAAAACGTTTATGGCAAAGCATCATGCTAAATCATGAATACCAAATACACAAATTAGGCAATCTTGTATTCTTATCTTATTACGTCATTTTTTTATCGTGGATAGGCTTCATACCTTTAAATTCAAAACATATTGTTGCATCATCACTTTCTAGTGTCACACTCGCAGACTCGCTACCAGTCCGGGTAAATAATCGGGAACCACAGGTCGGAATCGTCGATCCACGGAAGAGGTTTATATCGTTTCACAAGGCAAGGTAAATATATGTGTTTTTAAAACTCTTTGCATGTTTTCTGTAACTAACGATGATTTGCGTTGTTTTAAGTTGTCTTGTGTATTGATAATTCAAGCTGGGAGTTCTATCGTCGAAAATGAATGCCTTATTTGGGACAAGTACTCCGTTCGAAACGAAAAAGTCGCCGATAACTGATGTATATACCATTACAACTACGGTTCTTGGGGTCGGCATTAACGGCAAAGTTGTTGAATGTGTAGAGAAAAAAACCGGGTTTAAATACGCGTTAAAGGTAAACTGATAGCAAAGCAGTCTATGCCTTGCATACAATATACAGGGGTATAAATAATATGGAGAATACATCACAACAAAGTCGAAATATTGACATTCAAGTGCAATTAATATATTGTATGTAATAAATTGATATTCGAAATGCATTACATTGTGACAAGATGTTAAAAAAATCGTTCTGGTGTGTCAAACCACACTCTGGGGTTAGCAGGCCATGCGCGTGAAACTACTTGTCAACAAATTAATCTTTTCTTAGATAAACTTTTAGACTCGGGTTTTTAAGGAGATTTGTAGTAAACAAATCCTTAGCCTCACCTCAATTGATCACTGAATGGATTAGTGCTTATATTGAAATGTCTGACTGCAGATTAGTTAATATAATTACATTTTAACATGCACAATACATTTATATACCAAAGACACTTTCAGTTCTTGTTTGATTTTCTATGCCTAACAATCACCAAACTCATAGGTTGTCAAAATAATGCTCCAATAATGCTAGTTAGTTTGTGCTTCCCCCCCACCAAATGCCTGTTTATGTGTTTTCATGGTTTTCACTCCAATTGTTTGTCACAGAGTTTTGTTTACCATTCAGGGACAAGTAAAATGCATTTGGTTTTATTGCAAGCTATAATTATAATATTCTGAATTGCTGTTGGTGATCCTATGGATAGGTGCCTCACCATAAACGAGATGTAATAATAGCAGCCCAACAGTAGAGTGTTTAGCACTTTCATCTAGTAATAACTTTATTAATTAAGGCTAGTTACATGATTTTATATGTGTTGTTTACAGGTATTGCAAGATAATGCAAAATCAAGAAGAGAGTTAGGTTTACATTGGAAGGCTGGTGCATGTCCATTTATTGTTAAGATTAAAGAGGTTTATGAGAATAAATTTATGAGACGAGACTCTTTACTGGCTGTCATGGAGTGGTACGACCTTGCCTTTTAAAAACTGAGATGGATTTTTGAGTAAAGTATGATGTAATGCATGGTTTGACATTGAACCAGCATCTTGTTTTTTGATATTTTAGTATGACTGGTGGAGAGTTATTTGAAGCTATTCAACGTAGGTCTGAAACACATCAGCCATTCACAGAAAGAGGTAAATAGGAACACTGCACCTAGGTCAAAATTGAATGCCTAACTGCAACTTTTAGGTTAATGTATATGGCCCACAGCTTTATAAGTCTTAACTTTGTATTGAACAGTTGCTTCAGTATATATTATAAATGCAATTACACAATTCATATAAAAATATGTTCAGAGGCTGCGGAAATAATTCGAACAGTCACACTTGCTCTTGCTCACTTGCATTCAATGGACATTGCTCATCGTGATTTAAAGGTTAGTCACAAAACATACTAGTTTATTTAGTGCAGTACATAATGTGGTTGACATTTTGGAATTTACAGCTTCGGTGAAATCGTTGTATTGTGGTATCCAAGCCAGATATTACAATTATTATAACCTGTTAGTACGCGTTGTGTTGCTGTTTTTAAGGCAGATGAAAAGAGGACATTTTCAGTTTTTTTGAAACGCATTTATATTAATAAATTCTGTGCGCCGTAGGCATAGCCAACTTCACTCCTGTCAAGTTATGGCGAAACAGGAACTAAATTCTTGCCAAGTCTACCATATAATTGCCGTAAATATGTTGATAACGTTTGATGACAGGCTGCTACTGATAGGCTAATCAGTAAAAAACGCCTTTTCGATTGATATCGGTCGATTTCCGCCCAGACAGATGTCACTCGGTCAAAATCAAATAAAAAATTCGAGACTTATGATGGTTTCATTTGATTACTTGCACGAACGAGTGTCATATTTGACTGAACTTAGCTTATGAAAGATGGTAGTGAGATACTAAGTAAGGTTCTAAACGACAAAAAAATGACTAAATATAGACGAGAAAAAACGAAAAAGTTCCATTAAAAATTACCTGTTTGCTAAAGAAGCACGTGTAAAAAAAGGAAGAGTGTACTCCCAAAGCCAAGGGAATGTATACGACGTGTATATCTTTATTATCCATTATAAGATAGCACACATTTATCTTTCCACTTTTAGCCTGAAAACTTACTTTTCACAAACAAGCAGCCAAATGCTGTGCTGAAATTGACAGATTTTGGATTTGCAAAGGAAACAACTCCTGATAAATTAACCCTACAGACACCATGCTATACACCTTACTATGTAGGTGAGTGCCTGTATCCTGCCATTTTACGTTTCGACAACAAGCGAGTATAGTTGCTTTTACTACAGCCTTAAACCAAATTTTGGTGTAGTAATGTATTTTTATTAAACAAACATCTTATACTATCTTCCATTATTCATTAACGTTTGTTTTTATTCAGTTCTGTAACGACATGTCGACTGTGCCCGGGCATTTTCATTTATTTCATACTCAAATTTGCTACGAAATTTTTGCAGCTCCAGAAGTACTTGGCCCTCAAATGTATGACAAATCGTGTGATATGTGGTCGTTAGGTGTAATTATGTATATCTTGTAAGTACTACCATTTTTACTATATTCTATAACCATGCTTTCTTTGCATGCATAATTTAGGATACGCAGTACTCGTCACGGTTTCCTCAGTTGAAACTAATATTGCGCTTAAGATTTAACGACGATGTCAATGAGCGTGACCATGAGTACGAATATCATCATCAGGCCCGGAGCTACGGGGGGGGGGTTTAGGGGGGTGTCACACCCCCCCAGAAAGTTTATTCTGAGGTTTAGTCGGTAAAATTGCTATTTTAGTCGGCAGACAAACATACTGTTGACACTATAGACCGATCCAATATAAACTTGACAAAGTTTCATCCAGAGTGTAGTCGGTACAAGTCCGTCGATCAGTCGGTTTAGATTACCTTACACCCCCCTGTAAAATATCCTGAGGACGGCCCTGATCATCATGTAAACTTAATTTCTTCATTTTGTTTATGGCACGACCACGCAGCAAACCTGCGTTAACAGATTTCTTACCTACATTGCGAATCTCTTTGCAATGCTCGAAATAACTCAAACAAGCTGTAAACACTGAGCTTCTTATTTGAGAGCTTTAGATTTGACTACGGCTCCCGCTACGGCTACGAGATTCGTCAGTCGAAGTATCACGAATATCACGTCAATATGACGAATCTCGTAGCGGTAACGGGAGTCGTAGTAAAATCTAAAGTTCCCTATTAGCCCGACACATGCATGCTACAGTATGTAACCAGTCATCGCGATCAGCATTACCTGCATTCGTCGTCCCATGTCCGATACCTTGTTCCATCTACTAAAACATAGAGACCAAATGTCGATAATGATTTCTACTTTGTAATAACATTTTCGTATAGGCTTTGTGGATTTCCGCCATTTTACAGTAACCATGGCGCAGCGATTTCACCCGGTATGAAGAAACGTATCCGACAGGGACAATATAGTTTTCCAGATCCAGAGTGGAGTAATGTCTCGACACAAGGTTATAACCAAAAATTTTTTAAACGCCAGCATTTTTACCTACTACTAACTTGATATATAAAGTATACAGCAACAATGGAGTTTTGATGTTAGTATGAAGCAGAACACCCGCATTAGGATCGCAAGTTTGGGTGGTCCCCAAACGAAAATCTCGATCAAGCTTCCTTTGAATAATAAACAATTATTAAATAAGTTTGAACACGATATGAAGAATTGTCAAGCCGAAGTTTGGCGTTCAAACTTGATTATATCCTTCATGTAATAAACTGAGGCTTGATAATTTTTTATGCTATGTGAAAACCGAATTCAATAATTGTTCTATTTTTTATTTAAAGGAATGAATATTATAAATTTGTTCGCTCGCATTTGTGCTGCTTCACATTTACGTTCCGTTTGTCACAGAGGAAAAAAATAGGTATCTATTTTTTACTCTGCTTCGCCATTGGTGTGACGTCATGACATTGCGGGTACGACTTAATATGACGTATTAGCGTGCAAAGTCGTATCACACGTTGGACATTGGACATGACGATTTCACACATGTACATGCAACTCAGAGACTTGCGGTTCAGTTCTCTGCCCCTAGGGACAGGACAGTGCTAAAAACCTCTCAACCTGCATTTGTGTTTGTTATTTAAATATCATTCTTCTACAGCAAAAGAATTGATTCGAGGGCTACTGAAGACAAACCCACACGAAAGATATACGGTCGAAAAAGTTATAAATAATCCTTGGATAAAGGTGAGTTTTCACTTAATAAAAGTTAGTGCGGATGTTTCTGTGCGGATGTCAGTTACTGCATTGAGGATGTTTCAGGAGGATCCAAATCTCCTTTCTGTGGCTAACATATTTCAAGAGTAAAATTTGTACTTTCCTGCGATGAGCATTAAACAATAATCTGACTCCTATACTAAGCTACACTACAAATGATGCGGCAAGGACGTTTGAAAGATCAGCCATAAGCATAATTAAAAGTTCTTTAGAATGGGCTTGATACAAAGTTTGATGGAACATATCAATGCTATCGCGAATCGTATATTAAAATATCACTATGTTCCCTCCAGGCATATACTGAAGTTCCGTCAACACCTCTACATACAGCTAGTGTTTTAAAAGATGAAACAGACAATTGGGAAGATATGCAGGTATGTATATCTTTCGGATAACAATATACTTATAGTCATAGATAGTTAAATAATATTAGCATTCCATGCCGGGATGGGTGTTTATAAAAAGTGCATAAATAACCTGTACTATGTTTTTTGATATATCTGTATAGCAAAATACATAAGATCACACATTTTGGCGAAAAGCTGTTTGATTTAAGTAAGTTTTCAATGCTTGTTTCTCTAATTTATTCTTAATCCAGGCTGAGTTCGACCTGACGCTGCAGTCAATGCGTGTTGACTTCGAGAAACCAATCATATTGAAGACTGTAGACAAAGCAAAGAACTCGCTTCTTGGAAGAAGAAAAAAGTCAAAAGAAAGCTCAAAGTAACGTTTGTTATTGTATAATTGCCGTTAGGTTGAAACAATTATTTTTAAATTGTTCGTAGACCGTTATTTTAGGAAGTAAATTTTACCTTATACGTATACGTGTAAGTTTAAATTGTGAACTGAACTTGCTTTGGCATATAGAATGTGGTATTTAGTGATAAATCACTCATCGTATAACGTACAATATTTTGAATATCTTTTGATATTTCAAATGATTCAGAAAGTGATCTTTTATAATCAATGTCGAAAAAATATGCAAAGAAAATATTTCTCTCGCTTTGTTTCACAATATTTTACGGTTTTTAGCATTTTCCCTCAAAACATTTAATTTCCGAAATCCGCAATCGAAGTCTAAGAATATTAGGATTGTTGAAAATTGTATGCCTCTTAAAATGACTAATAAAACAAGATGATTTGACGTAATATTTTTTGAGTTAAAAAAACTTTCGGAATTTTTTCAGCAATAAAACGTCGTCTTATTTATATTGCTCGGTACATTTGTCGCGGGCATATTATGTCTAGACTCTAGGTTTCAAATATGTTTGTAATTGTAAATGTATTATCTACATCAGACTAGTTTAAGACTGCATGAACTAAAACAATATTATAGGGTCAGTGAATATTATATATACTTATATAGTACACTTAAATACTTGCTCTAATAGTAATAGTGATGAATAAAATTTACATTAAATTTGTCAGTCGTTGACGCTGTCTTTGGTTTTCACTTTTCGACCGTATCATACAACTCGCACTGACTAAACCTCTGGAGCAATGTGAAAAAGTGAGAAAACGATATAAAAAACGCCAGTTGTTTTAAGAACAATCTACCGATTTTAGGACCAAGGGATTTCAGGTGCATTTTTCCAATATTTCCGATCTGATTCTCCTAACAACTTATCAAAATAGAACTGAGCAATCAAATTGAGATACTCTTCCGTTGTTGTATTTAATTTGTTTATTGCCAAAACAATCCGCTAGTTAAATTATTTACATCAGTATTACTGTAATCATGCAGTAGATTGCTCGAACAGTTCCCGCATTACTGTGGTCTTAAAAAGTCGTCATTTGGCCAAATGGACTTCCACATTAATTGGTAATTCCCGAATTTTATTTGACAATTCTTGTGAAATGATTCATATGATTTATGACAACTCAACAGACGGGTCACCCAGGAAAAACAGCTCAAGTCGAGTTGGACAACAAGTGCCTGGTTTAGTGGGACTTCTTCGTTGTCATTTAGTGAACGAGATCGAATTCATGGAGTCCCTCGTCAACTGATTCTCTCTTGGAGTTGCGTGGTTGTTTTCAGATCTCAATGTCGTAAAGACAGCTATGAATTTCAGATTTCGCATTTGGCATCATTGTTCTCCATTCTTACAGTGCAAATAAAAACATTTCATCACTTTGTACACATATAAACACTATCATATATTCGTATCACACATTTGAAGAAAACAAGAAGCGTTCTTAATGCCGATTTGGTTTAGATGAGTGCATCCATATTATTCCGTATCAGTGCATTAACTTCAATATGCCAGCGAACATTCAAGCATGAGCCAAGCAAAAATTGCTTGTTTGACTTTGATCCGCCTTTCGTCTTTTATGTTCAGATATTATTAACTGGTGGCAAAGTCTTTTCATGATGTGCATTTTTACAAATTATAATCTTTATTCACACGAGTGTTTCTTGGTCGAGAAAATCAGCATCGTAGTTAAAGTTTTTACTTAGTGCTTCCCATTCTAGCCATTGCTTTCTCAAATCAACATCATCAAAGTCCTCACTCGTTATATCTGACTCTCCCCTGCTTTCCCCTATTGACGATGTATCATCGGTGGAAAGAGAGTTACCGTTCTGTGTAGCAGAATACTGCATTGTACAATCACGATAGGTTACTTCTGTAGGTGAATAACTGATGCTACTATTTGGGGAGTTGCCTGTCGACGTGGACCGAGCGCTAAGATTTGGAGATGGTGGAAAATAACTAAACGATATTGAAGTGTTCATCTTTGGTGTTGCTGGTTGATTGTTTGCGTAAGATCTTTGCTTTATCATGTTACGATCTTCGCGACCGACCGTGCACTTGCATGGACTCAACCCAAATGTTTTTACAAATTGTGCGTCAACCGAAGCACACCTGGGGTGCATCCGTGCGTCTGCTTGGACGTTGTCACTTGAGTTGAAGTTTCTGTTACCTACAGGCACGCTGTGTGCACGTTGCGTGCCTTTCTTTAAATCATAGGTGTTTGTAACACGTTGTTGCAAACGAGCGTTGATTTCCTTGTCATCAATTTCGCTGATTATATCACTGCTTCCCTTAATTATGTTCTCGATATCTTGCCTAAAAGGCAGAAAATGAGTACGATTAAAAATTAAGAGCATCCACTTCGACCTATAATGGTTTATCTTACCCAAATTGACTTTTAACTTTTCGTCGAAGAATAAAATCAACGGTCTCTGGTTCAGTTTGGAGCAGAAAACGCATGACTTGATCATGCATCTCTGGTGACACCTGCCAGAAATAGGTAGTGGACAAAGGTATAAAATAATAAATATATCATAGATCGAAATGCAACATCGAGAGGACATGGTTTGGGTACAACTGCTGTATAAATGTTGTTATTTGGTCCAAACTAACAGTATTCAAGAAGGTTTGGTCGACGTCACATTAATCCCCCCAAAAAAATTTCATAAAAATTCAACTTTAAACAATGGCGTATCGTAGCGCTAATCAACAGGAATACTATATCTAAATATATGTTATATATGCATGATATATTGAAAAAGCAAAATATAGCTACCGTAGACAGTTTTTCGTGATATGTAATCAAGTCTTCAGTGACGTCAATGACTTCATCATGTTCCTCTGCTCGGTGCATATTCTCCACAAAAAAATTTGGAGAATGTGAACTCTTCACCTTCAAAAAAAATGCATAGAAGTTCGAAATTTGAAAATAAGTGTGAATGTTTCTTTAGTATCTTATGCAGATATTGCCGCAGTTAATATAATAGTGGCATGGGCGTACGGGCGTAACTTCGTTTGGGGGGGGGGGCAAAAAAAAATCGCCCGAATTTTTTAATTATACAATGTGCCCGAATTATAACTTTGAACAATAAACTTGGCAAAGCGGTCGATGTGCTTTTAAGAAGTAGTGATAAAAATGGCGAAATAGCCTGAATACAAATATGTGATACACATTACAAAATTTGTTTTATAAATCTTAGCTATGCAACTCTTTTTTAGTTTGCCTATCCCGAAATTTTCGGTGGGGGGCAAGTGCCCCCTGCCCCCTGTCTCGTACGCCTATGAATAGTGGCAGTTGAGCAGTTGCGAAAATGTTTGATTCACCGTAATGTACATTTCTACACAGTATGTATGACACAACCTTTTTCTGCGACGAGATGATCATTAACTTAGGCAGGCTGTTTGAAAGGTTTAATTATTATACAGGCCTTTGCTGAAAACGTTATTGCAACGTTACCTTATGGAGGATATTTGGCCCCATAAGCGTAGCCAGATTTCTACAATTCATCTTATTGCCCGGGACCTAAATAAAGTTGGTAAAATAATCAATAATCTTTGAGGACACTTCATCTTATCATATTGGAACGGGACATTCTTTTAATTTTCCTATTAAAATCAATAAATCTCTTTGAATCATAAACCGTAATCACGGAGACAAAGTAACTCGAAGTAACCGAGGTCGGTGATAGACACACGGTGTCAGAATAACAGGTATTAATATGAGTACGCTAAGTACTTTAAAAAAATAACCCTCAGTAGATTGAAAGCATTTTTACTACGTCTAGACTATCTTGCACGCAGCCTTCAGAATAAAGGAGCTGGCTGTAGAAGAGAAGTTAGCTAACTCTTGTTATTGTCATGCATCGGCCGATCATACAGGATTATATATTTTGATGTTATCTACGATTCAGCTACCCTAAATGAATAGTTGAAGCCAACAACTGGCGCCAGGTATGAAGATGCGTGGTCAAGACATAGCAAAATTTTGAATTTGCGAAGTTTCCATTGTTTTATATTTATTGCTGATTACATAATAGTACAGGAGTACTGCTCAGCAGGTGTTTTGAATGCACAAACATCATTTGAAAAATTTGGAAAATGAACGGAATGATCGATTAGCAACTTTGATGTTAAAGGATAAACAGAATATAATTCCTAAGCTATTAGTAAACCAATAGCTATTTGTACCTATGTATAGGCTGTTTAAAAAAAACGTAACCTTAATAATTCCCAAAGACCTACAATGTCTTGAATTGTTATTGAAAAGGAGAGAATATTTAAGTGGTTGCGTTTTTTTATACACCCTGTACAACTGACTAAAATTTTAGTAATTAAAATTAGTATGTAAATTGACTAAAATTTAAGTAATCAACAACCTCGTCCCTAGGGCTCTTCTCGACAAGACACGCAATTTACATATTATACTGCACATGCTTTTCAGCTTCTAAATGATATTTCGCCGTTTTAATCTCATAAGCGCCGAATGATGTAGCTTTTTTGTAGTTTGCCATCGAAATGAGAAGTGAGAACCGTGACCGTATATTTGTATGAAGGTATGTACATTTCTCTACACTCATGACACTCAAGACGTTATGTATAAACCACCGTCTAGACTTAACCCAAAAAGCAGGATAGTCAGCACTCAGTAACATACTCAGCAGCGTGAATTACACGTGTTATACTCAAATATAATCTTTGTTTCATGTTCAGCGATCGCGCCAAATTCCAAACGAACTTTATGATTACCGGATCTAGCGTGCAATTTATCTGATTATCTCATCATTTGATACATTGAGTGGCTCGACTGTTGAGCCATTATTTCAAAACAATAATCGGCTAATAAACTTTTGCCTGTAATCTCTGACCACAAGTTCACCAACAGCTTTAACCTTGATTGTTCCTGATTGGCGTGCACGCGCTCTTGAAAAACTAATCTCCAAGCTGCCTAACTAACCTACATGGACATTGTAAATATATAGAGTTGAATCTAAATTATCTAATGACTCACAATTTGTTCATTTTTATCCGTTGTATCCTCGGCATAATTTGCGACTTTACTAAGAAAGCACAGTAGATATTGTAGTGTGTCGCGATTGGAGTCAGGCAGTAGATACCATAAATATTTCAAAGCATTCAACTGTGTCTCTGGATCTTTAAATCCTAAAAATATATTACCAATTCAAGCAAAGAAAACTTGGTAGCACTACTACTAGGAAAGTGCGTACGGGAAAATGAGAAGTTGTGGGACATTTGGGGAGAAAGGAAGAGGTATATGCACAACAACTACCGTGTCGTAAAAACAAATCGTCGATGTTAAAATTATTTATTCTTTAAGAAGTTGCTTTGAGATACTTGATGCTTACTTTGTGTAGAAAGAAAAGCTGTATACAACTCTCTAGTCATCAAGGGTTCAGGCAAACAACGAAGAAACTCTTTAAATAACGCTGCTACGTCATGTGCATTATCTTCTTCTGAAAATGTTTTCCTTGAACCACTGTCGAACTCATCACGAAGCTAGAGAAAATCACCACATCAGTCAAATCTATTTTGACACAGTGCTAAACGGCTGCTGGCAAAGGCGCCTTGTCTCTGTCGTCTGAATAAGGGATTTAAGCTCTGGGCAGTAAGATAGCCATAAAAGGGAGGAAATGCCTCCCATTTTTTGGGCTTGATACTATTTGCCCTCATGGAAACAGCGAGGGTTTCTGTATTCGTGCTTTCTTCATATCTTCCCCCATTCTGTGATGCTAATATACTTTGCAATGTGGTTCCATACTTTATTTGATAGTTTTTTGTAGCCGGGTTTTTTCATATGAGAGCAAATCTTTTTGCCCGACCCATTTTACAAACTTTCAAACAAGCCTGGTACGTCGACTTCCACTTTCTGTGAGATCATGTAACACAACCCCTGAACCTGGTGGTGAATAGAACTACAGATACCTGCTTCAATCTTTTCTTTGATCCAGCTACTCGAAATATGCCCAGGGCGTGTAAGCCTGCATAAATTTAAATACAAGATTATAATGATATACATAGTGATATGCAATAATATAAAACAGTTAATCAGAAATGCAAGCTCAGGAGTAGATAACGTAATTGCTGTATGAGTTAACTGCAAATTTGAAGAATGTTAATTGCACCATCAAAACCATTATTACTTGTTACCAACTATTACCTATACTAGGAAAATATAGCTATCAGTACTGCATGTAGCGCATGTTACATCTTTCATAATAAATTTTTGTTCTAGCTAGCCTTCTTTGATTGTGCTGCCATACTCAAATGATACAAAAGGTACTAAAGGTACCTTTGTAGTTATTGCAGAATATGCACTTTCACGGTAACTGTGATAGCTGTCACCTACCGTACGTTTCAAGATACTTGATAAACTGAACGACAATGGATGGTACTTTAGGGGGAGATGGTATGGGTAGTTGTGGTTTCTCTATCAAACACGATGCTGATGCCGACGTTGAAGACAAAGTTAGAGCATCAATCAATTTAGAGTCCCCACCAGTACGTCTTTGTTCAGGATGCGAGTCTGATACGAGAACAGAATCACTATCGCTGTGCCTTTTTGGCTTGTTTAAATCCCCATCTATTGACGAACCAGATGATCGTAAAGCAGTCGTTGGCACAGGATTTTTCTGTAGCGTGCCATACGACATAGATTGTTTTATTTGCTGACGTTTAAATGCGGATGTTGATGGGGGTGTGTTCGACGATAATCGTCTCCTACGAGGTTTCTCTCCTGCTCCAGGAGACAGAGCTGTAGGCTCACTTTGCCTTCGTGCTGGTCGAGGAACAGATGTCGAACAGATGTCATTTTTGATCACCAAATCGAGTGGAGTAGCGAAGACAGTAGTTTTACTTTTTCCTAGGATTAGATATAATTACATAGAGAAAGAAACGTTCAGCATTGACGCAGAAACACGTTATATCTTATCAGTGAATTATCACCTCCTTCATCACTATCACCGAGTCGGTTAATATATAATATAGTGATGATAAACCAAGCACGAGGTCTATACCACAGATGAATCTCTACTGTGAAATATCAGACCGATGGCCGAGCGACGAAGGACTTCGGTGCGTGCGATCGAACAAACGAGATCAATAATCGGTTTATTATATGGCTGAACTGCATACGACATGCGGTATACTGGTCCAGATACGGAATATACGGACCACAGTCCGGGTATGGGTTTTACGGACCTCTCGTCAACCAATCACAATAGAGGATTTTCATAAGCCATATAAAAATATTTATTACTTCTTTCCTTTTACTGTCGGGCATGGTTTTTACAATAATAATTATAGAGTTCAAAATATACCTCCACTAGATCGCTGTGTTGACCCACTCTCTGCATTCGTCCGTTTGCGACCCTTCAAAGATTTTCTCAGTCTCTTTTTAAATTTACTTTCTTCCCCTAAAAAAAGTCACATTATTTAGACAATGATCGTTAGATAATGTAAGAAATAGTCACTCATTAGTTTTAAAATAACTGTAGAATCTTATATTGAACCGAATCTTTTTGCTACAATAAAGAAAAGAAGTTGTAAATACCTTTGTAAGCTGGGATAGTACAGTGTATACTCAATGTTTGAAGTTTCAGTAAGGCCAAACGCTGAAGTGCACGACGTTCCGAATTGCATAATGCTGCTATATTAGTCTCCGTCAGAATAACCGAGTGACCAGCCGCTGAACACCAACGAAAATCACCCTAAAAGACAGAATATAACATCATGAAAAAAAAGCAAAAAAGAAACGAAATCCTGGCAGATAAACATCTTTGTCAAATTTAACTCAATTGGGTAAAGAACAGAATCATACCGCAAAACAGCCATAAATAAAACCAAAATTTTAGAAAAAACAAGACAACAATCGTGGGAATTTCGTCTAGTTCAAGTTTTCTTTTATTCTTTTCTCTCTTTTGTTCTCCTACAAAATCACTCCGCAAAACTTCACTATAGATAGTAGAAATTGGGAACGAATGTTTGCTGCCCAATGTAGCTAGAGTACATTCACTTGATTATACCTCTAACGATATCAGGACTATAGTTTATTATCGTATGATGTCACAGAATTATTTATTCCTTTTGTTTCAACTTCTTCCTTCAATTAGTATTTAAATTGACTGCAATCATGACATTTTAGTCTACTTCGTCCATTATTTGTGTCTTATCTCTCAACAGTGGCGTGACCTGTGTCCGATGAGTAATTTATATAATAAATGAGATGGCCGGAATGTTTTGGCAGGCATCAGCTTTTAATATCACAGATTCCAAGCAGATCAAAAGATATCATTATGTGTCCACATGCAGGGTGCCGCATAAATGTCTAAAACAATTCGACCAAACTACTGTTAGATCGGCGGGCTAAACCTACTCGGGTCATAAATTCAAGCAAAGAAAATAAAATGAAAGTTAAGCAGAATAACTATTTGTAGAACTTCATGTTTAGTACGTGAGACTTCAGTTTGCCGTAACAGCAAAAAATACAATCTATTGTGTTTACGTACTGGGCAATGTTTAATGATCAACAAAGATTGTTACCCCACAAAGCGTGGGGTTCATGCACTAATCACCACCAACTGATTGAACTCGGCGATTAACTACTTCACATTAAATCAAAACTGAGAGCCTGGTTTCCATATGGCGGCGACAGTTAACAAATCGGTTGTTATTGATGATGGATCTGGTCGGCGGTATATGGAAACCAGGCTTGGGAACCAAACTTCTTCTTGCGTGGGAGCTGAATCTAAGAGTGAACTAGGGGGAAAGCGAACCTCAATCACCCTAAATTTATGTATAGTTATTGAATAATTTGAATGTTAATGTTCATAACTTCAGTTCACTTAAAAGCCTTTACAAAATGAATGGAAACGACATTTAGCAAACTGCTGTTCACAAAAGAAACATAAACCGTATCACATCAATATTGCCCTTCTAACTATCCACAGGAGAATGCAGTCATGCAGAGTATGCACACGTCACTTAAATATACCAAGAAAAATGTGGTGTAATTTGTGACCCAATCAATCATGTAAAACTCATGTAAAAGGTATGTAAAAGTTATGTTAAAGTATGTGAAAATGATGCGATGCAAAACATAATTACAGTGAAACTAAGAACTTGATCTGCACTTAACATTCCATCAAGGCTGAATGAGGAATATATTCTTTAATAATATAAGAAGAATATCGAAGTAAATACGTTGTTTAGTAGGAAACTGCTTTTAATATACTTTCGTCTTATTGGCACATCATTTAAGACATTATCTCGGTGCTTTGACATTTTCGCACATTTCGCACTAACGATACCTTACCTTTGGTGTCCATAGTGCTGTGCCAGTGCTCGACACGATCCTGCTACGATTTCTCCACGGTTTCACAAATTTATCCATGTCCAACCTGAAATGTAGTCAAGAAAATTTACACCACACCGCAAGATGATTAGATATATTAACGAGCCTATATCTTGATAACACAGAGGGAACATACTTGGAATTACTGATTGGCGCTTTGGTCGGAAATTACACTTTAGCAATTCTAACAATAGCCAATCTCTTTGGGAAGAGATCGAGACTTTAATCACTATAAATTCCACGAAATATGCAAAACTCTTACGATCACATCTAGTAGTGTTTACTATTTGCTCACATTTTTTGTACCCTTCTGTCTATAATGCCACTTGGTTCAAATTACTACGGCATATCTTCTTGGGCATATCGTCTGAAGCGTTATCCGAAAAATAAAGTGCTGACAAGTCGGTTAAGCCGTAATAAAACGGCTTAAATCGTACATGAATGGTTTTTCATCCACTACACATGGCATTTGTCGGCCTATATTATCAATTGCAGTTGTGCTCACCTAATCCTTTTCAAATGGTAACATAACTCAGAAGACCGTTTTAAGGCAAGGCATTTGGGCCAAACTGGGAAATTTGATTCTGGACTACAAAAAACTTCTGCTTTTAATACCAGGCAATTGAAATTTTGGCGCAAAAGTCATATTGCTTACCGTGACGTAACACTAGCAACGAGTGTCAAATTTCGACTCAAGGGTTCCTCGAGAATGGACCACTACATGACAATATGATTAACTAATTTTCAAACGAGATTTCATTTCGGCATTTGAAATCTTTATTTGAATGATAGGTATGATAGGTGTGCAACACAACCTCGTACCCAGGCCTTGCTCATACTAATAGCATGTTGTTCTCCTTATCAACCGTGAAAAATTAAAATTTCCGTTGAGTGCTATTTTGTGGTATTAGAGGAAATGAATCGAAAAACCTTGCAGTGAATTTCACGATACTTTGGTGAAGTTTGCATTGCTCTCATATTTCGTTACTATATTTTAGATTTAAATTGAAATTTAAAATGAATGTCTAATCATCGTGGTAATATCGTTGTATAACTTTGGAACAACAGAGACACAAGATTTTTATCGAGATCAAGGTATATAATGTAAAGCCTTCTGCGCTTTCCGACAGGCCAAGTATAGTAGAATAAATTACTATCATTTAGAGAAAGAAGTGTGTGTTTCCAAATCATGAGAATATCAAGCATTGAACCGATACGCCGGCAATAGCGAAAACTGTAATTATTATACGCAAACTAGAAGACAGGAAAGAGATATAACACACAATTACTCACTGAGATTCAAAATATCAAATCGAGGAATAGATTCATGGAGGCGATAAACATCTTTAAACAAACTGCATAGTCTTTAGGAGGCCACTTTCGTTGTTTTAGTAGACCACAAGAGTCCAAAGTGATTCATTTAGAGTTTCACTACAATATAGTGATATTACTTGCAAGGAAGTTTCTCGCTATTTGCACTTATTTCAAAAATTATTGCCTAGTATGTACTGATATACGGCAGCAGATGTTATGTTAGTAACTCAATAGCTAATTGTTTATCTGTCTTATCCACCATTGCAATATATGGAAACAGTTTACCTTTTGTCAAGTTCGAATCAGTTTACATGTCAAAAAGTGTGTGGTTGAACTTGGAAATATATTCACTTCCCATTTCACAAGTTGATCAGATTTTTCCCAACATCCCTTCCGCAGCATACACTGCTTTCCTTGTTTATGTTGAAATGCTACAGACTGTCAAATTTGACTTGATACCAAATTGCTCTTGATATATATAATTAGTTTGTACAAGATGGAGTTGCTTTCACTATTGTTTTCATTATTTAAACTACGGTTAGGGGTCAATATGATATTGACCGACAAGATAAAAACTGAGTACTTTACAGATATTATATTGCTGTTACTGCTGGAGTCCCTATACAATTTAACAGCAATGGATTGCGCATACGCGTTTGTATCCTTTTCTTTCCTGAAGAGAGGAGTATCCTGAGTTATTATAATATATCTTTATTCATACACCATATGAATTTGGATTACATGCATGATACGGATCTCTAAACATTCTGTACAAACATTACTACGATATATATAATATAGGATCTGCCAAAATTTAAGAAATGCGATTATGATAGAACATATACGACGTGTATTCATGAGTGGTATCCACATTTCTTTCAAGCTATTTGTATAAAACGTGTCATCGTATATTTATACAGCTTAAAGCGCAGTTGTATGCCTTTAACCTTTGCCCTAATGTTCACGGAGCGATTTACAGGTGCCAGAAGATCAATTAAGAAAGAATATTTTTAACACATTTCCACAAGTATAGCTATCTTGTTGTTTGAACAAGACGATATGGAATATCGTGAATAAAACGTGGTGTAGAGATCGCATAAGTTAAAGACTGCAATACAAATGACCTAGTGAACAGATGTCTCGAACCTAAAATATATCATTTTGGGGGGAAGCAAACTAGTTTGTCTGAAAATTCTGCGTTGACAGATAGGAAGTAGGATTAGATACAGCTTCTCACACTTTTGAGGAATATGAAAATCCGATGAGCTAAATTTCTGGAATTCTTAATTTGGTGATAATTTATGGCTGACTTTTAGATTGTTTTATCATCACACAATTGCTCGAGTCCGCCCGAAAATATCGGATGATGGGAACATTTCAGCAGTATGAGTGATATCTAGGCTATAAACACAGTTTGTCATTGATTATCTCCGATGGTTGTGACTTTATCAGGCACGTATCACTTATGAAAAAGTATCACAAATTGCAGTGAATAATTTCAGTTTGCGAATACCAAAGGCAAAAAAAACGTTTTGAAGAAACGATTTGGTTAACTTTTAAGATGGCAAGATGATGCAATCATGTAATAAAGTAGTACCTTTTTAGAACCTGCCTTTTCTGCAATGTCAGAGTGGTTATTGGGTTGCTATAGCTCTTATTTTTACTGGAAGTATAGCTACATATATATGTATTAGCTTTTTCCCACGATATACTACGGTATTTAATTAAAAGTAAGAGTCACATTACATATGTTGAGACTTCTGAGGGGTAGAAAAATCCGGTAAACATTGACCAATATCCTAAAAGATTCTTTATATAAGATATATGTTTGTATAGATATTAGCGGCACTGAAATTCAACTCTTTGATCACCTTCAGGGTATCAAACGAAAATTCTAGGTCTTGCATGTGACAGACATGTCAGAAATCGTGCAATATTTTTACAAACATTTTTACACAACGCGAACATGGATAGGTGAAACTGTGGTAGGTGATCACGAAGTCGAACGATATTGGCTCAGCGTGAAAACTGACGGCAAAAAACAAACAGTAATCGTTATGGGCCCAAAACGGACAGACGTATATATATATTTATATATATATATATATATATATATATATATATATATATATATATATATATATATATATATATATATATATATATATATATATATATATATATATATATATATATATATATATATATATAGCTATACATGTTCTGCCCAATAATTAGGGTATACGGAAAACCGGCTCAAAATTAGGGCACTTCAGTCGAGTGGAAATACTGTCATGGAATGGTTGTGAGGAAATATTGATCTCTCATTTAGCGATTCACTGTGAAATGTTCAGTTTACAATGATTTTGTGTAATATCAGATCTTGTCATCGACGATAATGAAGAATGATACTGATATCGTACGAAAATTAGCCAATTTAATTTCGCCCAATTGATACGAAATCGATTTTAAGTGCAAGATGATGAAAGAGCAAAATACAAATTAAAATATTCATTGTTTGCCAACGTGCTTGCAAACAGATAACAATCAGATCTATAAATTGATCGCTTCCATGATGGAATCATATAAATCAGAGTGACGGAATATGATTTGATAGAAACCGTCAGCTTGAATGACGAAAAAGTATTTCATTAGCTCGAAAGATAATATATCGTCTGAACCCCCCACAATGCCAAAGTTCCATTGTAATTTGGCCCACTTTCCTCGCGTGAGACCATGCATCAGTATAAAAGGGTAGAGTATCGGAATACTTAACACAAGAAAGAAAAATTGCACATACATGAAAAGAAAATATTCACGGAAATATTCTTTCAGTATTTCTAAAGCGAAATTTAACAATACGACATGCAAATTCACATCAGAATTGTAATAGTTAGGGCGACAAGAGTGAGTCCCAATATGAGACAAACTGATTTATCTTTAGGGAAAATTTTGTTCAAAATTCAAAATGCACTCTAGAAATTCAGACTCTAAACTTGAAAGCACGTAGGTGGTTCCGTATATATATAGTAGGGGGTACATCCTCAAGAAGTTAGTGGGGGGGTACATCCTCAAGAAGTGCATTTTCGTGTTTCCTGACGGGTCTTTAATTAAAATTATGTCTTTAAAACACTCAGAGCTAGTACAATTCAGGACGAGCAAAATTAATAAATTCATATACAGTTTCCTATAAAACAATGTGATAAAACAAATAAAAACGCTGAATTCCATCTTGTTTTCTGGTTCCACTGAACTCAAAACGATTAACTTTAACAAATTGAACTGTCCTGCACGCTTTCTCAAAACTGATAGAGCATAATTTAGCAATGATCGTTGGTTAACCTTCCGGGGCAGGTTAACCAAACTCGTTCAACTTAAATCAATTTAGAAAACAAGTCTGTAGATTCAATGAACAACTAAATTAAGAGTTTTAACCCTTATTTAGCTATAAAGCATGCTTTGCACAACCTGCTTCTGGAGATGTAATTGAAAGTAAGCTAATTAACGATCGGTTAGCAAACAACAACGCCCCTTTATGTCGGTTTGCAACTCTATAGACAGAGATTAATTCAGCCATTTTGTTCACTTGATCACTCAGTTATGTATGACTGTTGTAACCGAATATAGCAATCTTTTTAATCATGAACATCTTGGCATGGCTTCTATGACGGAGTGATATACTAACAACATATACCGTTAGTCATACGCAACCCAGTACAGGGATGGTCGCGAATATCAGCACGTTGTACAATGACTACAATCCTAGGATTGATATAGTGATGAGTGATCGCCTCTCGCTGTCAACCACACCAAATTGCGAACACTGCAGTATGAGTTTTTGACAATGACAAGTCAAGAACCAATCAAACCGGGTAAATACTTACTTTTCAAATTTTATAGGACCGTTGTAGCCTGTACAGTAGATATCAGTTCATAATGGCCACAGATAATTATTACTTTTAAATAATGCACATGATCTGTAACATTGAACAGCTGCAAGACTCGGACATCAAATATTGCATGATTTCATGCGGTGAATCACTCAAGAAGAATGAGAATGGTACAGCTCTGTTGAGCCGGCATTGCGTAATCGTGCTTGCTAACTGATAATGATAGCCTGATAATTGCTGGATAAAAAGACTTGATATACATTTGTAACATTGAAAGCATTGTTATATAAAATGACAAAGTAAAATACGCCTGATTGCGCACGGTTTGTGTTACTCGCTACAATTACCATGATTATACACCAACCGTTCCGGCAAATATGCAGACAACTACCGAAATTAAACAGATGCATGATAGTTACGAAATAAACGTGAAGTATTATTTTGCAGTAATCCGTATAAGTGTTTTTCATTTGAAAAAGAATAACATGTTTTCTTTATATAGTTGACTGTATAAAGTTTACATATTAATTAGCAGTGAAATGAAATTATGTTATTGTATGCACGGACGATGACAGGACGCTCTGCACTTCATCTCCCGCCATGTCAAACTATGCATCGCATTTTTACTATTACACAAGGGGAGACAAACGACAAAAAGAACATAGTCTCTTAGCTGTCTTTTCCTTTTGGAATTCATTAATTATGAGACAGTGTCATAATTTGCCGACATTTCAAAACAATGTAATTCGTATAAACACAAACTCGGTTTGAAATATATGGCATCGCAAGCATGCCGTGTCATTTTAGAAATTCAAAGTACGCATTTTTAAACGCTCACAGCGAGACAAAGTTCACTACAGTAAAGAGCTGAATATGATGGTGACAAGGTGCGAACAGAAATACAAAAAGCGTAGATACAATAATAACGTGTGACCGTCTTAAAAGACGCTTTTTGAGCAGGTCTGACCTTTCACCCGCGGTGTTCCCATATAAGCATTGCATATAAGGAAGTGCTCTTCGCGGGGACGAAGCCTGTCATAAAGGATATACCTTGCATTTGTGCTTTCTAATTTCGCACTCAGACCCCACATTTTTCAAGCTGGTAAGGCGCATGAGCTCTTAGTTTACAATTTCGGACGTACCGTGTGTGATAAACACGGTCTGGGCGGGATAACCAGCACGTCCAAGTCGACAGATGTTATACAGCACTTATTTTGGTTGTCGACAAGGAAAACACGATTATGTACCAAAACCGGTAACATGAATTCCCCCAAACACACCTTTAGGGTACCCCTGGAAAATCCTTTGCCCGCTATATAGGCAGCATAAGACGACACGCTTCGCGAAGGTCGCTGGGAAATCGGGCATTTAAAATGTAGTAAAAATGAACGGTGAAGAACAGCCTCATAAAATGTTGGTCTCGTGCATAGCTGTCGTGCTTCGAAGTTTTGTTCGCTCAACACTTCTGATTTGTAGTTTTTACTCAACATACCTTATTTCAAAGTTGCAACTTCACTGTAGCTATCCACGAGCAGGTCCCAACACAGTTTAATATCATTGCCACACTCAAGTTCTCCACTCTGCGAACTTCTAGTGAACACACCGGCCTAATTTGATATCTAACCGTAATCGTGTCAATTCGTTTTATAATTCGGTGCCCTGGCGTGACGGCCTTTGTTCGTACACCCCATCAATTGTGCCCCATTCTCATCGTCGTCCGAGCAGCTTTTAAAGCATACAAAATGCGGAATATTAGGTGATTCAAAGACGTAGATCTCAATTGAATGATATTGTCTTTAACACAGTCAACAGTGAAAATTTTTTGAATGTAGAACTTAGCGATGCATTGCAATAACGGAAATCCTGAGACAAGTGGAAGCTCGCCTAATTTCAAGCAAACAGGGATTAGCAGTAAATGCGATTTAAAAAAAATAGCACTCGTGAAAACATTATGATGGGGTTACGACCAGGTGGCTTTTTTTTAAATTTGAATCAGAATATGAATACAAAAAACAAACTATTAAGTGTAATCCTACATTAAGCATTGTTTTTCACTTCAGTTTAATTAAAACTGCTTTTAAGGGTTAAAAAATCCACTATCATCGTTTAGGTGAACGGAATCTAGATCGATTAAACAAAGCCAAAAGTAAAATATTATCGGGAAATTACAACAATTAGCAAAAACCCCCAGCTTTTACGGACGAGAATTGCCCTAATTTTTAATCGACTATCGCCGTGTAACCAAATATTTTGCCACTCAACCTGGGCTGTGACCAAAGCTTTAAAAATCTAAAGTCGAGATGGAAGCAAGGAGAATAGAAATCGATGTATATCTACTTTAATACCTAGGATAGTTAGTCTACAGGTTTTGCACAAGTTATTTGGGTGTGAAATGATAATTTGTTAGCCATTGGGAATATCAGTGAATAACTAATGCCGCAAAATCAGCGTGGAATATGAAATTATAGACAACTTTATAAAACTCTTGCTGAGAATCAGTTGGAGTTCGTTTTAAATTTAAATACAAATATATACAGTTGAATCATGGCATACAATTTATAGTCCTATGCGTATGTTTATGTGTTAAAACAACACTAAAATTGTACACTCCAATTATTTATTTCCTAAAATGTATGATTTTATTCCTTGCCATTTTCGTATTTAAAGTCAGTTACTTCAATATGAAATGAAGAAATTAGCAATTTAAAGACGACCAAGAGAAAACGCATATAATGTGCGAATGGTAATGTTGATTTGTCACGTCTTTAAATTTCTAAGATATTTAATCACTAATTTACTTCACTTGATTGTAAAGTTAGTAAGTCCTTGGCTTGATCATCGTAACCCCGCTCAGTCGCCGACTTGATGCTCGTTCAATGTCGGAAATCAATTAATTTCAGACACAAAGATGTTATACTCATCAGTCATCAAACGTCGGCTTCAATTGAAAACTAGGCTCTATACTTATGTGAAATTTATAAAACGTTCCCTTTTAAACAATGTCACTGAGATTTGTATTCATTCGCGCACCCATGCATGATACAAATATAATTTAAGCACTAATGTTTGGCAGGGGTATTTAATAGGGTCTTTTTATAGTCTTTTGTTTCCCACTTCGAAGAGGCTGCCTAAATAACATTGGATTACAATACAAATTCTCGATATGAGTTCAACACAAATTCCTCTCTTTTTAACTTTTGGCCTAAACGGAACACCGAATACCTCCGTAGGACATGTTCCCCCAACAATGGTTCATACTCTTTTTTTTTTCACTCCTAAACGTTTGTTTCCTGACCATCACCATCCCCTAAAAACGAGTTCTTTATTCTTTGAATGGAGTTCGCAAGAATTGGGGGCATGGCAGCATGATACCAGTCTGGAGTACGACCCCTACAACGAAATGGATGTGTTTAGCATGGATAAAATGAGTTCAGATTTCTGGAGACCATAACATCAGTTACTTGTCTATATTGTAGTTATGCAATAGAGGTGGATAAAATTGTGGACAGAAACCCTAATAAAATCCATTTACCAAAAGGACATTTGTCTCTCCTGCCCTTCTCTATGGAGGGGAAAGGTGGTCTCATTTCTACTTCTAGTTTTCTTAAAAAGCTATTATTCGCACAACGCATACTTCGTCAATCAAAATTGACAAAAACAAAGAGTAAAATGATATGTTGCCGCTTGATTAAAAAAATAAAGAAAAACATCAGTCGAGGGTTAAATCAAGATCAATATACTTATGTTCGAGACAACGCGGCTACGAAGTGTAGTGATCAATCCCTGCTACATTGAAATGTCACGACCTATATGCTGAATATTTTGACATTATGGATTGACTTGATAACAGAGTAGATTAATAGAATGAAAGTTGAAACCCGATTGTAAATTTACGTAATACCGATAGTCAAATAAAGAATAAATCCATTTGTTTAATTAACGGAGCTTTTTCTCCCTATATGTACATCCGTTATGTCCTCCAACCCGTTAGGTTGAATGCAGTTACCAATTGATATAATTATAGGTCTATATCCAAGCATGAAACAGTCACATACAAAGTATATCATTTATGCATACTTCTTTAGATATGTAATTCCAAAATAGCCAAAACCATGCAGATTCACATAAATTTGTTTTTGAAAGAAGGTGGAAGGTAAATCTGCAGTAAACGTGTTGCTCTTATAAACCTTTACCATCTTCATCCGATTAAGTTCTAACAGTGTTTCATTTGCCTGTGTTTCTTTACAAACTACCGCCGGTATTTTATATAGAGCATTGGTTAGGAGTCAGAATGATAAATATTAACATATAAACAACACTATCGTATTTTCTGCCTTTGATTCACTCCAATTATGGCACATTAAGACATGCATGCATGCAATAGCTTTCATGTAACACACGTCGTGTTCGACACGTCCAGTCCTTATTTTACAACTCAACAACAGCGCGTTTATAACTAAGCAATTTGCAAATAACATTTACCATGATCACCAAGTTAACTTAACTTAATTAATCTGTTCTATATAATGGCTTTTGGAAAGAGTAGTATAGAACAAAAATATAGGTCGTTAAAACAGCCTAAAATGATGGGTGGAGTCATTTTAGACAAACTAAAAATCAAGCCGGACTAGAAGTCGAGGAGTCATGACGCCAAGGCATACAATAATTACATTATTGCATAAACAGTTAAAACAAACTTGTGAAATTTTGTGGAGATATGCCTTTTAAAGGGGCGTTAGTACGCGTAATTACATTAGACGTTAAATGGAGCCCATTAGAAGACGGTCATTTTAAATTCAGTTTTCTAAATACCGAAATATGTTCACATTTGGAACCTTTGAGTCAAGGGCATGATCAACTCTAATAGCCGTAACTGAATATCACTCAGCAATCTTACAGTAAAGATAAATTAATCATTCTCAGATAAGTAGACGTCTGGAACATTTTAAACGTGACACAACAATGCTCTTTGAAAACAGTATATGGATTCAATATGGATCTCATTCAGACGGGAAGATTTTAACGAAGCAAATTATTCCGTGTACCCACTTTGGTGGGATTGAGCTTAACCGTCTATCCAATTCAATTCAAACGATTTTAAACGATTCTATCCTATTGACCTATTCAATTAAACGAACAAAATTTAGTTCATATATATACCAAGTCAGTCAGTTTCTTCCATCTGCTACGCACATGCCATCTGTTACGCATTCTATGCAAATGAACATGCAGCTGTACCCAGCGTAGTTCCAATATGTCGCAATCATCGGCGACGGGCCATTGTCGGCAATCACTGACAATGAAGTGCATTGTTATTTTGTCTTAAGCTGTCTTTTTCATTGGTCGCCGAAAATACAACATCGACTATCGACGACATATAAGAACTGGACTAAACACTTATCGCAAGCGAATAAACAAGAAATGAGATCATCTCTAGCTTTTTCGATAAATCGAACACCTCAGTTACGCTTGTGTAATCCTACTTATTAGAAAATGACGCAATCAAATGCAATTTGACCCAACATCAGAAATGTTTACTGAGAGTCTTACCTGAGGTCAACCCTGAAGACGTGAGTTAGGCGAGATCTTCCATGTTCTATGGGTTCAATCAGGTATCTTGACGCGAGTACAGTAGCACGGACACTTTCGGCCGTGTTTATTTCAGTATGAGCAATTGAGGTAGTCACTACAACACATTTTCCACTGTCAATATTTGATCGCCATGTTCTAAAAAAAGGGACAAACGTAAATTAGGCAATCGCGATAAGCAAAATAATAAATTTCGGTTTTACGAGCTGTTAAGGTTTGTAAAATGCTAGATTGTAGCTCTGTAGGGATATTTTAACCTTCCTTTCACAACATAATACAGAGATTGTTAAAAATTCTCAAAAATGGAATATGAGCTCGTTATCTTAAGAATTGTCGTGATGAACGAGACTATATTGCTACCGTTGTTTTGTATATTTTGACTTCTACCAGGTAATATTGCTGAATATCATTTATTGATTTATTGATAATTTTCAAAGTTAAATGTTTAGGTAGAACAATACATACACCATAGAAAATTGCTTGTAAAAAATAAAATAAAATTACAGTTTTCAACAGTTTAACTATTTTGTCATACGATCTAAGAATTGCCAGAAAAATAACTTTCTCGACATGAAAAAAGACGTTTGATCTTATTAAACACTAAATTGCTGAAAAATAACCAGGAGTCAGGTGATTATGCATGAGTTATAACTTGACGAAAGATAGAGAACGTTAAAAAGACAGGAAATATATAATATGCCCTGAGGAATGCATTACAACCAGCTGCAAAGATAATACATGTTTGTTTACCTCATTACTAATAAGATTGAGATATCGAGCAGACTTAACTGCAAAACAAAGCCAGTCTAGACCTCAACAGACAAGGTCGACCGGCGAAGAACACCATATTGTACACCTGGTTTACACATTTCATCCCAGTCTCTTTCAAGCGATTCTCAGATTTTTAATTTTTAACGAAATTTACGGTTTAAAAAATTATATCCGTCATAGCATTCTAGGAAGGCAAAGATCCATTTCTTGCCAGGCGCGCTAAATATTCTGGCAGAAAAGACAATTTCCTTCTATATAGTTTGCACTGGTTTGCACTTTGCATAACAGTAAAATCATTGCTAGCTTACTTTTTTTCAGATAACAAGGCTTAACCTTTAGGCCTTGACCTTCGGTCATATAACAAACCTTGGCATTGCTTGAAAATAACGATAATCTTGTTTGGACATGCGGAGATGGCTGGACTGCGGTGCACGTGTTGCAGCCATACCATTAGCCAAGTTTAGAGAAATCGGCATGCATGTGACATGACAAGATCCCTGTACTCTTATTAATGCATTGCAGTATATTATAAAGTAATGAAAGCCATGATCATAAATCACTTCCAATGCATGCCAGCGAACATTCCAAATTTTTGTGTAGTAGTTGAAAATATTAATGAACGACCGCACGCACGTCAGAGAGATTAGTACTGTATCATAAAAGTGTTGACAGGATCTCCGTTGGTGAACTCAAAGTTCTTTCCCACGAAGTCGTATGAGCTTAGCCCAGCTTAGATTTTAATTGAATAAAAGTCCGTTGCTTATTTTCCACTTTCCATATATTACGTAGTTTCGATCAACGACCATGCAATCGAAACTTTATTGTCAGTAATCAGTGCATGAAGAAGATTTTTTGAACAGAATGAAAACTCCCAGTCTGTCAGTATATGTGGAAATCGTGCTGGTGATGCGGGTTAAGTTGAAACATTTTATATGCTCTGCTCATGCAGAGGATGGATGTGAGGCTTGTCACACACATACTTTTTTCTAAACTTGCATGACTGAGGCCATTAGGGTATAGACTTTTCACATTTTCTCAATATGTCCAAACAAAATAATTGTTGTTGAAATTTTAAAAATAAGTATAATTTTATCCCGCTATTTTTGATCAATTTAATCAAATTCGTACATGAACCGGTGTGTGTGTGGGTTACAAGTTTTCTGTTCAATGTTAAAATTTGATTCATGTACATGACTGCATGTATATTTCTGTAATATTACTAAAACGTATTGTATTATTGTTATCTATGATAAACAATTTTTTATTGTAATGCAGGTACGAATGTGCTGGTGTTTCACTGTTCCTTTGCTACGCATTGTGCTCTCGTAAATCAATCATCACATTTCATGCGATAATCATCGAAAACTCGCAGAGTCGAAATCGTGAAAAGGGAAAACAAGATCACTGCCAAACCCGTCTGGGCTCTTCATTTGAAATTATTTTATACCCGTCCCCGCAGCGTGTTTTCAAAAACGGTCAAATTTACGAATTAAATTTGAGATCTTTGAAGACCGCGTGAATGGATGTTTCACTTTTGGACGTTATTAGCATCGATGTTTGGAATATTGCGTCTTGGAGTACTATTTGCATGCCATGTTCATGGTATCCGGAGCAGCGAAGTGCACAGCCACAGGTTAAATTTATATCCGGTAAAAAATTCGATCTCAAACTATAAGCATAAGTCACGGTGACTGACTATTAAACAAACAAACTTTATATTTCGACCAGTGCATGCATGTATTGTCCTTAAATTACAGTATCGAAGCGAAGTCTTACCTTAGAATGACATGATCTTGTGGTGGATGTAGTAAGGTGGTTCGGGTGACATATTTATAGACTTGTGTGTTTTCTGTCAGCTCTTGAATAACATTTTCCGATAAGAGTTCATTATCCCATTGTTTTCTATACGAAGACATAGTGATACGTTGTTTGCAAGTTATTTTAATTGTAAGTCACAGATCATGTAAATGAAGCAACTAAATTCTGCTTTGGTTGGGAAGCATATACTTAACAGCGTACATTGTTATTCATTCTTCTATACCTACATCGTTGTTCAAATGTTCAAAAAAACCATGTAATGTGTCGTTAATACCTTTCATGAGTTATTCTTCGCATAACAGCATCAGGTTCAGCGTCAATTTCTGTGGTCGCTTTCCACAGTCTCAGGGGATAACCATCTCGTACTTTCTTATACGATATTTCAATTGATGGAATTGCCTCAGGCCACGTATATGATAACCAACTCTTAAACTTTAGCCGTGATTCCTGACAAAAAATCATGCGATAATTTAACATATATATAGAAGTGACTTCTTTCTGCAATACTTTTCAGTGATAAATAAGCGAGAGTTGAGGTCTTCAGCGAATGCATTTTTTGCAATAGTTTGCGCACACGATACATGCAATACAGCCAGTATACACAAAGAGTAAAGGCAGGAAAATAAAACTGAGCATTTGCAGGACAGTATTCCAGTCAGGCTGTTGTTCACCTTGTTCATTTGAAAATATTAGGAAGTTGAATTGTTTTTATACACACGTGACAAAGCAATATTCTTTGTAGTTATTTATACCTTTAATATCGAAGCTATACAAGTTTCAAGGTAACTGTGATAATCTTCATTTGTACATCCATCTAATTTTCCCAGCTCTTCGAGAGTAACGGGTTCTCCTTGTTCAATATACGAAAACTTTGATTTCATCATCGTATCTTGCGGAATCTGGAAACAGATAATGTCCATATTTATCAATTATCACGTCGAGGGTAAAGATTGCACTTAGCTATCGTCTAGCAGAAATTTCCTACGTATTTAGAAAATAGGATTTAGTACAATAGGATACAGTACAATAGTATTTAGTACAATAGGATTTTCCAGGTCAATTGTGGAATTACCAACCTGGTCTTTTTCATTTGGAACGGGAGAGGGGGGGAGTGCCAGTGTATGTATAGATTATTCAGTTTTTAGGGGCTTTTCAAGGATTGCTCAACTGTTTTTGTTGAGCTGGTCATGCAATGCATATCTTTAGGGATATAAGCGGGGTGGGAATATAATCCCCGTTAAAGCACGACAAACGGCCATAGTGACACGCAATATTCAAATGAAATATTTCAGAATTCAGAACAATCCCAATAGATATAAAATGTACTCTTTAATACCAGAACAGAGCAATCCCAATAGATATAAAATGTACTCTTTAATACCAGAACAGAGCAATCCCAATAGATATAAAATGTACTCTTTAGTACCAGATAGGTATTAATCATAATTTCTGAAAACAAATATGAAACAATACTTACAGCAAACAATTTTCTGACGTCGTTAATCATTTGTGTGATACATTCTTGAGCGTCCTGTTAAAGATAGAATCACTGTGACACTGATATTTGGAAAGTAACTTCAGCTAAACTATAGATTTTACTCACTAAACTAACTACGGGGGGGGGGGGGAGAGACAGATTACAGCAAGATGTATACAATACATTAAATACAATCAACATTGATAACGTAGACGTAGTGGTCAGCGAGTTTAATGTCATGTAAGCATTTGGAACTTACGAGACCACTAGATAATTCTTTAGCTGCTTTATTCATTGCAGGTCGTTTTACTCTTTTAGGATGACCAATGACGTCATCGGATGCTCCACACAAATGAAAGAAAGCAGGAACAAAGCACACGGCCAAATTGTTGGCAGTCATCTAAAATGTATGAAAAATTGTAACTTTCATGTAGTTTAATATAGTGACATGACTGCATGACATATAGGAGACTGTCTTAAGCCGTGTACGGGCTCTGTTTTATAATGTTTACCTGGTTCACGCTAGATTGTTGAGCAACGTCGTGCAGGAACAATAGCAAGGTTTGTAGAGCCTCTCTGTTTTCGTCTGGCATTAGAAGCACAACAGCCTGCATTGCTCCAAGTCTCAGCTCTTTCGGAACATCTGTAAATGATAAATGCAACAAATGAAAAACCTCACATTCCTTTCGAAAAAGGTGATTTTTGAAAAAAATTTTTTAATGTTTATAAAATGAAAAGCTAAACTCACGTTGATGAATGGATAGGAACGTGTCCGCTAATTTCACAGTTAACAATGGTTCAGGTAATTCTCGGAAGTAAATCTTCAACACGTCAGCAATATCAAAAATAGCCCAATCTTGAAAGTCGTCTAACTCTGCAGTATACAGACCAAATAGGATCATTAGAAATATATGCATTCTTCTATGCATCCCCCCAAGCTTTTCATTTGCCACTTCTTCATATTTACTCTACATTTCATGTATTCTCTTAAACTTACCAGGATTTTCCTCCATTAAGGATTTCAGTTGATGAATTCGTTGCTTTCCTCCTGATCTTCGAAATAACCCAACGGACTGGAGTGCTGATAAAGACAAGAGTCGTAAGACAACTTTCTCTTATTAACGGCGTATACAGGCCCTACTACATTGTTTCAAATGATGCAAAGTCAACTTTATCAGTAAAGGGACCAAGGACCTGATAGGCGAAAACTATCATCCTATGATTATAGTGTAAGGTTGGAAGATTTTGGACAGAAAACGTTTTTCGAATCAGATAAGTCTATTCATACATCAACGAGCACGTACAATGAGAATTGCCTAGACAGTGTAAACTAAGCTCAATTGCATGAGAAAACTAAAACAACATTATATGCATTGTTTCGATGAACTATCACGGGTAAAAGTCGATAACACTGCTGTTATGAAAATGACAGAGAACGACTGTATATTGCCGTAATTATCGAGACCCAGCATGCCTGTGGCTGAGGTGAATGGCTCTATCAACACGTATAGATTTGAGTGATATTTCATTCAGACCTACCAGATTGACGTAAGTGATTGATTGCGCTTAGAATAGTTTTGGGTAATGAATGACCAGTTCGTTGAACATTGACTAAAAATGGTACTCCGAAGACGTTCTTCCCTACGGCAGACAAACATTAAGTAAACAATGTGTTTTTTTTCAATCGTCTTTCACAGCAATAAGGACTTTCTGTCGTCCTTATAGTGTTCATACTGTATGCAACACTTTTAAAATACCTTTATAATCTGGTGAGATGATTTTCTTAAAAATTCTCGGAACAGACCTAAGCAAAAATATATTACGTCATATGCTAAATCTTAGCCAAACCTGCTACAAATATAGAAGAAATTGGTTTATGATAAGTAGGAATAAAACATGCATGAGCGACTAACATTTCTTACCATCCTATTCCTCTATGTGCTGTCGAATATCTTTCTATTAGAGCCGTTAGTTTGAGAAGAGAGAGTTTTCTCAGAACTGCCAATTGACCGCCAGATAAATTAGATATTTTCAGAGAACTATAAAACGAATCAGGAAGTGAAGGTTTTTCTCGTGAATTTCTCAAACAGTTTAATTAATAGATTTTGATTCAAAATAGAATGATGGTAATTAATAACCCCAAACTAATTTGTAAGAGTCGTGATCTGCTGTGCTCCGCATCAGGAAAAAACAAATGGAACAGGCACATGCTATTGTGAATATAACAATATAACTACCAGGATTAAGTTGTTTACTTATTTCAATACCTCAAAGTCAGGCTCTGTTTAGTCATGCAAACAGCCTCATAATTTTGATTGGTGGGTGCAAGTTGTGACTGTGGCTACGGTATCAATTACATTTTCTTGTAATGGTAATTAGTGATAATAATAGTTGATATTGAATAGGATAGAATACATTGAACTTACGGTAAAGCGGAGTCTCTTCGTGGATTCTTCGTTCTTTGAAAGCTATGCCACCTCGCCTTCTTTGCCCGTGGTTTATCAGTGCGCGGAGCTTGATCATTCAACGACTTGACTAGTTCTAAATCTTTAGATACATCTTCCTCGTCAGATGATTGGTCCTCTGGTGATGAACCTAGAGCGTCTCCTCCAACAGCACTATGAGATGACGAATATCGTTCGCTCCCAGGCCTTCTCTTCGCCACAGGTGACCCAACTTCAGTATCACTTTCATCACCATTGATGAGTGAAGATTTACCAAGTGAGTTCCTTGTCGTGCAATTGTTTATTGGAAGATTATCATACAAACTCGGTCTTCTTTCGTGAAGTCTCGAGTAAAATAGTTCAAGGGCGGTATTGCTACCATTGTTGTTAATATTATTTACATTGATTATTTTATCGTTATCGGCTTTCATTGAGTTACTTTCCTTGCAATGCGTGTACGTACGTTGTGAAGGTTTTTGCGAACAGTTTGGCGTATTCTCACTAATAGCGACCCTCAATGCATCATCGGATCTTCTCCTTCTTGACCACTTTCGATTTTTACGTTGTAATTTCCATCTTGAGCTGAGCGCAATAAGTTCTTCGTCGTCCGAATCGTATTCGTCGATCTGAAATGCAAAAGAAATAATACATGCACCAGATGGAAAGGATCTTAACAAAATGTGCTGTTGCCGTGCCTGATGATCTTATATTAGACGCTGCTGCTGGTTGCTTAGTTTTTTTAAAAAGTAAACAGACTCAATCGTATAAGTACCCAATTTATCGTGTCGGTAAGATGATCGCTTAATCTTATTAACTGAAACATTTGAATTATTAAAGAGTGTTTTAAACGTTGAAGTTCCCGATTAGGTTTGTAAACTTTCTATACGCTGCAAACGCGGTTCGCACCGGAAGCAATTAAATGGATCGAGCATCAAAATATTATGTTCGGAATGCGTAACTGGCATGCGTCACAGACGTGTAAGTGCACGTCATTCAAACGAAAAGGAGTAGCCAAATGTTGGTGGTTCGCGCATCATATAATGCTCAATGAAACTAAATAAAAACTCAAGACTTTATAACGAAACAGGAGAGCAAAGCAAGTAGGGTTAACTGCGCCCAATCAGTTGTCACGATCAGGTTTGAAATGAACAACAATTTAGGTTTTCTCGAGTCAGGGTCGAAATGCAGTATGATGGTTACAATATTACTGTTTACTAATAAACAGGCGAAGCCAAGGACTTCGTTAAGATATTTCATGAGAAATTCTTTACTCTTAAAAAATAGAAAACAAGTGTCGTAAAAAACAAGGGATTATAAGTGCTATTTGTAACAAAGTGTAAATTACCTTTCTTGGATGTAGCTTCAGTTTTGCACAATTGTTCAGGGTTTGAAGACGCCTGTTTATTGTGAAAGAAATGACATTTTTATGTGTGATGAAATCTTACAGCGAATATATGAGGCGTTTACTACCTTCCTCGCAGTCAAAATCAGACAATAACTACACGATAACAAGGTTCATAGTTGCATTGAAACGGATAATTACAGCAACGTCCATTGAATGAACGGGCCAGTGGTGGTCGTGTTCATACTCAATTAAAAACCTCACTATCATGTCTGTTATGGAATAGGCACTCAATATGGTCAAGTGCCATAGGTAGTCCAGCGTGCGCATGCTTAAATTTTCGCGGTAAATTCCGAAACATTCATAAAGGCTTACGGTATTCTCCTACTGGTTAAGGATTACGTTATTTTTTTACCGAACAAAGATCAAAGGCTAAATACCCCATGGAGCGAATTGGTCAGAATAAAAAAAATCAAGGTGATTTGTAGAATAAATCTCTAATCAACCAATCAGAAAGAGGGAATATTGAACAAATGAGATAGACAGAAAGATTAAGTGAAGAGGCAAACGAAAGCAATAAATAGCTGTAATCTGCTCTCAATTAAGCAAACTTTACGTAGATGGCCATTTTTGAGCCAGGGATTCGAGGAAGCCGAGATTTCTCCGTCTTTAGATAGATAGAAAAACAAAGACAGTCTGAAGAACAAGATGCTGCTCTTTAACCTTAACTACACCTTTATCCCAACTTAGAACTCCTTAGTCCTCCCTTTTACACATCTGGTTAGCAACGTCTCTAGGTTATACACTAACGATATGCATCATGCAAAAACTCAGAAATCTGAATTAAAACAATAGAATAAAGAATGGACCAGAATGTGCGAGCACACATACATCAAAGGCTCCGACTCAAGTAGCACTTCCAGACCTCTCATTGTATGACGAAACAGCGTCAACTAAAAGTATAATGCCGGTGCCGGTGCGTAAGGCCGTAAACGAGCTGGCAAAATCATAGGTAATAATTCAATTTTAAAAGAGATTGTGTCAGTAATAAGCTGGTGACAGAGTAAATAAGAGCAGCTACCAAAGAAAGGCATAGACGCAAATGGTATGAGCTCTGATCTAAATATTTGTAGAGTAGCAGTTGCTAGGCAACAGACACGGAAAGGTTGCACGATTAACCTTTTAGACTATTGCGAGTATATGCATTTGGGGGTGATGTAAACAAGTAGAACAATGTGAGAAAAATTTTACAACGTCAACAACCATGTATTTACTTCAAAAGATCGTAAAGAATCTAGTTATGTGTTCGTAGCTCACGGGCTTAAAAAGGTGCTTAAAAAAATGGTGGATGTTCGTCATTAATTCGGCGAGCTCCAATACTGTATGGGAAAGGCAAAGAATGCGGAAAACTTTTTATGACAATGAAAAGTACTGAAAAAAAAACGCGTTCAAATTTAAAGAGTTTCATGAGACATGTAAACAAATAAAATAGTTTAGATGGAAACTGGAAAATCATTCCTTATTTGTCCGGAATGCAGTTTGATAGATATATATGTACTGTATTATAGCAGTTGCTAGGTTGCAAAATAGTGGTTGCCCGTGTTCCCTGCCAATTTTTGCCCCACTAAGCCATTTTGATTTTAATCGCGGGGTATCATATCATTTTGATATGACTCGTACCTAAACAATGCTTCAATAGAATCTTGATCCAGGAAATCATGATCTTTAGCTACGGCTGCAATATCAATTGGAAACAAGGAATCTAGAAAAAAAGACCATATTATATCAACTCGTACATATAGGTACAAACGGGACATATAGTGACAAATACAGTGTTCCTTCGTATCCATTTTTTTCCTTCGTATATATAAGGTCTCATGATCAGACTCATAGAAAAACTACATTTTAGTTAATAAAACAGTACTACATTGGTTCTAGCTGCTTTGCTGCCCGTAGATATTACTAGTCGACAGGCTATAAAGCATTCATCAGAAGAATACATTTGATCTTAATTTTTTAGCTTAACCTTATGCTATAATAAATGTGCCCTTTAATCCTAAAAACTTTGCATGAGTTGTTTGTCAGTCAAAAGTTTGATACAAATCGGCGGTACCTCAAGGCTCAAGGAAAGTATGTAACAGTGGCTATAATGCAATGATTATTACGAAAATATACCAATGACTATGTTATTGATTTCAATACGCTGACTTCGTGAGAGTTTCAGTCAATCCGCATATTGTGATGACTGATGTTGGTGTTACTTAATTAATTTAATGTCGATAAAGTGAGTGACCTGAAAATACCTTGCATTTTAAAAAATGTATAACTCTTGAATTGAACATTTTTCAGATGCATCACTTTGAAATTCTGAATCAAAACATTTATTTTCGATTTCATTTCGACGTACAACAGCAGAATCGTCAGCGGCAAATGGCTGCTCTGCTTTATTCGGTCAAATGTGTTTTTTTTTATTAAATCAAATAAGTTTGATAATTGAGGTCTACAACCAATGAGAACCGTCGTAAATGTCGCGTGATATAATTTAGGTTTAATACCAATAAACATCTGAATAATATTATACACAAAAAACGTCACATTGACGTCAAGATGCAATAATTTACATAATAAACGAAGTACTGATCGGAGAACATTTGGATTTTGGATTGAAAATAAGTTCAAGGTCTATCCCGCATACTTTGATCAATGACAATTTGTTTAGACTCCAAATAGAATATACAGATCAGTGATTAAACTGTATAATTGTTACATTTTATTTCCATTCACGCACAGGCATCTCAGTTTCCGCGCATCGCAGAGGGAAAAGTAACCTGCACGGTCATGCGCAATAGCGGCTACGTATGTTGCGTGCTTGGTAACTAAACTATAGGTCAAGAGTCACTGTGTTTTTTCTATGGAAATATGCATACAGTCGAGTAAGATCACCGAAGATTTTTTTTGGATTTGTTGTCAAAACGGCGACGTTTGATTTTTGAACTTCCTGTTGCTTTGAAATTAATTTTAATTTTGACAAACTTCCGGCATTGAAAGACAAACTGTGGGAACAGTTTGTAAATACTTTCTAGAACTATATCTCAAAATTTCCCCACGTTTTTGAAAGCTCATTATTCTTGAAGCAAATGATGTCAAGCTATAGTATAAACATTTACATACAGAGGCTTTATATATCAATTGAAAACTCATTCCACAAAATGATAATGAAGAAATTAAAGAAAAGTAATGAGAGGTTTTTGAAGCGTTCAATAAAATTGTTGAAATATGGTTAGGTCCGGTTTTTTAACCACATATTCCATGCCGTTGAATTAACGTGATTTGCCTTACTTAAACATTATCCTGTGAACCTTGAAATACCCAAATAATCACCAAAATGTAATCCCACCTAAATGAGTTTTAAAGAATTGTTCATTACCTTCATACATCTGTGCGTACTGTGGAAATCCCGTAGCTCTCAACCAATAGCAAGCCTCAAGTGCTTCTAGCTCTAAAATAAATATAAAATAAAAAACAGATATTAGTTATAGACAGATATTTCTAGAGACGTTATCGCCTTGACGACGGCGTGGTTGTGTATATTCAAGAAATATAACGGTATTGTTTTCGTAAGGAGCATAAAATTGGATAAACTGATGGTATTTACAGAATCTCACGCACGAGGAAATTACACCACTGTTAAGTGCAAAGTGTTGTTTTGTGTTCAGAATGAATTTTTCAATGTGCAAATAAACTGAATATGCTGAAACCTGACACGCAACTCTAGCTGCTGTGTTGAACATACCGCAGATTCGTAACTGCATGATAGTATAGCTACTATGGTTACGTTAAGTTCGTTAACTACACGAAGTATTACAATAAGCTAATTGAGAAGACACTTTCCAATTTTTGAAGAATTCCTAAGAGGTTAAAGATTGACGTTTCACACATTGATCGTCAAAGCTATCTGCCTCCAGCTGATGACAGAAAGACAATCTCGTAACCAGGGCCAGCGATAAGTGCATGGAAAACGATACTGACAACCTCGTACCCAGGGGCCGGTTGTATCAAGCCCGTTTAGCTTAAACGGTGGATAAGTTCAAAATAGAAATCGAGTCTATCGTTTTATTCAACAAGCAAACAAAATGTTTTTAGCCATAATACAAAGATACTGTTTACAACTACATATTCAGTGCATAATATTCAAGTTCACTCATTCAACAGAGTTGTAAGAGTAGATGATACTCCCAGCCATGTCACTCTGAAGTGAAGTGCGTGGTGTAGCATAAAGTATGCAGGGTATCAGTTCTAGAACTGTTCCGTAAGAATCATTGATAATTAAAGTCTTTATGCTGTCCAAACTCATGAAAACGTCTGATTTAATTAACAGGAGGCAAAAATTGGGAATCTACTCGTGCTTTCTGGAACAGGTCATCGAAATGAGACCTTTCATTGAAATGAGATTTGAGATCTTTAGCAAATTGTTTCAATTGTTTCTGACCACTTGAAGACGAAGATATCGAAAGAAAATAAAATCTCCCAATCACAGCTCACGATTCACAATGTGAACTCAAAGCAATGTCAATCAGCACAACTATAATCTTCAAAGGTTTCCATCACAATATGTTTACATACGATTTTCTGGGAGTTATGGCAAATATAGAAAGACAAATACTTCTGGGAGAAATGTATGGATATTTAACTGTCGTGTATAAAGTATTGGCGGAAAAGGCTGAATCTTTATTGTAACTCAGTCCCTATAAACAGTCTTCGACACACAATGGAATATAATATTCCTTTTTTTATATATATGTTTTTTATGTAATGTTTTTTTTTTCAAACATTATAGTTAAAACGAGAAATTACGCCTCTAAACAAAGGATATTATACCGGTACTAACCCACAATGACGCTGTTGCCTTATAAGACACCAGGTCAGGTCGAATTGAGTAAATTATTTGCATGTGGCTGTCCTAACAAGGGGAAGTAATACTGAAGCTTTGACGAAAAACAAATAGCGATGAGGAACTTTAGGAAAGAATGCTTATATGCCAATACTATCGTTCCCTCTCTCTGTAGCAATGATCTCGTTATAAAGAAAACCGGTGATTATTGTCTCCTATAGTCATCTACACGAGTCTATCTCACGTCCATTGGGATATTTGGGTATGCCCAAACTGATAACACGATACCGGTGAAACCAAATCGATCAATAATTTGTTTTATAAATGCCTGCTATATTTTTCAATCTAATTATATTAATTGTGGTCACTTTTTCGCAACCGGCAAGATGTAATTCAATTTAACAAATTGGACGAGATTAATAGCGCCACGAGGACGAGTCAAGGTCTAAAACATAAATATAGTGCATATGCCCATATACGTCATTAGACCGGATAACAAACAAAATGCTTTTACGAAATAAAAACAAATTCCAAGCTAGGTTGATGAATGCTATACTTAACGGAATTATTAGGTTATTCATGCACCAAACAATGATACAAACTCACTCACTGCCTATGGCTATACCGTGCTCCTAAAAATCAGTCTCCAGATATGTGGTTCGGTTGCGATATTATTACATCTGTTTGACCCTCAGGCGAATGGCAGGATGAAAGCATAAAGGAATATTATCTTTGAAATGCATTTTATTTTGATCCAACTGCTCTTTAATGGTAGGATATGTGCAAAATATATTATGTTGAAAATGGTGTTAAAGTCCATGCATAAAAAATAAGACGTGTTGCGTAATGAGAAAGGATTAATTTTTCAAAAGATCTCGACGTTTCCAGCACAACACAAACCAGAGAGATTAATGTACAAATTACACTACAATACGACTTTTTAAAAATTTCATACTTCTTTATGTAAACAAGAGCAGCTTTGGTCGTATCAATCAGCCACATGCATTAATTTAACCTGACCTTTCAATGCGATATACTAAGGTTGCATACAATCTTATTTTTGCTATAGATAACTATATACAGCACTACAGGAAATTACAATTTGCTTCAAAGGTGTGTGTGAGATGCGATAAAGAGGCAAACTGTAGTAAACAAATCATAATTGGACATAATCTTATAATCATATTTGTAGAGCCAAAACGCCCCAAAAATGATTGTTAGCGTACATTTTCCCAAATAAGCGTTGACATTAATGAATATATTATTTCTCTACTTTCTACATGCCTTTTTTATGTTGCACAAATTCGGTGAGCAGGGGTGTACCGGAAAAGTTCTCTCTGGGGGTGCTATTTATCCTAAGGTTGAAGTCAACCAAAATTGGGGGTTCTAGGACATGTCTCTCCAAACGTTTGCATTGGCAAAGTGTATTCTTGCCAACTGAAAGAATCGTTTATCATGTTTGTGAAGTTATCACACTGTTAAAATTTTAAAATAACACCAACCTGTCAATTTCAGATTTCATTCTACCTGACGTATGTAAATTATCGGCAGTTAAAAGATTATGAGTACACCCATGCAGTGTCTCTTTCATTCGCATGACAAGACTCAATAGCGAAAACGTTTGAATAACAGCTTATTATTTTATTGTACTTTGCATTTATGCATGAAGACTATGTTGTGTAGTGCTTACTCATTTTCACTGTGAAGGAGCCTCTCCCGACGAGGACCCTTAGGGCTTAGGTCGAAGCGTCAATAAGATATTTCTGTCTATTTTAGGCATTTGTTCCACCACATTTGATGAGAGTTATCGGTATTGTGCACCCTTTTGATTATCAGGTCATTTTGATCTTTCATGTATTGTGGCTGACCCTATACCCTCTTTAGAGTATCACTTCTTAAACACTCGCATAGATTATTTTTAGTTCAAGCAAAATCTGCCCTAGTTCATTATCGAAATCATTTCGCAGGAAAGTTCCGCCGCTAGACATCGAAAAGTTCAGGTGGTCTGTCCTGCCTGCGTGTGATATTGGCCTGGGTGAAAGTGTTAAACTTGTTATGGAACGACTAAGTATAATAGATATTATCACCTCAAAATCACTGTACATGAACATAACAATGAATAAGATAGAATTACGAAGCTTAAAAGCGCGAATTTGCTGGAAAAAGTATAACTATTTGGCACACACAGGTCAACAAGCAGGTGTGATATCGGTTTCCCTGTAAATTTTGTCAGATCTTTGAGTGTTTCTCGTCTAATGTCATTCAATACCCACCTACACTGAAACATCAACATGCAGCATCTCGTCTGCCCTTAACCCTTTCATGAGATATTGTATAGATATTAGGTTAGGCATGTCATGCACTACACAGCTGACAACCAGTCTGCCGCCCTTCAGCATTTACAACTTTTGGAATTGCTTGTGGTCTTAACTACGGAAAGGAATCTATAATGTGATCCTTACCGAAAATTTACTACCTATCTGTATTCACATTTCTAAATCAAATCCGTGCTAGACAATGCTTTGATCTTAATCGGAAAGTTCGTATTGTAAAAATAAAAGTACCCCTTGTATACTCCTTGGCAAACGTCGCGGCTTTTTAATTGGATCATGAACAGTTAAACCTCTCACTCTCACCCACATAAGCTATTGACTATATTGTGCTACATATAGATATACAATATATATGTCTATAGCCGTTCACTTACCATATATATAATTATCTGTAATCAATGACTGTATAAATACTACAGTTTATGGATATCATAGACACTATAACATAGCAACGAAGCAACAGAGAACTGAGTAGCACAGCGCCAAACATTGCCATTGCTTTACGACATAAATATAAACCCCCCAGTGTTGTCTGATTGTCTTGTATTATCCCCAAACAACACAACTGCCATAAGGGATACAATGACTTAAACAATATTTGAGGAGGGACACTCTAATGGTTTTAGTTTATATTCAACATACATTCAATGCGAGCAAAATAACAGGAAACCTGTAAACCCGAAGAGGTAGAGCCGTCGAAGTTAAACATACGCTGAATGCTGCATGAAATATGAAAGACATAATAGTTGTGTTCTGAAATATCAGGATCGTGTTTTACATGAAAGTAAATTTAATCCCATGCACTCGCGTATTACAGTACTATTGATGTGCACTGTAAGGCATGATGTCTGCTTTGCGATACATTCATCTGTCAACAATATGTTATAAAGAAAATATTCACAAAGAAAATACATAACACACAAAAAAAGACAAGGAGAAAGTGTACGAAGAACCACTCTCCAACAGCCTGCCCGTCCTGCCTTTTTCTAAAGATGTAAGTTTAAAATTGGGAGATTTAGTTCATCAGGCTAATAATCAACTTCACACCATACGATTAGAGCTACTTGAGTGAGCGCATGTTTTTATGTTGATAGGTAACTTCGCGATAAGGAATGCGAATGAAAGTTCTCCGCTGACATGGCCATGACCCTAAACATACTGAAAGCCTCGGGATGCGCTTTGCGCGTGATTTCGAACACTTATTTTAGCTCAGTTGCCGCTGTAATTTACATGATAACAACCACATGTGCGCGAAATACTTTCAGCAAAATATAAAGTTATAAACTTCTGAAATTAATTTCAATTGGTGTTCCTTACATTTGGCTGATGCTACAAGAACTATAAGCAGCTAACACATGCTTAAGATGCCGAGGTTCGTGAATTTTCGCCGCTAAAAGCTAAAGTTGCATTCGTTCAAAGCGCATGCTGATATATACCTAGTATGTTTATATAAATATATCAAAATTAGGCATTTGTCAATAAAAAACGTGTTCTTGTGGGAAGGTTAAGCATTTTGGGAAGCTGTTTTTAATCTAACTTTCAGGCATAGCAGTACAATATCCTTTAAGTGAAGATATAGCTTCAATGAGATGAGAACGGTGAGAACAATCCGAAAAGCGCTGGGCGCATTCTCGAAACAGCGTTACGGATAATTACAACGCAGATATATATATGTTCGAAAAAACTGGGTGATTGTTGAGGTATAAAGAGTGAATTACTTCACTAAACCTCGGTGTCTAAATAAGTTGACGTGAATATAAAAGTAAGGTTATATATATTAAGGATGACGATACCCAAGCTTATAAATTATATTAAGAGCATGTATTATGGTAAAGTAACACGCAAACGTTAGGAAAATCGGTAAGAGTTATAGACGGTAATTTCACAGCAAATCACGTTAATAATACAAGATACAAAGACGTTAACCTGAAAGACTTGGTTTCTTCATATTGCCGGGAAGAATCCGACGAAGCATTATGTTCTTGCCAAATAAACAATGCCAATTACCAAGGCGCACCATGTCCCTTCTTCTCACGCATATCAAACCAACATAGACCGTATGAAATGTTCTAGACTCACAACCATATCGCCCAATAAACACATCGGACCTCGGATGTTTGCTATCTCACAAAAGACAATCCAAGTGTCCGTCGTCCGCGTAACATCATCTCATAGATAAACAATTTACTCTCCGCACCCCGGGGGTAAGTACTCGAACATGAAATAAACTATGCGCAGACCTACGGATTATGTGATTGTGCACTTCCTTCGTTTTTTTGTAACAAGATATGGCAATCATGTAGAGGCATGCAATGCAAAAGGACACATATAGGGCGGCTGTTCATTAACAACAAAGTGAGCAAAATGGATTTATCTTTGCGTTCAAGCCAACGTGGTTTGCAACAATTTAGTACACCGTGTCAGACTTATTGCATGCTAATGCAATAACATTTGTATCTCGCGCATGTGCAACTGAGAAGCATTATATTCAGCTATCTAACCTATCTTATATCTCGTGTGAGTTAAAGATTTTTCTCATTTGAGTTAAAAATTATACATTAATGCGTTATATGTATAAAGTGCAATAAAAGAACCCTGTAAAACAAGCTTTTTCGTCGTCAACTATAATCGTAAACAACAACATTTAAATTTCCGCTTGCAGTAAATTAATGTCGAGATGTCGAAACGGAATTTGGCAACGGAAAAATGGGCCAGTAGAATATATTGAAAGGCCACAGGCAGACAAACTGCTGGGTATATTTGTTTTTTGAACGTATTCAGAATCTAATTATATTACAAATAATATCAAGCTTGAAAGTGAAACATGAATCACGAGTGTGAATAAAACTTTTTTATATCGCAGCCTTGGCGTCTGGATTAACATTACGTCATTTGCGTAACAGTATCTTGAATTCCGCGGCACGGTGTACTGGCAAATTAAATTGAGGATAGCTACGTAGATATATACATTTGCTATTTTGTTGGACAGTACTTTAAACTTAAAGCAAGTTCTCACAATTAGTATAATGTAAATCCTCGTGAAAAATATTAAGCCCATTATCATTGGCATAAGGCTTCGAAACTAAACTTTTTTTCGGCATCTCCTAGTTTTAATCTGTTATCACATGTTAATATTAATAAAGGCCACATGTGTATTGATTCTATGGTGATGAGTTACTATATCATGACAAAAATCAACTAATTTTTTTATGCCGTATACAAAAACAGTATAAAAAGTTTAAAAAAAGTCATGGAAGATTCTTACACACGGCTTCAGAATCCATGTACATAATTATTATCACAAAGTGTATATCACTGATATATACTAAATCATCGAGAACGCCAAAGCTAAAAAGAGACACGTTGTTACAGGGTGTCAGTATAAATTTTGCACGTCCTAGTCATCAATCATTACGTACAGAGTTATGTTCACTGTAAACAAAACGAAGCGATTTTCGCATCAGGCAAAAATAATTTGAAATATTTTGTTATTGTTTACCCTGCGTACATTGTTGCCAATTTCATTCCACTAGTTGTCACAATTGTTGTCAGTATAGTAAAGATATCAGGAGCTCATAAATCAAAAGTTATCGTCTTGGCTCGCTTCCTATCAACAAGAATTTAAACAGAGAGACCGATCATGGCAAAACGGTTACGCCTTAATTTTAGTAATTAAAGGCATATCTTTGTACTTTGAATGACTATTCCGTCTTATCATCTCTTGAGGCTTATAGGGGTGTGTGTATGTTTCCAACTGGAACATATATAAATGATAAATTGCTTAAATGATCTAAAAGAGATGATGATTAAGTAAGATATCACGTCAAATCAACCGGATTTATTTCAGTCAATGGTCATCCCACACGAAAATACATTGAAGCCAAGTGTTGGTAATAATGCCGATAATTAATTAATAAGTAGTATAACAGTATAACCTGATAGCATGTTTATCAACAGGCATGTTTGAAGTGGTAAAATGTTCAATAAACTCATTACATCGTAATCTGCAAGCATTCGCAGAAATACCTGCACAATGCAGAAAGATTGCATTGTAAATTGCAGTCTAGCTATTGCCTCGAGCATGCCGCCTTTAATGTTTCGCGGTTAGGAGAAGTCGTGTTAGAAACCTATATGCCATCGAACGTCTTCAGTTTGAAACAACAAACAAAAATACTCCAAGAAACCGTAGGTGATAAATTGGTGAATACGTGACTGAAACACAATCGTTAGTCATGTGAAGAAAACAACCAGGAGAGTTGAAAGAAAGATGAGGATACTTTTGCAGAGGTCGACACTCGACAGCTATGATAAATCGATAGACAGTGATGACGGATAGGCAGTGATGATCCTGACAGCAAGAGTGATATCAAACTTCTATGCATGGTACTACACTCTAAGTCTTCAAGCACGAGATCGAGTATGAGACCAAGATGGTAAAAAATGTGTTCGCCACTGATAAAGAACATTAAATTTACGCAATTTTTAATACCACAACATAATTGGTGGTTTCGAAAGAGGAAGGTCACGATGTGGACAACGAACCTACATTTACAACCACTCTTACCCGGGGGTCTTATCTCCAAGCAAGCGAACAACATGCCACTATGACTGCAAGTCAGATGTATGATTAAAACGAACATAAAGTGCTATAAATATAACATTTACTTTTTACCGCATTCCAGTCACTAGAAAATAAACATGCATATTGACATGCAAATTTCATTGTTTCGCATTCACAGTACTGGTGTGGATCGTTCTTTACGAAAATTCGGCCGTAGAGGTTTGATTCCTTAAGTCCCATATCGTATTCCGTCGCAAGATAGCGATATTATTGGTTTTGGCAAAACGCAACACTAATCAGTCGTCGGCAGCTAAACAAAGCAACATATTGGCGCGGTGGTGTGGTGCCCAGTTTACGTTATTAAACCAGCACAAACTCGTTTAATTAAAAGAGATTATGAGGTAAAAAGTTTGTTTTTTTGGACTAATGGAAATAATGCATGATAAAAGGAGAGCAATTGTGAAAAACAACTAAAGATCTAAGTCAGAAAGTTGAAAATAATACCTGACGGAAATGGTCGGCATTTTTGAAAGGTTAAGACGGGTCGGTTAACTGTCAATGATTTTTCTTTCGATATCTGCGAGAAACAATCGCTCATCAGTTAGTCGCATAAATCGCTGTTGAATTGTTGTTGAGGAGGTCGGGTATGATTAACAATGCATCGTGCCCATATCTATAATCCATGGGCTGTTTTCAGGCCTTGTTTTTTTTGTTCACTTCCTAAAAACAATCCCTTGATGCATTGCTAATCTTTCTATCGCCAGTCCCTTCTGCACCTTCAGAGTAACGGTAGTAAATCATGACATGTTTTCAGATTTGTGTGAAGTATATGGATACCAGATATATTACTATATCTACTAGAAAAACTACTGATTATGCAGAGAGCTCGATTGACGTATTCTTTTATACAGATATCTATATAAAATATATGCAGGTATTATACGATGGAGGGACTGATAGTATTAATCATTTCATGAATTTCATCACAACACGTGCAGTTGTTTCATATCACGAAAAACAAGAATAGTTGCTCACTGTGTATTTTTCGGTTGACGTTGTAAAAACAACTTGTAGATCCATGCAGATAATCAACACTATAACTTGTCACTTACACTATTTTTACAGAGATATCCTCATTCGGACGGAAAGAAGCATTCTAAGAATTTCGAAAATTTCCATCAATACGGTTCATCACTGTTGTCGTTTATTGTTAGTTTTTTTGGAAATTGACGCGACTATTTTAGCTTTAAAAACTTCGGAAGTAATAAAAATTGAAAGAATTTCATGAAGATTATATTACGTTTTATAGTTGCCGACAAATTCTACAGACTGAACGTAGAAACTGTGTTTACGATATATAGTTCTAAAGTCCTTGACTCCTTGGCAAAACTCAGTCCTAGCCTGATATATAGGGTAACCTCATGTATACACAAGGCGCCGTTCAGTCAGCAAATTGTGACGAATTTTACTGTCAGTATAGTTATGAAAGAATCTGAAATTCCCTCTCTCTCAGGGCTTTTTTTAAGAATTTTTAGTGGGGGGAGAGAAACCTAAAATACATAAACCTATATATATATATATATATATATATAATTATATATATATATATATATATATATATATATATATATCATTCACAGGGAGGCGAGAATCCGTCAGTGAGGGGGGTGGAATAGCGAGGTGGGAGGATCGTTCGCCCCCGGTGGTGGGAGACGTTTAAACTTGAATGCGAGCACGGTTAAAATTCTCTGTTTGACATCGGCACTAAAAACGCATTAATTTACTGTTGCTGTACTAAAACTTTATTACGGCCGGACGAATGATTTTAGCAAAATGTCCGAATGGTTATCATTTCTGAGTTAGCGTATCAAAGAGACGGCGATGAACCATTACAATAATATTTAGTGCCAGATGTTTTGTGGCATAAACCTTAGCTATTGTTAAGACGTTCCTATCATCCTCTGTACCGGATCTATTTTTTCCTAGTTCTGCGGGGTCGGTTATTTTGAAAAGTACTTAAACTACAAGGTGTTTCAGGAAAGTCCCCGTAAACAGCTGAAATATAATCCCCTGCTGTCAAATGCAAAATTAATCCGGTACTGGTGAACCCATTTTTTGGGAACGCCCACAACCTGCAATTTGAGTGGGAGAGTTACCAGCGAATAACAATCGGCAAAGCTCGTGATTATCTTTCTGAGTGAAATCCAACCTACTTTTTTTTAGAGAGAGTCAATTTGAATATATGGTTTGAAACTCTTTCTCTCTTGATTATAATATGGAAACTAGTTTTAGTTTCATTAACCCGCTTTTCCACCGGATTTCGAAAATATTTTCTATATGAAAATATATGAAACGGAATACTTGTTTTATATTTATATTTTCTCCCAAAAAGGTTGTCCAGACACTCCATTCTCCATTCTCCAGTGCAAATCGTCCGAACCGAACACAGTCTTGGCATTTTGGAAAAGTAAGCAATGACCACGCTAGGCAAACTCGCAATTATCACGCAAAATCCCGCGCGAGTTGATTCATAACTTAGCGGTCACGTGATCGATAAATATGTATCTATATATTATATATATAGTGGTTTAGTTGTGACTGATAAAAATTGACTTACCTTTAAACCGTTTCAGCTGTTTATCTTAGATGTTGACGGAGTTTGAAGCCGTCAGGTTTTAAAATGTGCCTCGGAAACAAGTCCAGGCTTATATAATAGTTTTTTGGTGCACGTGGGTGCAAGCATGTCTAAGCCAAGGATCGGCTGTTTCCTTTATGATGAGAAGGAAATAATGCACTAATCCTTCACCTTGAATGCTTTATATTTTATGAAACGGAATACTTGTTTTATTTCCTGTTGTATCTTCAAGTATACTGTCTATATATGTATCAGCTACTTTTACAAATCAACCGACATCATGCACTTAGTCACTCTACAATATGTACACACAATTGTGAACCAATACCCTGCACTGATTATTTTGCTCATTTCTTTTGCTGGGAGGGGAAAGACGAGAATAATTATGATTCTATATGGAGTATTCATTTTTGGTTACTTTCCATCCTTATCAAGCTTAGTTTGTACTTCCGAACATAAAGAAAGACAACAGAAGCGGAAAGAGAGATGTAGTGAGCCACCCCGTTAATATTTCCGAGGCCCGAGCATCCCGTACTCGTCTTCTCAGAAGGCTTAACCACGCATTTTCATTGCACACGTTAACAAGTTATCAGCTCCACCGTCATTCGTATACCCAGGGCTATGCGCTTACCCGAAGCTCTGGTAAAGCCATGTGAATAACAGCTCTCATTCCGTCTAATAGGTATGTGTAGCAATAAAAATTTGAATAAATAGAAAATATTTGAATTGATCATTATTGAATCTATCATATTTTAACCACTTATAAAAAATCATAAATCCCATAATTCTGTTTTTTTTGTAGGTCGCAGAGATAAAATTCAGTTAAAAAACTTGATGAATATTTAGTCAGTTACATTAGTAAGAATATAGCTTATTATATATAAGACAAGATTACAAATTTCCTACACATTAATTATTAGTTTTAGGTACGCTATAAAACAGCAATTAAGGCTTCGTTCGAACAACAAAATTTGACGGAGCAACATCCCATTTGCTAATTAAATGAAAGCATCCGATAGCTAAAGCGCTATATAAAGTTTAAACACTGAATTTACTCTTAGGCAAGAATTAACCTTCTTGATCAATGATTTTTATAGTTTCACTTTTGAATTAAGACATGAATAGCACTCAAAACATAATGGCATGCAGTCTATACAGAACCCAATAATTATGCCCAAACTCTCCGTATGAATAATAATGATGGCATGAATTTACTAAAACACAGCAGTCAGCAGGGTAAATGCTTTTTAAAGACATCGAACATCTGCGGGCTTGTCGCCATTATATATATATATAAACTCTAATTACTTTTTTTAACTCTGCAAGTAAACATGAAACAAATCTTGCAACATTTTCTCGGACCTCACCTTTTATATTTCGTTGAACTATACTGTATGTCTGCGACAACTGAGCAAATCTGGCTCGTATTAAACTATAGCCAATCCACAATTAAACGTGGGGCTCGTTTTGCTCAAGGATTATTCCAAGAATCAAAACCGGAACGAAAAAAATCATCGGTAAATAGTATATACCACTTCAGAGGCAACTTTTAAAACGTTTTGTTTATCAAATGCATGTGACCAGTGCTACATTAATATGCTCTTACAGATCGTGAAGATATAAAGTCAAAGATCTTTGTGTCTGACGTAGGTATATATATATTTATATATATCTATATATATGATATATTAATAAAATCTGGTAGAACTATAGAAGTTGACTATTCAATCTAGGCCATCTCTTGCTTCTCCTCTACTCTTATATACGTATAAAGCAAAAAAATACAGGCCCATATACGCGGTTGGTCGTGTTTAAAATGTAAAACTGAGCCAGTCGTGAGACTGAAAAACAACAACATAGGTCATAGCAACAGCAGTATGCATACTTTTATCCGATAAACATCGGTGTGTAATAACATGAATTATATAATTAGCTTTTATAGCCTTTGGGCTTGGCTTGGAAAAAACAAGACGAAGCGTCTAGAATCATGAATCATGATTATAAGCGACGGTGATATAATAATGGCTCAAGAAGCGACAAAGATTTGCTCTAAAATTATGTTAGATTGCTTCCCTTGTATATTTGCCTTTGTAATTACACTAAATTAATTTCGTAGCCTTAGGCTCAGGCGAATATCATTGAATAATTAAGTAAACCCGAGGTCACTTGAGACCACAATTTTCGAAAATCACCTCAGTCGTAATTACACTATCATTATAACTATAAGTAATTTTTTTTGGAAGTGTGGATATAATAATGCTAAATGGTTATAAATTGCGCAGGCATCTAACCTCGCCCATCCTCGAATAACAACCGACCATAAATTACTATCCTGGAGAGATATGTCTTGCATTATATAATTACACATGCTATAGTGTGTTTAACAAAAAGGAAACAAATCGTTTACTAAAACGATAAATAACAACTTCCATGTTTTTTTATTTCAAAGTGCAATGCTAACTTGGGAACTTTGTAAATTTTTTCTAAGGTTGATCAGATTTGTTGAAAGTGACAACTTCAATAATGTTTGAAAATAAAACAACTTCCTAGCACACGCATTGCTTGATATCAAATAGATTAGCAAACGAACAGCATGAAGTACTGATAGGAACGTGGGAATTAGACATGATGCAGAGAATGAATGGGTGATTAGTCAGGATAAGTAGATTTTAATTACAATCGCAATCGTATCTTCACTAAATCTATCGAAACAATACGTAAATACTTGCACGAAGCTATATAGGGACTGGTTAATTAATGAATGCTTTCAACTTGTTTTAACTGCACACTAAAATGGTGTTTTAAAGAGCGTTTTTTAAATTTATAAAATCTTTCACTAATGGCGGATAAAATTTTCAAAATCATAAATCTGTAAATTACAATAAGGGATTTTTTTCAAAATACATGGAATCGATTTTTCCATCCTCCTGAATATCATCCTTCAGACAAAACTGTCGTTATATATAATTATAATAGACATGTGAATTTCTAAACAATAAATACAACTGGTTTAACTCTTCAGAAATCTCAGAAATCTTCCCTGCAGCAACATTTAGAAAGGATGGCTATACGTCGACATTATAAACAACTAAACACAAAAAATTCATAAAATTTGATTAACCCATATATAGCTTAGTGGTAATAAAGCATTCCCTTGAATGGGATGTACTTTCACAGTTCACAAAACAGCACGTGCATGTAGCAGTAAATGCTTATTATTTGTGTTTCCGACATTTAAATTCTCGTCCAGAGCACCAACAAAATTTTGCCAAAATTTTGTAGTTGTGTTGGAAATTTTCAGTTGTCAAAATTTTCTACTTTAAAGATTTCTAAATGATAGAGAATCAAGAATCAAAATTTTCCAGGCATGCATATTCATTGTAAAAGGCCAAAGGTGTGAAAATCACAGTACGAGCGGCGTTAAATGGAGTTACACCCACTCCATTAGGACCACTTATTTGACAAATGATTATAGCTCAGGATATTTTAATAGGAAATGAATATTTTAGTTGTTAGTGTACTTAACATTATGTCTGTGATTATGTCTGTGATTTGCGTTAACTGTGGGCACGGTTGAAAACAATTCTCTTTATATTTTACTTTCTTATAGCCTCAAAATAAAAAATGGGCACTTATCATGGGAAAATATTAATATTAAATTACCATAAAACAACAATGCGCGAGTGATATTATCCGCCTTGAGTGGGAGCAGATCTATGAGGAGACTGAGTACAGGAATCCGTTCCGCAAAAGCGAGGGTAAATCTTTGTTATAATCAGGTGATATTGGATCTTTTTTTATAATCCGTATATATAAGTGAGATTTTATGGCTTCAACTAGTAAATGTTAAAAATGCAATCACCATAGCGTAAGAATATCAGGCTTAAATAAAAAGACGCAGCTCTATATATTATTAATATCTCTACCCTATTAGTACTACTCCTGGTGCTCCGTCATCGTAACAGTACAGAGTGTAGATATTACAAAACACAAATTTTATTAGTAACATTTTCCTGGCCATGAGCCTATAGTATCTATTGATGTGTCCTCCATTCAAAAAGAGTATATCATCTGCTGGACTGCCGTTAACGCCCCTATTTTTTATACTGAAGTTTTTTAAAAAGAAATCCCCCAGGTTGAACCTTACTTAGTATAACTGTTGCTATTTATACCGAGCAAAATAGCTCCAGGACATAATTTATTGATGAAAACGTGCGTAAATCCGTAAGTAATTCGAGTGAAGGTTCCTGTTTTTTTTTAGAAGTAAGAGCCTCGTTATAAAAAAAGGAAATCATGAATATAATCATGAATATAATATCATGAATATATTATATCATTTCATAAGCAAAGATGGCTGTTTTATAGTCTGCTATCATGTAATGTACATCAGCAGCAAATCCACTGAGGCCAATGTACTACGGCTTCACCAATATAGCCGACTATATTTCATACGTCAGAAGTCAATTGGATCCACAAAATCGGATCGTGTGAACAGACCTTTAGAAGGGGAACGTCAAAGACGACGTGAGAATGACGAATAAATGACGTGGCGCGTCCATATTTGAGTACATCGCGCCGTTTTCACGTGCTCATTCTAAACCAGTCTGCTGTGATTTCATTTCTCCTTATAAGCGCCCTTTAGAAGAGGGGAGGAGGAGAATGGGAGGAGGAAAAGGGGGGAGGAGAAGGCGGGGGGAGGAGAAGGGGGGAGGGGCGAGGGCTGAACTAACTAGGTCATGGCCTTATAATTGAGTAATACAAAAGTCTTATATAATGCTTCGGAAAAGCATTGCATGCAGGCGTATAAGTGCCAATATGTGTGCCAAGTAAGAACAAAGGGAATAGCCACGCAATATTGACTACCTATTCATTATCAATATGCATGACTAGATACTTGTAAATGAAACAAAAACAATCTTGCATGTATATCTAATATCTGTGAATGCTGCTGCGTTGGTAGAAATGTTTTATAACTGGTTTATGCCATTATCATTGACTACATTTCTGTCGGTAAATATAATGCCCATCGATTCACGAGCTCTGCTTGTGTATACTTGTCGTGAACAATCATTGGTATAAAAGTAATGCCCGTAGTTATACATCTAATATACTCGCCATTAAGACCATCTGCAAGACATTCTATTTTAGACAGGTAATTTCCAGGAGCAGTAATTCAGAAAACATCTGTCACAGTTGTACATAGTTGCACAATAAAACATATACAGATATGGTTTTAGTAGAACCATTACACATTTGTAGATGATAACCTACAATAGTGTCAATATCAAAGGCAAATGTTAATAAACCTGCTTTCGCATGATTTGTTTAGTTAGTTCTGTTCAGTTGGACAAAAACAGCGAGATATCTTGTTGTTGGTAACCGCAGGCGGCGGTAGCAGACTCCAGTAGTTCGAAATATAAAACGAACTTTATTTATATTTTACCTTTGGGTAGACTATACAAGGGTCTGTTGATGCATGCAGATTAAGTTCATCCAAATAATTCGACCTTGTAAGAAGGTTCAAAAGTTCAACCAATGATTAGCAATCGTTCCTCGTTCAGTGATTGAAAAATGAGGCCAAATGATCATAAATATATAAATAGGTGCACTGTTAAATGTTAATAATTTATTAAAAGAGCATCTATTGACTGTTATAACGATAAGTGGTTATCAATATTGCAACCGTTATGACTTTAGCAATTCAAATGACTAGTTTACTAATCGACTTATGAAGTGAAAGTATAGATGAGAGTGTGAAGAATCGATTTTCATCATTAATAGTATTATACCAAATGAATGTAGCCAATATATTGATCTCTTACCTGTAGTTATCATTGCTAAGTCATTGAATATGTGTATAAACCCCTGTTCATTCATTTATTATTCTGCCATAGACGACGAACAGCTTAGCTATAAGGTTGGTCAGGTTTCGAACACAGCAGCTAACTTAGGTCCAGGATTATGAATGATTTGTCGTTTAATTTTGTACTCCACACAATAAGAACGACATGATCTTCCGCTGGCTAAATCGACAGTTTGTCTTATTGAACGTAAAAAGGAAAGTTACAGAAAGTTGGCATTTCCTGACCGATGGCGTGAATCCTGAGAGTCATGCCACACGTCACTCCTATAAGTATGTCGAAAAAAATGATTCATATATTGAACAAGTACCATCGAAATGATTGCTTAAGCCAAGGTTGTGTGAACGGATGCTGTGAGTGGAAGTTATAATAACTATAACGATAAACCAGTTTTCATGATATCATGTTGCGTGAGTATGTATTGATATGCAGGTGGTAAGGTGATATAATAAAACAACGTATAGTTTGTGCCAGCTATAGGCGATACGCTACGATTTTACGTGTGTTCTAATCTTAAACACTACCTATACTTCAAAGAGAAATTAGAGGAAATATCAAACCAGAGACTTCGTGACATCTCAAGTGTCGTGCATTATACGTTGCCAAAACCGGTTAAAGACGAACAATATAAAAGAGTACGTATATATTATATATATTATATGAGTGGCCCTTCCAAAGAGGAGTCATGTCATATAAGTTACAGGTAAATCACTTCAGTTCAAATTTCTAAAAGAAATAATTGTTTTTAATTTTTTTTGGTCGGTCAAGACTATTTCTTGATATTTTATATTCAGATACTTTAGTTTCGTCTTAATGAACGGATATGTATAAGGCTGTACAAATGAGCTTTATTCTAGATTTATGCCATAAGGACGGTAATATATTGACGTAATATGAATGATCACCATCCACTATCCCTCTTAGAGAACCCACAAAAATTGTAAACATTTATGTGTTTTCGTGCACGTTTTCCTGAAGATGCAGTCCGAAACAGCAGCATTTCCAAATCTCTCTTTCGTCAACATTTGTATGTATGTAATGGTATACTGCGCAGGTAGTTTGATAAAGCCAATGGATGTTAAAGCGAACATAAAGAGGACACTGTGTGCCACGCCAACTGGCAAGCAAGATTAACTGTCCTCCACCACAAAAGAAAGAGCGAAAAAAGTTGATAAGAGGCTGGGTACGTTGGATGGCCTGTCATGATGGCCTTGTGATTTCTCTTGATTAACCTAACTTAAAGCATTTGCCGTGGTCTTATAAAGCAAAAGCGAGCCACATGTCTGTTATCTTTTTTTTTACTTTAGCCTAAACAAGCTTTGAGCGGATTATAAATAAAACTTTAATGTTTACAACGAAACTCCATATATCACCATTTTGCACACTGAAGATTTCAGTAAATGAAGTTATTGACACAAGAAATAAATTGCATACTGCTTTCCTATATATTTTGGATCCTCAACCACAGTTATGTTTACAATTATCATCAATTAGCCAATGGACACGTGAAATATTAGTTGTATGGGTAGTGGAGGTTCATATATACTTACAACATTCAGTTGTATAAAGAAGGTAGGTGTATGTATATTATGAAAACGAAAAATCAGGAAGTTTTGTTACCATTCAATGAAAACGATTTATTGTTTGATATACTGAGATATAAGACCACCTGTATTTTATCGTGCCATTTATAACGTGTGAAGTGGCGGTATTCTTACATAAAAACAAACAAACAGTTTTACGCATACAAGGTGACAAATGAAAATTGTTACCAAAAACATTAAGTTCCCGCTGTAACACCATTGCATGAAATGCTCTGAAAGATTATATTTCCGACAAAACAAAGTTTTATCATGGTTTTATGTTACGACTTGCGTGATTGATTACTGGAGGAGACTTGGAATGCATGTCGGAGGAAGAGCCAAAGATTTATCAGCAGACTCGCTGTTAAAAGTTATATTTTTAATGTTTAATTAGCAACTTTAATTAAATTAAGATGCTGAAAAATGAAGAATTTCCCAGCTTTTCAATTTCTGTTGAAAGGCCTACTGAGTATATGCGGAGCAAATTTACTTATCAAAGGTAGTAAATACCACAATAGTACAAATATCACACAACTCTTTACGTATGCGTTTGTTCTTTAAGTTAGAGTAGTTAGTAGTTACTGTAAGAGTATAGTTACTAAAAGTAGAAATTTTGTGGTAGTGCTTGTGGGCACAGATGATATGATCTTTTGCACAGTTTTCATGTAGTCAGAATTCTGCACGAGTGGTAAATTGAGTACTGGTGACTTGCATTCAGGGTCCACGGATTTTATTAATGCAAACTCTCTCACCTCCTCGCTCGCAGTGGATATATTCAAACCTTGTACCCACTTTGCCGCGGGCACATGTTATATTTGTTAGGTAGCATTAATTAATTTTCATTACATATTTTACACGCAGTTTTCCAGTTTTTGAGGATGAATAACTAATTTCACTTGAACTGGACGCACAAGGTGGCCCGAAGGAACACTCCTTGTGGTATCAATATGTTAGCTCCGATGGTTAGCTCTGATGATAAACGTCAGCGTGACGTCAATACCAACAATACATGCAACTATCAAATTTCTCCACTCGGCAATGGTAAAAAGAAGCTCGACAAATCGCTCTGCGTGAGTTAACTTTCATTTGACTGATCAATCGTCGATCGTTATAAGAACCGTTACTTCAACCTAGAATCACTTAAGCTGGTGACAGCAAGATCAAAAATGTTGTTTAAAGTAAAAAAAAAACAGGACTGTGAAAAACGCTCGGCTAAGTTACCAATCAATATGGGTATCGCCAGCTCTATTGACCCTAGAGGTTAAACGTTGGACGATTGTGAACAGTCAGGCACCTTAGCAAAGAATTGTCTGGATATCATTTATTACTACCAGACAGAACAAAAATAATAGGCTTTTCCTTCTCGGGATCAAATCCGCTGTTTATTAACCCTTTTACCACAGCTAGAAAGAGTTGCATTTTTGCATGCATCCACTATAATCTGGAAAAGACAGACCCCAAATATGGAGGTGCACTATTGAGAGCAGGTAATCGCATTAGAGCTGAAGAAAAATACTACGTCATAGCAAAATACTAACTTCAATCATATGATTTTCCCCCCTAATAATTTAGGGAAATAACTAAGTCAAAAATTTAATATAAAAGTGAGATTTAAGCTAACCTGGTAGGTCTTTGTGTCGACGGTTTGAATAAGTGATCTATAGAAAAATGTCGACAAGATAACAAAGGGAAACTATGCTCTACTAGTGAGTAGAAAATGATAAAAATAGAGAAAGGATGCAAGGAGGTTTTTACAGAAACACAGTCGACGAGACAAAGATTCCTTTACCTCATTTTTACTAGGCAATGACCTGGTCCTGGTGAGATCTTTCTTCTTATAAGTAGAGAGCCGATTGTTTTTCCTTGACAAAGGAGATGAAAGCGACGTCGCCATTCGAGGTATAAGACCATTAACCAAACCATCATCACAAATGACGTAATAAGAAGGAACATCTGTCTAGGAAAATGGTACGAGCAAGCATGAAGTGCTTCATTCAAAGTTAATTTCTCCTTAAAAAAACGATCTTTTTATAACTCACCTCGTCAGTAAATACATTTTCCACAGAAGTTGTGTCAATGCTTGTAGCTGACAAACTGCCACGACGATTTAGATTCGTCATAATACTTCTGAAACGAGAGAGTGGATTAGTAAATGCGTCGTAATCACAGCCTACTTGCAAAACAATGTATCAACTATCAGGTAATTGATAGCTGTAAAATTGCACTGGAAAATACCACAATGTCCTACTCGTGTCCATTAACTGACATCGCGTGCCCCATCAAGTTTCGCAAAATCATGTTGTCGAATCTTGAATGTATTACATTATAGCGATTATTTCACTATTTAGAATATCCGACCCAATATGTAATCTCTAGACCACTCTTTAGACAAAACAAATTTCATAAAATATGCAGACGGTTCGACAATCGCGACGGGTCCACTGAAAAGCACCTGTACAATAATGGTCACTTTGAATTTACCCCACTGATTCCTTCTTCCCATCCATGAAAACCATCGCCGTATCTTAGGATTGATATCTTAGTAATCTTAGTACAAAAGACGTACATTCGTGTTACTCCGTTTAAACGCACACACCAACACTGTTTCGTAAACAATAATTTCCTCAGCAACTAGGTCACTTGTTTCATGTCGTGCACACATGCATGTCATGATGAAAAGTGTAAACCGACGTCAAATGCATTTCAGGCATGCAAGCAATACGCGGAGGAATATGTTTTGTTACCATTCACCAGAGAGACGCTGGCGAGCATTCAGGCTAATCTAGTTAATTAATTCCATTAATTCCTTAATTCCTTAATAACTCTCGATTTCTTGATTTAAACTTTGGTAAACATTGAAATTTTTGCGCCCACCACTGTGACATGCAGACTAGAAAATGACCGGAATTTTCATTTTGGGGTTACACTATACGGGGAATTTATACATGTATGACGTGAATCCATGTGTTTAATATTAGGCAAATTAAGTAGAACACTTTTTCTGAAATTACATTTTTGTATAATTATAGGAATCGTACATATATATAAATATGCCTCTAAAACCTAATTTTGCGCAATTAAAAAAGTCAAAAGTCATCAATATTGAACCCTCAAGGCTCAAACAAATTGCTTCCAGTCTTCCACAGTCACTCACGTTCCGGCAAAATTGGTAATCGTTTCTTCTGATTGTGTGACTAATTACATCGATGAAAGACAAGCAAATTTCGTCTGAAAAACTAAGTATTTTTTAAGTAAAGCTAAGTAGGTTACCGCTTAGTAACACAGCCACACCCGTTTGTCAGACGTAAGACTCTGGTTAAAACATTTTCTCTATAGGATTCTCTTTAAAATGTGATAACTGATAAAAGCCCTTTACTTGTCCATCAGTCTGTGAATGGTTTGCGAAGGTCTGCAGTTGTAGACTTTGCACTTTTTTCCTTTTTTACTCTTTTCCTCGTTTGTCGCTTTATCCCGATAAAAGCTCTATAGTTACTATGTCTGTACAGTGGTTTGCCATTGATATTGCTTCAATGTACTACGTTAAATCATTTTAAGAAAAAACCTCACCATGCAGTGCCGGCATAATGCCAGGTTTTAGTCAAAACTGTCACTGATAGTGAGTCATCTAGATGTGCGTACTGGGGCTGGGTGCTTTCGTTCAAATACCATACAATACCCTCTCATAAACTTCGTAAACAAAAGTGAAGCCTGGCATTTGAGCAAATCGCCATAGCCCTCGTAAAGAACCTTTGCTGCATGGTACGCCCATGCACATGTGTACGCCAATAATCCACCTACCAAACAGCATTTGCTAATTGCTACGCGTCCCTTTCTCAACATTTGAAAACTTAAGTTTCTTCCTGCGACTGCGAGACGACTGGCCGCAAATCCCACGACAGCCAAGACTTATCTAACTGAAATCGGTGTGAATGAAAAAAGAGTGGACGCTCTTGTGAAATCAACTAAATGCCAAATAGTAGGATAACTCACCGACACTGAAAACATTGAACTTTTACATATTAAGATGGGGATGGAAAATTCCGGTTGCAGCCGATCCATTTACCTTTCTGGGGCCGGTTGTATCAAGCCCGTTTAGCTTAAACGGTGGATAAGTCAAAATTAAATATCCCTCTTACAACTCTCTTGAATGAGACAACTTGAATATTATGCACTGAATATGTAGTTGTAAACAGTATATTTGTATTAAGGTAAAAAACATTTAGTTTGCTTCTTGAATAAAACGATAGACTCGCTTTCTATTTTGAACTTAACCACCGTTTAAGCTAAACGGGCTTGATACAACCGGCCCCTGGCTTCATGCACCATATTACACTACCTCGAACATTAACCGAGGAAATTGGTCATTTCTCCCTTTCAAGTTTAAGAACTACAGAGGAAATCCGACGAAGGACTTTCCGCGCCGGAGAATCGAGTGCTTCGTATCTGAGCGCACAAAGTATGCTTTCTTCTAATTTTTTCTCTTTCCTAATATTACTTGATAATGGTCATTTAGTATCGTATATTACATACATAGATGCTTCACATTGGTTGACTGTCAATTGTACTTCATACCAATTTTCTTACGTACAGAAAACTCTCTCATGATGACTAACAAAGAGCTAGCACTAGTTCCTGGTCTAATGATATACATCGCTCTAAAATTTTATTGAAACTCGATGTCCATGTTGGAAATTGGTCTAGGGGCAATAGCTACGCTAGACTGATCTATAAACGTAGCCATCCTGGTTAAGGCCAGTGTAATCAATATCAGTAAAACCAAATTTGCAATACAGCAATAGTTTAAGTGTAGTATATTCTATATAAAGGGAAGGGATCACTAGTAAGGTATAAAATGTTACCAACTACTAAGTACGTCAGATGACTCAGATCTATAGACATAGTTTGATTGCCATGTATGCTTGTAATGAGTAGAGCTGGAATTATGAGTAAAGATATGTAGTTTTTTCTTTGTTAACAGACGAAATACGACGACTCTGTTATGGTTACTCAAACGGAGTCGCGCGTAACGAAAAGTTTTCTATCATTTTTTACAAGACAACGTCTCCCTTCTCGCTAATGTTGTGTTCCTATATACGGCTGTCTGGTCGTCTTCAAAAATATGCTGTTTGATAGCTGTGTCATCACTGTAAATATCATATTCTAGCAATACATAGAGCAAGAGCTGTGTTTATAGTTTTATCGAACTACCCATCTCGCTTTTTGATTGTGGTGAGCTCCTGAATCGTAGTCGCCTATGCCTATGGATGTTCAGTGACTATACAGAACAAACATGCATGGGAGTATATATATTATTTGTTCAGATAATAGTGAAGTCGGAGTTTAGCTCTACTTCACTACCGCTACGTCTGGAAGAACAGGAAACACCGAGCTAAAGCCGCGGAGTATATATATATATATATATATATATATATATATATATATATATATATATATATATATATATATATATATATTATACCAATAACGGCAGTCAGTGATATTGTATCTGCACGAGCAAGCCATAAAATATAAGACAGCTAGATTGAGCATAGATATACTAACAAAATGGCGTGGAATATATTTCCGCAGAAACAGAGACATAGTTTTACATTATAAAACACCAAACATATACAACATAAGACATATAGGCTATGTATGACCTATGTGGTCAAGGGGAGAACCCCGGAAATCCTATCTGAGTGATGTTAATGATTAAATTATGTGCATGTGTATATGGCCATGCATAGCAAGCCTTTTACAGCCATTTTTTCGCACATTACAATCACTGGACAGCATTGTGAATACAAAAACATGGCATGTGGCCAAGTCATGTTTGGATATAACTCACAAAGGTGATCGATAGAATTTCGGTGTTAGTATCAAACCTCTATTAAATCAGAGCAGTGTTTTTGTGCCAGCCGTCGCGATCATTCACAATCACAGTTGGTTGCATATTGTGCGTTGTTTCTCTGTCATCACACACACTACGACGTATTTGTTCCGTGCCATGTTGCCAAGCATGAAACTTGATTTGGTGAGGAAAATGCATTTACCCCAACCCGACTGCCTAATTTACGCTTCCATGCAAGTTTGGGTTCTTATGGAGATGCTATAAACATGAAGCTGTGTCTTAGGAACAAAAGTAATGAATTCAACAGGCTGTCTGTTAGCAACCAAAAATGGTCGCACATGCGTTGGTCGTCGTTATCAGACGTATCACAATCTGATAAAGCGTTCTTTAATTTGCCAATTTTTATAGATTTGGCGGCATGCGTCTAAGAAATCTTCCGCTATGCAATGAGACGGCTGACATAAACCACAGCTAATTCCTTTACAGTGTTGTTTTTACTGACGACGCAAATCAGTGTTTTCGCTCCACAGTTTAAACGCTTTCTTTCTTTCAGGATTAGTGCATGAATATAATAATTATGTAGTCATTTGTAGTCAATTATGGTTGTGGCCTATGCTTTCAATTTGGTCATCAAAGGCAGAGGTGTAACGGTGTAAAATTAACGGACACCCAAAGTCAGAACTTCCGGCCAAACATATTGGCGGACTCACAATCAACTGCGGGAATTAGTCGATAGTTATGTCAACACACAAGTCCTTTCAAAGTATTTTTACCATGGCGCTAGACTGTTATTTTCGCAAACATGTGCAGCGCTATATTAATATAATCTGACTGATGAATTGTGCCACCATATTGGAATACCTAAAAGATATTTGAAACAGCCACGAAGTAATAAGATTGCGGGTAACCACGTTGGCATACCAAATGTCCTGCATGTGATCAGCGATGCCAGTTTAATATGTGCGTGCCACGTTATTATTTAGGGCGCAGAATGACAGACGTGCGCAAAAACTAAGCTATTCTGAGTTTTTCTATCAAACACACGGGATTACAGATCCTTGTTTTAGCCTGGCAAGCAATTAGCGCTTAATACGACCCATCCGTTGCGATAATTATTCAACAACGTCCCCCGCGATTCATGTATACACTTGGCTTTGTTCAGACCCTGTTATTAAAATTTAAAAATGTACATACTGACAACGCGTCGTAGGTTTCAGGAAACAAAAATATTCGTCCAAATAAATGTGCAAGGGAAAAGGCAATAAGGGTCGCAGTACTCAGGTTCAAGAAGAATTTACAACGTACGAAGTACGAAGAATCTGATGATTGATGGTGAAACATAATGCAAATAGAAATGACTAAACTAGTAAATAACCAGATATCCAAGCAGGCAATACATAAAAACTAATAGCATTATAGCAATACACTTAAGTGCACTTCTATTCACAGCCTACAGAGATATATCTTCTCGAATATCTTAGCTTCTTACAAATGTGTTTAAGAGTAGCACGCTTGTAAAATTACCGTTTTTTATCAATTAATGTGGGGATTATCGTGTTTGCTACTGTTGTAAGCCTGTACGATAGTCGCGGACCCGTGGTGAGTCGTTGATCGTGGGTCAATAACCATAAAAACCCCAAGTTAAGTGCATCGTTTTAATCAAGTGTATAATAAGACGTAGAGTATCAGACACATCACTATATATTACAGCAGTATATCTAAAGATAAATAGCTTAAGACAATGCATCCAAGTATGTAACAACCTTAAGGATACCAGAAGTTATATTAACAATTTAAAGAAACCGCAAAAATTGTAGCGATGATAAATAACGTTGAACATTTGGATAGAGACTGACACCAGACCAGCCGTCAAGCCTTGCGAGACCCTATTCATGATGACCGCTTGTGATATTCAGACATCTATAAGAGACGAAATTTACAACGTAGTTTTATACCTTTATTATGAAAGACGTTATTCTTGCGGTAGTCTCATAACAGTTTCCGACAGCAATGTAGTTCAACAGCTCCACAGCAAAGACAGTAACCATTCATTCCGAAATACTTTTGTCACTTTCATCTCTCCTGCGTAAAATGTAACCAATGAACAGCACGGCAGATGTTACTTTCATAACCGCGTAATTATAAACTGGTTGTTGTGGAGATTTATCACTATCAGTATGGTAGCATGCGATATATCGCACCTTGTTGTATAATTAATGATAGGATTAATCGTTTTCCTTATGTGGACATGATGTGAACGAATTACCATAAAATTGGAAAGAAGCCGACAAAAGCATCGTATAAGGTCATTATACGTCTCCAATTACATCGGTCCAATCGCAATTTGATACATTCCAGATAACAGCGTACGAGTTTGTACGAGGATAACCTAATAAACATGACAGCCAACATCATCGCTGTTTGTATGAATGTGAATCTTCAGATCACAGAGTCTATTGCTTGTTATGAACTAGGGAAGATGGGATCGTTTGATCGAGAAGTGGACCTACGATAGCGTAAACTGGCCCCTAAGAGGGTACTGGATTGCTACCGCAGCGGTTGAAATTCTGTAGATAGAAAGAGGCCGTGCAATTTTTAATCTCAGAGGCCAAAATAAATATATCAAATCTGTCAACTAATAAGCATTGCTACTAATCATTGCTCATAAACGGTAAATATAAACGAAAATGCCCCGACGAGCGATTCCGGTGTCCTCTAAAGGGGGCCTCGACGAGATAAAATTGTCATGCTTTTATTTGAGATAATTTCATTGGGCAACTGATTTATGCATTAAATATGTACTTCCATTGAAAATTAAGCTATTTACATCGACATATTTCAGTTCATTTGTTCAATAAAGAGATAATTGTGTTTTCCATTTTGAGCTTATCCGCCGTTTAAGCTAAACGACTTTCGAACAACCGGCCCCAGAGTAACAATAAGTTACTGACTTACTGCCTTGCTCCCCGCTGCAGATTGTGGAAAAACGTGTGCCCTAAAAGACCAAGCTTATTGTTTACGAAGCGCAGAGCATAAAATGCAGGTTCAATCATTTACAACATTATGAGAGTATTTTTAAATTTTGGCTTACCCACCGTTTAAGCTAAACGCCTTTCGAACAACCGGCCCCTGGCCTGTGCCTATGGATATAATCAGGTTTTTCCAGAGCGTTGCATTGTAGCACCAGTGCGGTGACTACCTCCTCCGCAGGCGCTAGGAAGCATTTCGGGCGATTTCGGAAAAGGCGGCCCCAAAATATCACCCCCCCCCCATATTTGCCCGAAAAAGGTAGCCGCGGTGGTTGGCCAACTGTGGGCTGGCTTCGGCCTTGTGCACCACAATCGTCAGGGCCCAGCCCAGGGGCGCCTGACCCAAGCAAACAGCTGCTCGTGCTCCCCCACTGACATGGCCATTGCTTACGGGTGTAGCTAACTCTCTACCACCGGTTCTGGCTCTGACAGTTGTTTTGATTTTTAATTTAATTCGAAACGGACATTTTCGTATTCAACATTCGACCTTATATTATAGAAAATCGTAGCGTGTCAATATACCCACGTTCCTTTGTGGTCATGGTCATGACACGTTTACACGTGAAAATTGGGGATGAAAAAACACTCTGCAGTGGTAGAGCTACTTCCTCCGCAGGCATCACCGTCCCATATTTGCCTGAAAAGGGCCTGCGGAGGAGGTAGGTGGTAGAGTGAAAGACAAAGAGGATTTCGTAAAATTTTATTTTTTGTGTGTTGTTTGAATTTTGAAATGATTTTCGGCTGCAATACAATGTAAATGAATCGAAACACGCCATCTTTTACCCCAAGCCAACGTAATAGAGAGCTTTAGATTTGACTACGGCTACGACTATCGCTACGTGAACGACTGCGAAAAGACTGGGTCCTATAAACTTCGTAGCCGTAGTCGTTGTCAAGCGCGTAGTTACGTCGGAGGGGCGGGAGGGGTGTATGACGGTGATACACCCCGCTAAACTTAGGTAGTAAGTCTGTTTAAAAAAACTGTATGAAACTCTTCGAAATTTTGGATGACAACATGTTGGAAAGATGCATATGTTTTAAAAAGTTGAAGTTAATAATTTTGAAAAAATGTAATTCTTGGACGTTCTGGCCTTGCGTAATATTGCAACTATTCACGCAAACCTGATCAGTGTTTGGACTTTAGTTTACATTCCTATTCGTTTTCTTGCTATTACCTCTTCGCAGGGGTGGATCCAGCACTAGTGCACTAATTTGCATTACAAAGCAAAGTTGTTATTTTAAGCAGTTTTCTTGTGTCATGCAAATTAGTGCACTAGTGCTGCATCCACCCCTGCCTCTTCGTTTCTAAAAAAAACCGACAATACCGGTTACAAGAGTAGGGTTCGGGAATTAATATTATGCACACACCTAAAAATTTTATTAATAGAATATGAAAATCATAACAATTTGACAACTCAATAAAACTGCAGTCTTGTAAAGTATCTGATGTCACAAGTCATAGTTTCCCAATTTAGACATCATTGTAAATGAAACACTTCTATGTGGCTCTCCAAATCAGAGGGCAAATCAAATGTAGCAGAACAATGAAAACATATATATCCAATATTGGACATTGATATTCTGTGAATATGCGAATGTGGGTCTGGCTCAGCTTTTGCTCCAGTGCATCTGTGAGTTCCCATATTCTCTGAAGATATAAACCTGGTGTTACAAGCTTCACATTTATATGGTGTGTCACTGCTAGATTCAAAGTCTGGCAATTCCTGTAGACTATCTGTCTTGTCTAGATGGTGACTTTTGGCAACTTGCTGGCATTCTTCAACTTTGCAGAAATTTCTCTTTACATTGTTTTCATCTGTATCTGGCATATGAAAATTTTTGTGAAACAACACATCATTTGTCAACTCTTTAAATTTGTGCTCTTTCTTGTGATGCAGCAAACAGGCCTTTGTCATAAAAACATTTAAACACATATCACACTCATAGTGTTTTCCATTAGGATCAGTTGGTTTGTGAGATTTTAGAGAAGTTGACCTTGCAAATTGTTTGCCACAAGACTCACACTGGTGATTCTTCTCACCTGTGTGTGACCTCTTGTGACGTACCATAGTTTGTCTTCTGCAAAATGCTTTCTCACAAATGTCACATTTGAATGGTCTTTCTCCTGTGTGCTGACTTCTAACATGAGCTTGCAGCACTTTATTAGAAGCAAACTGTTTATGGCAGATCTCACAACTGTATGGTTTTATTCCAGCATGTGTCTTTCTGTGGGATATTAAATAGGCAGAATCCTTGTAACATTTACCACACATGTCACAGGTAAAAGGTCGCTGTTCAGAATGTGTTAATTTATGTACTGTAAGATGGTCACTTCGTGCAAATGACTTGGAGCATATATCACACTGGTATGGTTTATATTTGGTATGAATTGTTTTGTGACGAACTAATAATTTTTTTCTAATGAAACCCACACCACAAATATCACATTGAAATGGTTTTTCACCTGTATGCTTTCTGGTGTGAACTACTAAGTCACCCTTAGTACGAAATTTCTGCTGGCAAGTTTCACACTTGTGTATTTTCCCAATGCTATGGGTCTTTTTATGAGACCTTAGGTAACTTGATTGTGAAAATGTTTGATTACACGTGAGACACAGGTAGGGGTCCTCTCCTTCATGTTTTCTTTTTATATGAAGTACCACTTGTTCATTACGTCGAAATGACACCTGGCAAATATGACATTTGAAGGGCCTTTCTCCAGAGTGTGATCTTTGATGACGAATTAGATGGGAAAATCTGAGGTATACCTTCGGACAGCTCTCGCATTTATAGGTTTTCTTCTCTTCGGTTCGATTAGGAATTTCATCGTTATTTACTTCCATCTAGGGCCCCAAATTCGATTTTAATACTGAGGGCAAAGTTTTTCTGGATTATCGGAGTTTGGATGAAAAAATAGTTTTACCTTAAATAAATATGTTGAAACATTCAGTATAATATAAAATTTTTAGTAATTAGTATGTAATTGTCATTCTTTTCAGTTCAACATTGGACATTTGTACTACACGTGCTGATCACAATTCGATCTCGTTCCCTGAGTCCTCGATCTTTTTGAAAAGAGTTTGGGGACGAGGTTGATTGATTCTGACACTGGGATGATTCATTGATTTTATTGGGCAATCGATTGGAAGATGGTCATAGGATAGCCACAAATGAATTATGTCCTATTATGTCCTATATGCTTGAGATGATTTTTGTGAGGTAATTGTAATTATAAAACAACATGTATATAACGCGTGTTCTGATTGGTTGAAGCCCGTGTTTGGTCAGGCCATCCAAACACGGAAATTTCGCAGGAATTTAAAAACAAATTTACTATGGTTTGTTATTTTATAAAACAATTACCTAATGGTTTCCGTGTTTGGATGGCCTGATCCAAACACTTGGGAATGTTGCTCGAGTTAAGAAAAGCTCTTCGGCTCGTGTTTCGCGCGCTTTTCTTAACTCTCGCAACATTCCCGCGTGTTTGGATCAGGCCATCCAAACGCGGAAACCAGTAAATAATTGTATAGTACAATTTCAGGCTTTTCAGCGAATGTAGATTAAAAAGGAGCAAAACTTTTCAAGAGGCAAAACATGCACAATGGCGTTCCACGGCTACCAAAAGGAGTTACATCAATGGTTACATCAGAATGACGTGATTCACTGAAAATCTATAACTACATAATAACCTCAAAAATTCATTAGCCTATTTTATGTACATATATATTCTATACCATACATTTTCCCAGGCACGTGGAAGCAATGATGTTTCTTTACTCTTCATTATTTATTTATTTATTCTGGCATAGACTACACCAATGAGAACACTAGCTAGTCTTTGGGGCCCCACCTGAGCCGGGGCGGTGTCCTAACCCGACCTGGCGTCCGTTACGCCACTAAATTTTTTAGAGATGTACAGTCGAAATCGGTAGTGAAAAGTATAGTATTTGTATCAATTTTTAGATTAAATTTTTTTTATGTTAGAATGTAAAATCCAAATATATTATTCCAAGTTTCTTTTTATATTTGCATAAATATAAAATATTGAGGATATAGGTCTAGAAATAGTGTAGACCCTGAGTGGCCCTCCGAGTAGACTCAGTAGAGTTTTAGGAAAGAGCACGTTCACTTTTAACATGAGCAATCACACGGAAAGTAAGCCTAAATTATAACTAAAAGTAGTAAGTAGGTACACAATCTTGAATCGCGTATTTTCAATAATATTATTATTATATGGTAGCAAAGGTGTCTCCTATGCCTCCATGAACAAAGCGAGGGGAAGGGGTAATTGCAATGGACCAATTGCGTAATAGACCAACTTATTATCTAGGCATTCAGGAAGAAATAAACCACCACAGCTAAAAAGAGCATACCAAAATTAGTATAATTGCCAGGTTTGGTTGCAAAATGTCAACTAGTACGTAAAATATAGCAACGCGAATTTGGCAATTTTGTATACTTTTTTACTACGGCCGGAAACGTGTAATTAATTTAATTACACACGTCCGCCGTAAGTTAAAAGTATACAAAATTGCCAAATTCGCATGGCTATATTTTCCGCGCCTTACAATATTTCGCAGCCAAACTTGGCAATTCTACTAATTTTGGTATGTACAGTTCGGAAATTCCCTTTTTGTCACCTAAATAAAAAGTTGGTCTATTATGCAAACGGTCCATTTGCAAATGTTTTTAAAAATGCTCCAGGTCAGATAATAAATGATAATGTATATAGTTCAATTACGAATCTTTCATGCGCATGCGCTTGATGCAAACATAAATTAAATAATTATGATCATGATACAAAGAAACTCAGGACGACAAGTCGACGAGAACGGATAGTTGTTTTTCTGTAAATACCGTTTGCAAAATGAGTGTACTGTGATATACGTTTCGTGTTTGCTGTAAAATATAAATTGGGAATGGTTTTGAAGTAAATTTTCCGAGTCAAGTCCACAAACAAGGGAAAAAGATTCAAAGAAAGTGGTGTTGTGTGGTTTGGGTCTTTGGGATCGGTCGGAGTGGTCTGTAACAAAAGGTCGGGAGCGTAGTTTCGTCTCTCAGTTTCATCTCAGATTAAGAGAGGGCTTCGATAAGTCTATGTATTCTTTGCTTTTCAGTGAGGCCTAGGTGTGATGTTACATTATTAACCCACACTGTAATATGGTGCATTAGTGCTTTGTAGTTGATCTATTAATTGATATCTCGTGGTAAAAATGTCATTTATCCAGTTAATTTTCAACATGAATAACACGTATCCGCAGGGTGTAGGTTAGTGTAGTGCAGGTTACTATACTAGATTGCATGATTACATATATGTAGATAATCTACTAACCACTCTTTAGCGAAGATAATTTTTGCTAGCTTCCAGAGCATCATTGCAGGCTAAGGGTAATTCTGGTAAACTCCTAGATTAAACTCTGGGGCCAGTTGTATGGCTGGATAGCTGTATCCAGGCCTTACACTGTATAAAGTAATAATTAGTAATTGACTGGTTCATGCATCAATCTACATGTTACTCTTACCAAGTACCAATTTTTAGGACAATTAGGTAAACATGACATTATTACACGATTAAAGAATACAGATAATTCCATTGGTATTGTTATTTAATATATGTCTAGAAGCCAGGAAATGTTTTGAATAAGCAAATTTTGTAATATGAATATAAAAATACTTAAAGAAGTAAAAATTGGATTATGCCTATCATATGTAAGAAGCAGCATGATTGTTTCATCAAATTGTAAAATTATTTCATTAATTCATCACAGCCTAAAATATTTTAAGAAACATCCTTGGTGAGAGAGTTTTTGTTAGGGGGGCAGTTATGAGTATTTTTAAATAAAAAAAGGATTGCATTTTATATAGATTATGATATATAGATTTCTATAATGAAATACTTGTGATACAACTTGAATTGATACAACTTGCAAAAAAGGTAATTTCAAATTGTAGATTCCAATGCTAGTGATTTTCAATTGAGCCAATAAAACAATATATTTAATATATTTTCATACTGCACCTGTAATACAAATTAGAATGGCGTACATTACAGACAATAGTATAACTAGCATTTAAAATTAGCTTTTATATTTTACAACTTACATAGGAAAGATGGCCTAATATTTGCCAATTAAAGATATCTACTTTGTCATCTACCTTAAAATGAACATATGCCATATACATGAATGATATGGTATGCCATAAGATACAAGCATCTGTATTATGAACAGCTTAAAGTGCCCAGATAGTAAGTGTCCAACTTACAGGTAAACCTTAACTTATTGTGGCTACATGTAGTGTAGCAAACAATTTTTTTCTTCAAAATAACATGTTGTGATTAGATAGTAATATGATTAAAATGACAAGAATGTTGAAGTTCTTAACAAGGGCCTTCGGAATATTCTTGGTAGTCTATCTAGACTACTCAGGTAGTTCATCTAATCATACCATGTTATTCTAGTAACTTACCTTATTGTAAACAGTGCACTGTTATCACACAAAGAACAGTTATCATTTAACCTCAACACTAATATTTGTGAAGTTGTTGAATTGTATTTTGCTTTTACTTTTGATAACAGATAGCAGCTTTTGAACTACTTCATGATTTTTTACTATCTTGTTTACTTTGAGCTAAACCTAAAAATTATGTGAAGATGAAGGAATATAACTATGATTTATTGAAACAAACTTTCTTCAAGGGTATCATGTGGGAAAATGCTAATTTGTATTCTGCTATGATTCTGTAATTGCTTTGAATGACAGTTTGCGTGAGTCTAAAGATCTGACATGTTTATTTTTTGCACATGTATTGAAGGATAATTTGTACAATTTTGTTATGCTGGACAGTCCTTATTAATTTGATGGTAATGATCGTATGGTGGATATCATGTCTTTGCTAACAATGCTTAATATCAAGTAAAAATATGAGTAAGGAACATTTTACTGTTACTGATTGATCATCAACAGGGAATTGTTATATATCAATTACATTTTATTCGCCACAGCACACTATTTAATGACCTTTTTGCTTTTAAAAGTGTATGTGGACACATAGCTCTATTTTCATAAGTGTACTGTATGTATAATAGTTGCAGGTTGTGCAATAAGATACAATTACAGATGCAATTGATTATATCCTCAATAGTTGATGATCAATCTGTCAATCACTATATGCATTCAGCAGCATTTAACTTTTATAAATCATCCTTGACCATTTAATAGACTTTGTTTGCAAAAACAAATCTGACCATCAATTGTTACATATCAATATTAATGAGGTGCAGCTTGTATTTTATGCCATAAAATATTAAGAAATGTGTTTCATAACTAAAACCACTGGTACACTTCAAATGAATTTTTCTTACTTTTAATATCTTTATTCTTTCTATCTCCAATTAGAATTAGGAGTGTGATTGTGATTTAGGCAAAAGCTAATTGCATATGAGTTAATTTAAGAACTTTATGAGAAAGGTGGTAGGCATATCTGTTGTTGCTGTTGTTGTATTGTATGTGGGATGGCAATATATCCATTATTATTGGTAATCTCTTTAAGTTTGGCAACTTTACTTATTGACTTTCTCCTGGCATAATTCCAGAAGATTCTTCAAAATAGGACAATATTGTAAAGGCTGAAGAATACTTGCTGAAAACATTGAAAAGTCATCAATCTACAGAATCGTGCTACAAAACACTTGAAATTGAAGTTTAACATATTCATGTACTTGATGTTCTCAGTTCTTAAAAAGTGGACCTATGTTAGCCAGATTTGAAACTTATTTGAAACAGATTTGGGACTTAAGCTTACAAGTGTATTTCTTGGAAGAAAATGAAACTTAGCACTAATATTTGTGTGAATTTGTAGTTATATCGCTGATAACAGGTATGTTTATATATTTTTATTGAGTAGATTTGTAAAAGACTTTGTCACAGTATCTTATGTATTGTTTAACAAAATATTTTTCTTAGATGGCAAAATTAATTCTGTCATATATTTTTCTTTGATGTGATCATGCATTTTAATTTATTTTCCACCTTTATTTGCACAAAATGAAGAATATTCAAGGTGTTTGGTCGTTGGACGTTTATAATGACCTCTCAGAACGATTGCTGGTTCTTTTACAACTCCACTTGTGCAAAGGTACTAGTCCGTTATCACGTAAAATTAGTGTGCGAAGTTGATCCACTTTCTTGAATAAAAAATGTAATATTCCTTGGTGATTTCCAGCCTCACTTCCACCGTTTACCGCTTAACTGTATAGTAAAATGGGACATGCTCACGACCTCAGGCTCTGCTAGAACATCCAGCTGGGTTTTGTTTTGTTTAGCTGGGAACGAACTGTAGCAACTAGCAATTGAAGATTTGCCAGATTTTTATAGGTAACCTACGCTGACCAGGGCTTCCTTCATAAGGAAAAAAGCCAGAGAGGTTAACAATATACAGTAGATATAACTTCGACTTTAATTTCACAACATCAGAAGTCAAATAACAGAATACTTTGTACGTAATTATTAACAAAATACTTTGTAAATATTTGACAAAGGGCGATGACTGTCCGTTTCGTCACGAACCTTTGGCTATGGGTAAATCTGTATGCGAATCGTGGAGTGCTGGTTCATGTAACAGAAATCCCTGTCGTTTTCGTCACTCAAACGTTGAGGTAAAAGGCATATGTGTCGAATACTGATGAAATGAAGTCAGTAAAACAATACAATCTCACTGACGTACCTAGTTAGGTCGGAACAAGGGATGATATTCTGTATTACTAACATAATACTTGATATTTTACAGGTAGTGAAAAGCACTGCTCAATGTTATTATGAAAACCAACCGACTGGATGCCTGAATTCCAGCTGCCAGTATACTCACTCCAAACCACGCCCTCTGCTAACCAATTTCAATACGAGATCATTGCCAACTCGGCCGATACTCAATGTCCCATTGCAATCAAGATTTCCTCCTAATTCTCAAATGTTTAGGTAAGAATCACTTAGATGATAACTTGCTGCGATTTGGTTTGCGTTTGAAATATCGTATTTTATTGCCTTGGTCGAGATTCTGATGGAGTTCCCTGTTAGGAAGTGCATTTGTACTGAAGCAACGTTCTTGGGTACTTCGAAGGAAGTGCCTTCATGTTTTGGGTCACCGTACATGCCCGAATTATTACTGGAATTCTTTTTCCACCATTAATAACGTTCAGATTGGACTCAAGCATTTTCTGTAGCCAGGTTTTATTATCACCCACTCCTGATTCATGCTTCATATGCTATTCGTAATATCATTTTTATTCAGTAATGCAAACACAGTACTGGTTCTTGGTTTTCAAAACATACCGTACGTTAATTTTTAGAGGTAATATATTTACCAGTGCCTCCATGACGGCACCTCGACAAACCATGCACAATCCATTGCTTAACCACCCACCACCCCACCTAGCCGGAGGGCTCCCACCTCCTCCTGTATTTCCCAACAATTCCTTCCAAATTGGAAGACCAAATCTGTTCAATCAGAATCATCCTTTACTTAGTCTTACCCATACTCCTCCATCTGCCACCCGACCAAATGTTGCCAAGGTAAGTATGTAAAACTACTTTGGCAATATCTTTTTTACTCTTGATATCAGTTAAATTTGACCTCCTGGTTATGTATATGCTATTATTTTTTACCCAAACTGTTTTGTTCTTGAGTTATTTCATGGTATGTTATTGTTATTGTTATTCAGCCATTTATGAGAGGTCCTGGGGAGACGCCGATTTCATTACCACACCCTATAATGGAGGGAAATACAAGTAGCACACAAGCATTGCCATCGCCATCGCTTGCTGATTTGATTAGGCCAAGTACTGGTGACGGTAAGTATTGCTTAAAACCGGTTCGGCGATCAGAAATACCTTCCTGATCATCGAACTGTTACGAGCTGAGTATCCCCCGTAGTTTTATGCGTAAATAGAAAATGTAAACTTCAGGTGGTACCAAACAAAACGCTATTTAAACTAAATCAGACATGTAAATGACACGAAGTGAAACTTGATTCCAAACATTAGGTATTACATTTATGTCACGTCCACGTCGCGAATTAGTTACATTTCAAACTCGCTATTATGTCGAACGGGTAAAATTTCCGACATACAACCTCCCAAGTTTCAAGATATGAATACATTCATTCATTTTTAGGTTTACTTCCTATACCAACTCCTTCTGTTCTGCCATTTTCATTGGGTAAGCTTAAAAATATTACTTAAAATATAAAAGTTCTGAATCTCCTGTTTCTACATGAAGAATGGAGTTTAAATCGTTCGTACCAGAACACAGTGAGAGTACACTATCCCCGTTTAACGAATTAACTTCGTCCCACCTTTGTAAACTGCAAATATCATATCAGCATTACGCAATACTTCATAACTTAACCACTGAACCGCTGTTCGTTTTAAAACCTTTACAAAATGTGGCTTTTGTCAGTCAAGAAAATATTTATGGAAAAAGATATTAAACTTTGTAAACAAGCGGTTAAAAAAATTGATGTAAAGATTCGCTTCAACCCAGGGTTAAAATAACCGGCTTTTGAACAACTGGTCCCTGCAGAGCTCTTGCCCAGTTTCCCCGCTCATACTAACTATGACAATATGATCTTAAAAATCTGAAAGAGGAACCTGTGTCGATTTGAAAGTTTTACTACATTTGTGGAGTACATGTCCTTTTGTAGTTATGGAATCCGCTTGTAGGTTGTTCCACTTTTATGCTTTTCTTCACATTTCTTATTTATTCTTTTTCGCCTCGCAGGTGGATTATTTCCACGTAATATGATTTCACCGAAACAAGTCTCGAATAAAAAAAAGAGTCGTTCATCAGGTGAGAAACGCTCAAAACGATCCCCCACAGAAATGCTAAATACACTAGTTTGTTTTTGTATCGTTCAATCCAATAAACTACTGGTTTCTTTCCAGCAAAAACCTCGTACAAACGAACTGTGAAGAAATATGAAGGTATAAGGAGTCGAAAAAATGATAAACAATCAAAACATCGCAATAACAAAAAGAAGCCACAAGGTATCATTGAGCGAAAAAGAACTTTTTGTTAATAACTCGTGATATAGTTTTTTACTTATTTCCAAATTTATAATGGACGTGTATGATTGTGATCTCGTATTCCAAAGAAAAACTCTAGTCTTTTTAAAAAATGAAGTATGGTTAATATTTTTTATGCTATTTCTATCTTTCGGCTCCAGTTTTACCTACTTGTCAAATGTCAACTCTGTGTCGTCATATCTGTCTAATTTAGATTCAAACATAGAAAAGAAGAAAAAACGAAATTCTAACAAAGCTGAAAAAGGTGAATTATTATCTTGTGCCTAATGCACATATTGGCATTGGTTCATTAGGCATTTTAATCAGTGATTTGAGTACTAATCAACCTGAAATATTTCGACAATTATGCAGAACAGGAGTGAACAAGTGAAACCAATTGCAGATATTTCTAACGAAGCACAAATCCAACGTATACAATAAAGAAACCGTCCCAACCAAAGTCGAGTTCAGCACTACTAAAATCTGTGACAACACACAAAACCCAGGAATTGTTAGATGATAGTGACTTCACTCGGTCTGACTCTTTTCGACACTCGGTTTATTTTAGCTTAGACTTTCATTCAATGCACTATACAGATATCACTCTATGAAGTATTATAACTATTAGTTTAAAATGAGTCTAGAATGATGTTTGATTTGTTAATTTACGCTCAAATACATTCATAATTGTTTAATATTTCATTTACACTGTTTTTAAAATCTTTATGTATTTTTATAATTCAGTTAAAAATCGTAAAATGAAGCAAGGTCACAGTGCGTCAAAGTCAAAAAAGTCTATCGGTGAGTTAAAATCCATCATAATGTGTTGCACCGCCATTTATATTTAATGCGAAATTAATATTGAAACATCTACAGGTCTGTTCACACGATCCAATTTGGTTGGATCCAATTCACTTCTGATAGGTGTTTAATAGTCTGTTGACTTGTCACTTGCAATGAATATAGTGTTTAAAAATAATTTATTTTGTTACTAAACTCCTGAAATAGGTATGCATGATTCTGAAACGATGACAGACGTTACATCAGTAGACGTGATCGATAAGAACGTGGAGGATGAAGAGGATACTTATGAAGAAATTAACCTTGGATTTAAAGTTAAAACTTTGGAGGAAATTTTGCGGGATAAAGCTTTAAAGAAATTCCTTGAACGGCAGATGGCCTCAATGGGTAGCAATTCTGAAGATGAGGTAACAGTAAGGCAAAAATCAGGGACTAGTAGTTCAGAATCAATAGATACAAATGTCCTAAAACCATCCATAATAGACTCTACTGACGAAGTTCGAGATACTGAGAAAGCAGTTCAAACAAAAACTTCTAAACTGAAAATTAAAAAATTGAAACCACTGAAGCCGCTTAAACCTCTTCAAAATACCAAGGGAAAAGACGAAATATTACCAGTCGAAAATATTACTAGTAAAACCGAACAAAACCAATGTGGGGATCAAAAGAAACCTCTACCGCCTCTGAAAAGATTAAAACCTCTTGCAACGACTATACGAAAAGAAAATTCTGGTAATAAAGTTCTAAAAAGAAAACTCAAAGCCAGCCCAGACGATGTGCAAACTATTCCTAGTAAAAAGTTACAAAAGATAGAGACTGTTATTGTGGGTGATGATAGTACGTCTTCTGGAGATGTAGCCATTCTTGTGGACGCTGCTACGAAAACAGCAAATAAAACTTGCGAGGACGTGGAATCATTGAAGAAGCAGGATATTTCGCCAATGAACGTAGATAAATCTCAAAGAACGCCAAAACGAACTATAGTTCTACTTCAATCTAGAGATCGCTATAAACTTGTTGGAGCTAAGTCAGCTCAGGTTGATAATGTCCAAGAATTGAGCAACAGGGACAAAACAAAGTTACACCAGTTGGCTGAACAAGATAAAGTTCCTGAAGAGAAAACATCCCAAAACGATGAAGGCAATAATTCAAAAAATAAAAAAATAGGACTACAGAAGGTTGTCTCCAAAGAAATTTCCCCTAATGGTGGGGGAAAGCTTCTTGGAAAGGTTATTAAATTAAACCCAAGTAAGGATACAAATGATGCAGCTTCTCCACTATCAGTAAACTTAAGGTTGTCTAAATCAAGAAATAATGTGGCGAAGGGTATAAGAACTTCAGCCCCTCCTGGAATTACCGCAACAAATAATGCTGCTGAGAACGTGAACAAACAGGTTTTAAATGAGGGAGTAAATCAGGTTATAAAACAAGACATTGATATAAAGACCAGTGATGATGACACTGCTGTGCAAATGAGTAAAAAACCAACAAAAATGATAAAGTTGAACAGAAAGAGATTGACGGAGGAAAATAACGATAGTCGAAAATATGGAGGTTAGAGTTTTTTTCAAAACTAGGCAAAGCACTCTCCACTTTTCTTTATTCATGCATATATCTTTACTGTATTAACTGTTGTGCACGAGACTAATTTCTCAACAAGGCATAATTTCTCATATTCTTTTCAGGAAAGCCTAGGATTCAATTTAGTTCATTGGGAAGAATAATGAAGATAAACGCAAAGACAGCCACATCAAAACAAGGTACATACAAAGTGGAATACTAAGGTTCGCTGTCCCTTTTTATTCCGCAAATTACTAAAATGAAATGATTTCTTTTTAGCTGTTGTTAAACCAGTGTCCGTGCAGAGTACGGAGCTTTCCAATCAAGGTAACACTACAAGTACAAATATAGAAAAGAAGAATTCCAAGAGTAATGTGAAACACGAGGCTGAAGTGAAACCCACAGCAACATCACAGAATACAACTGCTCCTGTTAATATTAACAATATGCCAACATGTGGTGAAACAAAATCCATGTCAAACGACAAAGCTGCTAAAACATACAAGATGGAAAAAGCCATAATTAAACCTATATGTAGAACGGTCACAAAATTACAAACAAGCAGTAATTTATCACACAAAGAACAAGCAGGCGGCGAGTCCAGTGCCTTCGCAACGATCAACTCTGGTACTAAACACAAGGGCGACCAAGATCAACTTCATGCAGGTTCATGCAGGGTTCTTCAAACAGGGTTAAATAAAGAAGAAAATAAAACGATTCCAGTAACAAAGCTAAAAAAGACCTCGCCACAACCAAACATTCAGGTTAGTTTCATGTTATAAGTATTATTTTAATGTTTAAAGACAGTTTATCACAACGATAAACCCAAGTCTTCCCCATATGCGCATGCATTAATAATCTAAGATTGTGTATATCGTGTATTATATCCAAAATACCAGCGTAAGCGTGCTTGAGTTTAACACAATTTCAATGTTTGCGACCCTATATAACCTTGAGTGTAATTCTTTGTTTAGGATGCGAATCTTCCCATGTTATCTAGGAAAATTTTGCAGAAAGAAGAAGGTAATCATTACATTGTAAATGTTTAAACGTCCCGACATTTATCTAGGTAATGGTAATGGTAATGCTCGTTCATTTCAGCACACTTCCTTGGATTCATATACCTTCCGCCGTTTATTTTCTTCGTTTCTTTTCCAAAATAGCAACAGATCCTAAGACCCTCAAATTAGAAAAAATATCTTCAGAAGAGGAAAAAGAAGACTCCCTGGATAGACTTTTTGAAGAAGTGTAAGTACACGTTTTTCTTCCCGGGCTGTTCCCCAGTGTGATATCTGTCAAATGAGCTTTTTTAACTGTTTGAGGTATGCGGTTTTATGATTTGGCTATGTGCCGGTTGTTTAAATTCTATGGTGGCAAGTAAGATTGTTCTCAACCGCGATTGTTTTGCATTCAGATCTAAAGACGTCGAAGATGAAGGTGAGGATTTCCTTAACGAAGCTCTGGAGAAAGCTATTGCGGAATTATCTCCAGTCAACACAGATGATGAAGAGGATGTGTCTAATGCTGATGATCTGTTGCTGGAGATTGAAGAAATGATTATATAAAATCGAATGTCGACTACACGGCTATTGTTCAGGTCTCCATTTGCTACGAGTGGAAAACAACGTACCTGTTTTTTTTTATCTCAACCTCGACTACCAAAGAAAAAACAAGGATATTTTCTATTACAGAAAGTTTGTTACTCGTTGTCACATATGATCTCAGCGCAAAAGTTTGCTGATTATTATTTGTTAACAATTTGAATGTATCAGGATTCTTTCAAATATGAGTGGCACCAGTTTTGGTTAAAGTGCGACAAACGTCTTTTCAACTTGAATTTCGCCGAAGTAAATTTCAAGTTATTTTTTCACGAAGACCAACCATTTTTAGATTTTTTCCACAGTACAAAGTTGATGTGTTATTTAAGTGGATCGACAGTTTGGATCGATCCTGGCGTAAAAGACAATATAGGTTATGGTAGTACTGGTGAAGTGCTAGTATATACTTAACTATAATGTATTGTGATTGCATTCACGTACTAAAAACGCTTTTCTGGCTATTTAAGTTGTCAAAAACTTACGGTTTCTTATCAGATCTGCATGTGCAGTTTTTCCTAGAATAATGAAATTCAAATGCATGAAATTCAAATGAAATTCAACTATATTTACATTTCAAACAAGCGAAGTGAATTTTCCTTTTTGATATAGAATTCTATTACGTACAACTGTCATACGTCTGTTTCTGCACATCCATGAACGCAGGGAGTAATAATACTTCATGTGGATAAGAAACCCTAAGTTTTATTGCAATGCATTCATGCAATTATTATATCGTTGTTACGGTTTGATAAGCTGGCCTATTACTACGGCAGTAACTATTTCAACTTAGTATTATAGCTTGACTCGATAACGTGCTTTTTCTCAATAGTTTGTTCATGTAAACAATGATGAATAAAGTCTGATAAGATAGAAAATTTGTTGGGATGGGCGCGGATTTTCTTTGCGGACCTATAAAGCTGGGTGCATGTTCACCTGTTAGGTGTCGCAATTGTTCAGCCTCGTTTTACTAGCGGCTTGCTGTGGTGCAGCTATGATGAAGCTTTGAAGGTATATCACCTCTCTCCCATGGTCCAATGCAAATGACCGTTTGTCGGATAACTGAACTTGGATTCCGCTCATATCATGCATGAAAATTTTATCTCTGGGAGATCAATAAAACAAAATCTACGAATCAATAAAACAACTCATAATACACTGAAAAAATATATTTGACTATTATTAAATTACATCTCGTATAGCTGTTAAAAAATTCTAATTGGTTTTAAGAAAATGCCATTGTCCTCTATTTTATAGATATTACTTCCTATATTTTGAAAAAGCAGATATACGTGCTAATTGTTCTAATATTTTATGATAAAGTTATCAAGTTTGGAATATCCCATTATATCGAATATTGAGAAAATACTTTTTATGAGGTTTGATCATTCATCCATCCCAGCACGATTCAATGGATATAGTGGAAATGGTCCTGTGCCCGTGTCTTCAAAACAGATGCCATAGAAACAGCGCATGTTTGCTGTCGGACATGCACATTGTTTATCAATCTTGCATGGTTTGTATTTGGTTATACATCGCTTCGATATCTGCAACGTTGAATATGCAACTTTTGTTAGTTCGCTGCAAAACCTTTGAAGATGTGAAGGTTTCAACTTTTCTGTTTTATTATAAGGTAGTAGAACAAGGGAAGGGCCACGGGAAGAGGTGGCCTCCTCCCTAACTGTCAAAGTATAAACGATTCCTTATCCACAAAGTGAACTATTGATCAGTAATTTAAATAGTATTCCATCATCTTGCATGTATGAATTGGCTTGAGGATTATTAAACATACTCTTACCCTGTGCTGGTAATAGTTTCGGTCAAACCCCCGAAATGGAAACGCAGAGGTGTCGCCAGGTATCAGGAGAAGGAGTGCCAAAATAGCAAACAAAGCCTTCACGTATTTTGTCGTCATGATGCAAATTAACCTCTATATGCTGTGGAGAAAGAAAATGAAGAAGTGCGTCAACTTTATGCACCAACCAAAGTTTTAATATGAAATATATTTACCGGAACTCGGGCCATTTTTTGCAGCGATTTTAATTTGTTCCCATAATTCCACAAAACGAAGCTATGCTTGACATGATTTTTTTTTCGTTTAAAGTTTGCAAAATATGAGAGATTGTCGCAGACGCAGGGGAAATGCAAATGCAGGGGACATGTGAGAAACTGTCGCAGACGCAGTTTTAAATGCAGGGGATATGTCGCAGTGCTCGGAAGCTTTCGTCCAATTGGATAATGCTTTTCTATGCTTTCTAAAGGGGATAATTGGGGGAATAATTAATGTTAACAGACTGTAAAGACAATTGATTTGAAAGGAAATTAATCCTGCGTATCACGAATACATGAATATGCCCCCTCCCCCAATTATCGTGCTGGCTACGCCACTGTTTTAATGTCTAATTGTATTTTTTATTGTTGGGGGCCAGTGAGGAAAAAGGGAGAGGAACGAGTATCAATCCTATAATGTATGAAAAGGAATGTTAATTGGATGCCACATCGTTAAAGTGGATGTCCTGGGTGTTTGACCTTCTTAATATCTGCCACTCTTCAGAATAAGTGAGAAATACATGCATGCAGCCTTATTTCGAGCAAGGCCGATAGTGTCCCATGCACTGCTGGATAAGACTTACTGAATTCATTGACCGGTACCAGATTTTTAAGCCGGAATATTTTTGATCAGATCGGATTTACAGATGTGTCAAATTTTGAACTTAGCCAAATCTCTGGGTTTTTAAATTGAGTTGGCTACATAAGAAATATATTTTCTAATCTATATGGAGGTTGGGAAATTCAGTTCCATTATTAATATTAAAACTTTTCACATAATGAGCCATGAGGTTCAAAGCAGCCATATTGAATGGACTATTGAATGGACTAGTTATATCTATACGACACGGTCACGAACGTTATAAACACAGCCTTTGTTTTAAGAATCCGATTTTATGTTTTAGATACGTCCATAACATTTATCTCTAACATTTAAACATTTATCACCACTGACACTGTTTTGAAACACTTCAATAATTTTGGGATCACGTTCTTCACCAAATTGATTCGCATCTCCCATTAATATTGGCATGCATGCATACAGGCAATTTTGATCGGGGCTTTGCTTGGTATTTCGAAGTTCTCTAGTTGTATTTCGCGTATAATCTATATGTTATCGTCTTATCAACTGCTCAAGTTATAATTGCTCAAATTATTTTGAAAACACTATATACAATATAGGGACACATATAGGGACGCAAAAAGCAATGCAAAAGTGACAATACACTTTAACTCAAAATCATATTAACAAAGGCCAACCTGCAGAGGTTCGATTCTAATTTTCAAACCATTCATTATAGAGTTTTTCGTTCAATCGCGATCTGCGGCTCAGCGTTCAGATTTTGCCGTCTCCCGCGTACCTTTGCGGTTCACGATTCAGTGGAAGTGTGTTTTTTAGTTTCTGAATTCCAATGTTAAATTGCAATAAAGGCAATGTAGAATTGGCAACTGGAAATCGCATGCAGTTTGCCGTATGCGACTATGCGGCAACATAAAACTCTATACTGATCAGAAAACAATGCAAGTACTCAGCTATCGAAAGTTTTGTAAAGCAGCAAGTATTCTATTCTAGTGCATTCAACATGGCCGTAGTGTTAACTCGACTATTTGTCTGCCTCTGAAGACTAAAACTGAAAGAATTCTGATTGTAATTCCTTCGTGCCATTCACAAGAAATGCAGCCAGAAAATCATGCATATATATGGGCGTAAAAGGATTCTCCTTATCCCATACAAAGTGTCACGCACAAAGTCCTTTTTAGCATAATATCGTCCATGTATTATTACAAGTTAAAGTATATAGCTTTACGGCCACTTTGTTTTATAAGAAAGATATAAATTACTTTTGTTCAACCATGAACGGCAAACCGCAGCATGACATTAAGATTTTGCAGTTTAACGTTTGCGATTCACGTCGAATTTAATGGCTGGAATAGTGTGTTTTCAAGTATTAGCCCAAGCATTTCAGTCACCGTTTTACTGTATTTAAATTTTTGCCCCATTTCACGTATGGCCAATCCTATAGTATAATTTATAAAACTGCTGCCGCAATCCAAATTCCAAATGGTTTATAGACGTTTTCTTGCCAGTTATGAATAGGGCACACTAAATTTAAAAGTAAATAAGAAACTGACTGTTTACCGCTATTCGATTATAAGTATGACGGTTAATCGTAATATCGAAGCTTCACAGTCGCTTTGTGAATACAATGCTTTGTGTTATTGTGTAAAAGATATTTGGTCGTATAAAATTAGAACGTTTTCACAAAAACTGGCAGCAACAAGATGGGGAAACAAAGGAATATGGTGCGACATTTTTAAGACGTTTTTTAAAGTATGTAAACGACTACTAAGTGAACAACGGTAACGTTAAAGCGCAAACGGGAACGAGGTTTAAGGCCATAAACACGAATCTAAAACTCGCTCATAAAAATACAACAATGTTGGGCGTTTACTGTACGTATCTCAAACAACAATGCGTTTGCTCATTTTCGAGTCAAGGCTTCTAACTATTGAACGTACTAATGGAAAAAACTACGTGTCGCCTAACTAATGTACGTAACTGAGAAAATTGAAAGAGAAAATGCAATCACAATCGCGTCTTGAAAAATATAAAACTAGGCACGCAATGCGTGCATGTTGCTGTATCAATACAGACTTCCCTCTCTCATCTCGCATTGAAATAATAGGAACGCGATGAGTAAATAAGGTAGCGTGGGAGGCCTCGTGATATAACCGGGACATTACCGAACGTTGACCACGCGAAACAAAAGACCGAATGAAGTAGATTCAATTGTGAAACCGGCAATTTTCCAAGCCCAAAACTGACGTAAACCGCACACAGTAAACCTGTTAATAATAACATCATATAGTTTTCCTACCTTGTGGTTCTCCCTTTATCACTTTCACCTTCACAGTTACGAGTTTTCTACACTGAATCGCCGATGTCCCGAGCCTTTTAAATACTGACCAGCAAGGGCGTTGATTATGCGCGTTATGTCGTCCCGAACAATTTTTTGTCACCTGAGGGCGTAAAACGTTTGCTAATGAATGGAAAGTTCAACATGTGACCGAGGTAAGTGCTCACATCCGATGACAAGTCTAATCCCGTGTTAAACATACAATTTTTCCGCAGACCACTTTGGTGCATGAATGGAACTTAGCTCCTAACACGCGATGTTTACGTGCAGAACATGCTCTTGGGTGCAAAAATAAACAAAAGCGGAGGTTTTCAAAAGAACTGAAATGAAATGCTCTTGCATGCATGCTCAAACATATTTTTTAAAAGGCAAACGATGCTAGTATAAAACGCAATGTGGGAATATGTTTTATGAAATCACTTGCACGTGTTTAGTCAAATGTCAGACTACGTATAGGAAATTGTACTATACGCATAAATGCATGTATTATTGCCAACATTTTACATCATTTTAATTTATAATTTACTCTACCTTAAGGGGAAAATTTATTTTTTTGTTATGGCCATGCACATTTCACGAAAATGATATTATCAAGTGGTCAAAAAAGAATCGTTGTTCAGTAATGGTATATTTATAATAAATAACATTTACAGAGAATATTTCAAACATTTCACCAGTCGAATGTCTATCATCTGAGATCATTCTCTCAAGAATTTTACGAATTCACTCTCGCGAAACTTTGTATGGAAATGCATGATGAAACAACGGTTTCATGAGCAGGAAGTGTTTTTATTGTTTCAAAGGGAACATACTTGTTCGATACAATCACGATCACTGCATACCAAATTCATGTTGATCTTTATCATTTATATTTTCAAATACCTCACGTGGAAGCCACGCAAACAAAATT